ATCGAGACTACTTGTCTATGCTTGGGGGTGGGGGGTTACTAAGCTACTGCTTTGACTCCCCCCATCAGCCCAATCTGCAGACTCCATCTAGAATTGTGCTTTTTGACCAGCCATGCAGGCCACGGGTTATTAGAGGCCACCAAACATGCCCTTACGTCATGTATGAGGGCACCATCTGCTCCCCGCAGATGCGTGTCTGCTCTTCAGATCTGGTTGCCCCCAAATCATCAAGTCACCTGGACTGCCGCCAATGAGGAAGCCTCCATTTATCATATTTGCATAAGAAAGGAAACCTATTCAATGCCATGTCCAAATCCAGGATCTGCCACTGACTGATCATGCTTTCCACACACCAAACCCAACTTTCCACTTGAGTATCCTATTAAAAGTTGGCTCTGCTTCTTGTTCAAATTCAGAGGCTAAATGCTAATGACTTGCTGCTGCCAAACCCCCACTATGGGGATTATCACTTCCGTGAAAGGTGCCAGAATGTTAGCAGCTCAAGTGTGAGATTTAGACAAGGCTGGACTTGGATGGCTTTTATATTAGCTGCGATTGTCTACAACTTTGTTCCTGAGTTTCCATTCACTGGCAAGGCACATAACTTTTTCCTCCCTCCTTCCCTCCCTCCTCTCTTTCTGTCTTCTTTCCTTTCTTCCTTCTTCCCTCTTTTATTTCCTAAGCAGTGGTGGTTCTGATTTAATTTTTGTTGGCCTATCTTTTCTGATCAGAGACAAATTCTTTTATTAAGCAACATGTCCCACATCCTGTGTCTTGTTTGTTTTATTGTGTGTGTGGTTTTTTTTTTGGGGGGGGTAAGGCTAAAATAATGGATAGTACTTAAGTGTTTACTACATGCTTTACATTTCATATATATATATATATATATATATATATATACTCTTTATTTCTCACAGCCCATTTTACAGATGTGGGGTCTGAGATGCCAAGAACTCTACCCAAGATCATGCACTTTCAAGTGGCAAAGCTCAGATTCATAACTGCTTGATCTGAACCCTTAAAGATTTATGTATAACCTCTCCAGCATCATGCTTGGACCTAGATCTTGAAGGGGTTAGGGGAGAGAACAGTTTTATCAAAACAGAGAAACTACTGCTATTGCTTTTGGAGGACTGGCCACAGAGCTGTGAATTGCACAGAGGGAGGCAGCCACTGCTACTGTGGTATGTCTGGGAGGCAGTGGAGGGGTTAATACCCTGAATTCTTTCTTTTCATCCACTTATCTCTTGTAAGTGTCTCTATTGGATAAACGTGTAGATACTACTGCATGTTTATCAAACATCAAAGTTATATATCTACACACACATATAGTATGAGTGTATTTTGTGTATTATGTGCCAGTCAGTAGTCATGATTTCCTATCTGGAGCATAGGCAGACGAGACAGCCATTTGATACAGTCCTACAGAGGCCCGCCTCCTGGGCCACAGACCCAGGGGACAAAGGTGGAGGACCCATCTGGTGGGGCAAATAGACACAGAGATTAGTGAGTATCCCCCAAGAGCAGAGTACAGACCATGTTTCTTGGCTTTGCTCCCTTTTCCCAGAAATGCATATTCAGTGTGAAGGAATGATAATACATAGTGGAGTGCCCTGCCTGACTGAAGAATGAAGGAAAAACTCCTGGCTAAAATATCAGCTCTTTCTTTTCTTGCTCTTCATACTCATCTCCATCTCCATGTGTCTTAGAAAGTAGAGCAGCAGTTTTTATATATCAGAATGCTGCAGACACCTGGAAATTAGTCTTCTTTGAGAAACACCTTGAAATGTATTGAATCACATCAACTAAAAATAATTTTACTCATCAAAAACATATTAGGTATATACAGGGTAAAGTTAAGGCCATAGACATCTTATGTAACCAGCTGCTTCTAATTACATTTGTTTGCACTTTGTTCATTTTATATATAAGAGCCCTGAGTGCTGAAGTTTTAGGTAAAATTTATGATGTGAAAATTGTGAATTGGGAAAAGACTCTTTTCTCGACAGGACACAATAGTCTGCAGGAAAAAAATTACAGCATTTCCAAATAGAGGGAAAATTTACTTCCTCATAGAAACTTTAACAGGAGAGGCAGAACAAAACTGTCTCACACAATTTATTAAAACATGCGATGAAAGCTTAGTTAACTGCCTCCCCTAATAAAATGTGCTGCAGACATCAAAGATGGGTTGATTTCGGTTGGTAGCAAGCCTTTTACTTTAGAAAGCAAATGTCTAGGGACGTTTCTATTGTAGGATTGGATATTGAGCCCAGCTTCCTAACAGCTCACTTGTCCCTTGTAGTGCTCGCTGACCTGGCAAATGACAGTCCTGAAGCCCCACCACCTCCAGGTCGTCCACAGAACAGCACATCAAGTTCAGCTGACTATACCGATTGACATACAGTAGTGCCTACAATAATGCTTCCTTGTCTGTTTGAAACCATAGGTTCACCCCCATGAATACAGCCTGCAATTCAAAGGCAATCCAAAAGACCTCAGAACAGAAAAAACATGAAGGCTACATGGGGAGGGGGTTAGTGACCAGAAAGGGCCACCTGGGGAGCTTTTTACATGTTAGCAGGAGATATGGATGAGGGCTTTGGGGTTTTCTGGCCATGTACTGTTTCTTCATAAGTGTGAAAATAAAATGGTGGTGTTCCATTTATGAAAATGGAGCAGACTATACAATTATCATATGTGTTATTTGCTTTACATATTTACATATATAAATATGTAATTGAAAATATGGGCTTAGGGCCTCCCCGGTGGCGCAGCGGTTGAGCGCTGGGTTGCGAAGCTGCCAGCAGCCTCTGCGGTGCTGGTTCGATCCCCAGCTGCTCCCCGGCCACCAGAGGAGGGTCCCACATGGCGCACAGACCTCTCCTGCCGCCCACTGCTCCCCTCAGCAGTGTACTTTGGTCCTTCTGCCTGCTCTGCTCCCCGCTCTGGCTCTGGTGAATTCTCTCACCCTCCTGCATTTCTGACTGTACCCAGTGCTTGTATAAATAAATAAATAAATCTAAAAAAAAAAAAAAAAAGAAAATATGGGCTTACATATGGGTTCAAATTGATCATGAAGCATTATTATAGATACTACTGCACGTTTATCAAACATCAAAGTTATATATCTACACACACACATAGTACGAGTGTGTTGTGTGCATGTGCCAGTCACTAATCATGGAGCATAGGCAGGGACTGCCCTCTTGTTCAGGCAGTTTGGATTTAGTTCTTCCTTGGCCATATGAACAGTTCAGAAACAAACAAATGTACATTAAGAAAAGAAGACAAATATTAACAAATATTAGGACTTAATGATCTGGGGGGTATTTCACTGAGTGGTCTTGAAAGCAGAGTTCTCTAAGCAATTAAATTCTGTTACAGTATATTGCTACTAGAGGTGGGGAAATGTCAGAAACTTTCCACCAAGATCGGCTAAAATAAATGATTTGCTGCCTACAGGTGAACTTTATTTATTGTGCAATGAAGTGACTTGCACAGAGCTAAGAAACATATTATTTACTGCCTTTTAGGTAGATTCTTTTAATCAGGAATTCCAGCGAAACAAGTCACCACATTCCCCAGTCATTCCATATGATCCGAGTTTTACTGTAATGTGAAATCATTTACAAAGTGAATTTCTAATGTAAGGAAACATTACACATAAATTGCTGCAGAAGTAGTTGGTGTGGTCAGTCAGGTGGGCTCAAATAATAGATGTTAGAACTGAAACAGCAGATATCTTATCCAACCCCCACATTTTTTGCAAGGGAACGTAGGCTCAGAGAGATGATACTGACTTCCCAAGGATACATAGCTGACTTCAGGCTTATTTGTAACCAGAACCAAAGTATCCCTATTTGCTGATCTGTGTACCTTTGTTCAGCCTGCTTCTCTGGAGCCAAGGTGTCTCCCGGAGTCAAACTGCTTGGATATGAATTGGGTTAGCGCTTGGACTTGCCAGTTGGGTGTGACCCTGGGTCCTAGTGACAGGTCCTAGCCTGTAAAATTTATTGCTTGGGCATTAAATCCAAAGTATAGAAACTCAGATGCTGCATGGAAAGTACTCTGAGAAAGCAATTCCCTAGAACAGACCTAAGGCAGCAGGAGAACTGGAGGCTCATTAACCTCTCTTTTAGGAGTGAGACAGAAGAGAGAAGGTCTTCACCGTAGAAACCTTCCCAAGGTTTTTGGCCCTTCACCATGGTGCCCAGGGGAATTGTTCTTTCCTCCTGTGTGCATAACTTCCTTACTCCTGGGCCCTTCAGAGAAGTTTGGTGAGGCATTCAGATGTTATCCCTTCTTTTAATGGCAAGTCTAAACACATTGAGCATGGATTGTATTCCCCAATGTCAGTGACTTCTGGAGCCTAATTGTTGGCTGTTTACAGAGTGTAGACACCTGTCATCTAATGGAGACAGTAAAAGAACTTGTCCTAAAGGCTGTTATAAGAATGAAAAGAGATAATGTATTAAAGTGGGTCAGAGGATGCCTGACCCAATTAGCCACTTAAAAGTTGTGCATAACTTCTGTTTTCCAGCTACAACACGATAGCTTTGACGTTGATGTCCAAGAACCTGACTGTTCTTTGGCTTCGATAAGTTTCTCTTTGTAGAATATACTACTAAAAAATAATGGTGTTGGTAAAAGCATTAGACAACAGGAAAAAGTTGATAAAATAATGATACAGGAATAATCTGGATGGGACACTTTAACTTGTTTCTTATAACAGAAAAATTATTTGTTGAATGTCTTCCTTTTTTTCTACTCAGGCTTGGGGTTGGAAGACTTAAGTTTGCACTCCTGCTCCATTACTTAATAAAAAGGGTCAATGAGCAAATTATCAGACCACTTGGAGCCTCAGACTCCTCATCTTTAAAATGGTGGGTGGTTGTGGAGCGAAAGCGGGAGACGGTGTACCAGAAGAGGCAAACAGTGTTGTGGAATGAACTCTAAAGAGTAGAAAACTGAAGAAGCTTGTGTTTCCTCTTTTCCAGTTTCCATCTTGCTGCCACAAAAGGACACATGGAATGCCTTAGAGTTATGGTTACACACGGTGTGGATGTGACAGCCCAGGACACAGCCGGTATGTGGTCTTTCTCCCTTAGGTCAACAGGCCAGCACAAAAGTGGGTGTCACAAGAGTGACACATGGTCACTGTGGAAAATCTACAACCTACGGATAAGCCCAAAGAAGAAATAGAATCAACGCCCATAACTAGCCTGTGACTTGATTTCTTCACTTGTGCCTTTACAAGCGTGTTTCCATCTTCCATGTGGTTAGTCAACGAGAGCCTATGCTTCTTATGCCCCATTTGCTATAGTGTGACCATATACAAGAAGTGATTGTAGTTTAGAATATATGTAATATACATCATGTTCAATGATATAGAAACATTTTTCTGAGATTTATATGAGATCAGATTTTCTGGTCTTAGCACTACTCTGTATTCCATAATTTTTGCTTTGATGAGTCATGGTAAGTGGAAAATGGAGTGCGTTATCTAGAATCTCAGTTTCTCAACTGGCTGAGATGAGCTCTGCAGACAGAAGTCATGATCTTCATCTGGACCAGGGGCCCATAGTTTTTATTCCTCACTGTTCTTCTGTGCGTTCAAGTCACCTGGGATTGGAAGGGAGGGAGGAGAAGTAGAGAGAAATGAGGGGACGCGCGCTGAAGGGAAGGAGGGAAAAAGCAAAGAATATAAAGAGATATTCACGTGCTCCAGTCTCTCACATAAACACAGGCTCTGCCCTCTGAGACTCAGATTCCATCGTTTGGAGTTTGCCAACCGAGTGGTTTTAGTGTAAAGTTTCCCAGGTGATTCTAATGGGAAGCCAGTGCTGACAAGTGATGCCCAAGGGAGAGAAAAGGTAGTGTAGTCTTATCTTTTATAAACATTATTTTACAGGAAATGGGGCCCTGGGGACCCCAGCCTGGGAGGCTGCCCCTGCAGGCCACACCAAAGGAGCAAAGCAAATATGAGGATTTGTCACTGTACTTGAGTATTTTTGCCTTCTAATCGGACTTTGTTATTTTTACTGGAATATGAAATCAGTCTAACTCCATTATCTTTACCAAGTTTCTCATTAATCCATAACAGATCCCTTACCCTCCCCCAAAATACGTTCGCTTCCTCAGAGCAGTCATCTTGGTGGGTCAGTGACATATTGAAGAATGCGATTATTACTCAAAATATGGTTGGAAAACGTGTTTCAGAATTGTTTCCCAAAAGTCTATGGCACTTTCTTTAATTTAAATATTCTCAGTGACTGGGAATCTTTTTTCTTTGAGAATAGATTTATTTTTTAGAACATACTAAGAGGCACTTGAAGTCATATCAGATAAGTGAGGTATCAAACTGGTAAAAACATTTTTGATCAAAAATAGGGTGTGATTGAAGTAACCATGACTTTCCTTGATCGTTGTAGAGTAAGTATCAGGCTTTTTGCCCTCCTGCCATTAGATTAAATGCATGCCTGATGGCAGAAACCTGGAGTAGGGTGTAGGCATGCATAGGTGGGCACACCTGGGCACACCTGGGCTGAGAGACTGGGCTTATAAGGGCGGCGTCAGGGGACGCCAGCAGAGCGAAAGGACCAGACCAGTCGAGACCAGAACGAGAGCAGCATCAGCAGAGAAGCCGAGGCTAAAAGAGAAGGCCAGAGAGCCCAGAAAGATCGAAGACTTGCTGGGGGCTGGGAGGCCTACCAGCCTCCTGGCTGCCCGGCACCCTGTCACCCCTGCCTGCCATGAACCTGGTAAAATGGCAATAAAAGCTTGAAAAGCCACCAAGGGCACCAGGACTCCTCCTTTACCCGTCTGCATAGGGTCAGAGAAAACCTACTCTGTGCCCTTCCTGCCACTACAATCATTCCCGTGGAAATCTCCAAAAGGATCTTCAGAAATGGCAATACCAGCAGAAGAATGGCTTCCTTAAGTGACTTCTTTGAGGGAAATCTTAATTTATGAGGGAATAAATTGGAAAGACAATATAGCCGTGTTCACTGCATTTGATTTTAAGACACAGACAGGAGTCCAGTTATTCCCCCTAATGACTAAACCTTTCCTTTCCTTTTTTTAATTGTAGGAGAAAAGTTGCATTATAAAAAATGTTTTTCTAATACATGCTCATTGTAGAAACTTGGGAAATATAGAAAACTGTAAAGATAACCAATGCTCCTACAGGAACAACTTTGTACTGTTGTGCTGTTTTGCTGTATTTCCTTCCAGATTTTCCCTGGCACATTTTGACATAGTTGAGATCATATTAACTATTAGACTTTACATCCTGCCCTCCTTTTTTTAAGATAATCCGCCACCATTGTCCCACACGTGAAGATCGTAAGCACAGCCTTTGTGGCCACATACCCCAGATGGGTAGAGTTTGTATTTACCAGCAGAGCTGTAACTCAGTGTTTAGAGATTGGGGAAGCATTGGCAGAGAGGCCTGGACACCCCAACACTGCCCCGCAAGAAGCAACACGAAAGGGGTGATGCTGAGGTCCCATCCAGGGCCTCTAGGCACCCATCTGTGGGAACTGGCACCATCCTTTTTTTTCTTTTTTTAACTCTGAGTGAAATTAGTGGAATCCATAGCACTTTGTGGCCCCGGAACATTGTTCAGACATTCCAGGACTTGAGAATGTCCCCGAGCTGCAGTCACTTCCCCTCTCTCCTACCATTTTTTAGCAGTGAGGTCAGCACTTGGGCCCTTGGTTTTTTGTTTTACCGTGTGCTGAGTGAGGCACTGACTTCTCACATTTTCTCGAAAGCTTGCAAAGAGAATGCGAGAACAAAAGAAGGAAAAAGCTGCGTGGGAAAAAGTGCATGGAAATGTCCTTTGCGTTATCTAGAACAATACTTCTCCAGCTTCTTCCTGTCATGACAATCAAGATAAATGAGATGCCTTTGCTGCCCACGCCAGTGCCCTTCCTGCAGGCCACAGCCCCTACCCCCATCTTGCCCTGTCAAGAAAGCATGTCAGAATCTAGGCAAGGACATGGACGTCAGTCACTGTGCCTTGGACGTGCTCATGTTTTACTAGGCTAACACGTTTTACTGTGGTTAGGGGATGAATTCAATGGCTCCACCTTTACAGTAGTATCTCTTCAATAAACCTACCTGGAGCATTGCTATACTATCACCTCGATCCCAGAGCCCAGTGAGAGCTGGACAAATAAAAAAGTTGTCCCCATAAGTCTCACTGCCCAGCAGTGTTTTGTTTTTTTTTTTAAATCCTCCTTACAAAACAGAATTAAAAGGACTCTTTTTATTCATTTTACCCACAGTCTACAAGATGGTCAAATTAGTACAATTTCCTGCCTTTGTTGACTAGATTTAAGTCATAAAGTATTTTTTTAATTATTTATTTTTGCGCATAGAAGAACTAGGGTGTAGGACAGAGGTGCAGTGAATGAAAAGATTCAAATACTTTTTCATACGAAATGCTTGGAAACCTGACCTTTAGAAACCTTTTATGTTGCCCCTACAAAGACTTGTGAAGGCCATGAGCTGTCAGAAAATCAGGCCTTGAGTGTAGTGACAAGACAACAGCAGCAATCGTGTTCTTGGAGATGACCTTGAGGCCACAGTGCAGTGACCTGTGTGGGCATCACCTTCCTGAGACAGCTTGCTGTTTCGGTGATCATTGCTGCTTCGCTGGCGTCACCATTAAGCCCTCACACATGGGGCTTTTGAAAAGATCTCTCATCGTAAAAACATAAGGAAAAGGTTTGACAATCTCTTTGTACAGCTCAGAAAAAGAAACCCGGAAGACGTGTAGCGGCTGGTGACTTGGGCTTTTGGTCTGGCCGTGTTTCCTTAATTCTTTCATGGCCGATCTGCCAGACAGAAGTACAGACGTGTCCAGACCAGATTGGGGTGGGTGTAGGGGGAACGCTGCCTCTGAACTGGTCCTGCATCCCTTGTCTGGCGCCTTTTGCTGCTTTGTTTGCTCTGTTCTTCACTGATGGAGGAATTGGCATTTCTGTCTGTTTCTTTTCAAACTCTTCTCCCAGATAAATAGAAATTGACTCCCTAGTTGTTGATTTTTTTTTTTGGAGGGGCGGGGAAATATCTCCACATTTAGCAAGAGTTTTGAAATAGGATTAAACAGAAGCATTAACAAAAGATTGAAGAAGATAAGAACCTTCTGTTTGTTATCAGTGTTTCTCTAAAGCATTAGCTTTCAGGTTCCCATTATTAGTGCGTGTATGCATTGGACTCCCATGTGAGGGACCAAAATAAAAGTGGCTTAAACAGGGTAGAACTTTTTCCAAGCTGTTATGGCAGCTCTGCCCCTCCAGAGCATCCTGTTCCTCCACCATCCCTGGGTGGTGCCTTCATCCTAATGGCATTTGATGGTGCCCCACCGTGTCCCACAGCAACAGGAAGAGTAAGCAGAGCCGGCGGGCAGACACACTCAGAGCTCCACGGACAGACGTCATTTGCGGCCACACCTGGATTTATGGGGAGCTGGGAAGTTCTGGGCAGCAATTTGTCCAGTTAAAAAGATAGAAGGTTTTGCTTTTAGAAGGAGGTGGGAACAGACTAAAAGATGAGCAGTTTCTGTCATGCTTCCATATCCTAAATTTTCTCTGCAATTGTGCATTTGACTTACATAATAAAACAATTTCTCATAGAAGAAGAGAGACTTAGGAGAGTGAGAGGTAAGTTTGCACAGAGTCTGCTGAAGGGGAAAACCTGAGAACTCTTATCTTCTTTAGGGTTTCCAGGCGCTGGCTTAGCTCTGGTTTTGATTTCTGGGTGGCCTTTCATTCCATCATGCTCCCTAATCCCACTCAATTTGGTGCCACGTGAAGTGTAATATCCTAAAAATCAGGCACTGTAGAGAATGGGTATTGATAATGTCACTGCAAATTGAAGTCCATAAATTCATATTTTATTTTGGAATAAGGGGAAAGCAAAACAGTTGTATAATTTGTGGTACTTTGCTGCCTGTTGACTCATTTGCAGGGGATGGCATTTGCATAACTCATTTGCATAATCTAAGCTGATGAAATAACATTTCCAATGATGCACACTCATGCAAAAAATCTTTTGAGTCTGTATAAAGTGCAGTGTAAAGCTATAGGATTTTAAAAAAAGGGGAGACTAAGGGATAATTTTATAACTTTCACAGTAACGGTTATTGTAAGTAAATCTTCTCATTCCTGGTGAATTCCTTCTCATTCCAAGGTGAATGGACTTGTGCTTTGGTTATAAAAATTTGCTGTCAGGATGAGGATTTCTAAAAATAAATATATTTTATTTAAATATATTTAAAAGTATAAGTAAGAGCCAGGTTTACACTTTTATTAATACATTAAAATATTTAGATATCTCTGATATCCTAAAACACTGATTTTTAAGATAAGCTTAAGCGTGCTTTGAGTATCATTTAATTTTCTTTATTTTTCTAAGTGTTTCTGTGTTAGGATCTCAAGCTATCATTAATCAAACTTTGGCCTTTTGATATCTGTTAGCCATGTCTTTGTATCCTGTGACTGTGTCGATTTAATTTTTTTCTGCATGTACTTCAAGTATATATTCAAAGAATTGAAGGAATTATTATTGTCTGAGGTCCTTTGGGGAAGGTGTCCCAGGTGTCCCTGGGCTCTCCCTCTGAGGCTTTCTCAGTAACAGGATTCTAAAGCCACTGTAATGGCCATAAAAGCAAGGTGAATGGACTTGTGCATTCATAACACTGTCCCTTTTACTTAGAGGCATAGTTCTGCTGGAATTCACTTGAATTAGTGTTGCCCTGTTAATTTGCCTGTAGGGAAATTGCTTCCTGATATTTCTGACAGGTCTACAGCAGGATTGGGTTGTTTGGGGGACAGACTTATGTGCTATCTCCTTATAGTGAGACATTGCCACTAATATAATATATTTACTCCAATAAAATTTGCATTTGGAAAGAGAATTTTGTTTTAATGGCAGCAGTGAGAGACATTTCCCTTCAGAATAATGCTGTCCAGGGACTGATGCGTCATTTGCACTTTAAGACATTTTTTAAGTGAAAAATAATTCAGTGTTCCTAGTTAGGAAAACATACCACAGAGCGAGGGAATAAAAGAATTTTGTTTCTTTAGAAACACAGCACTTATTTCCAGGTATGTCTAGAATACTTGGAGTGAATTGAAAATCTGTTATTTATTTTATGATGAGTTGTTTAAATCTTTCTACCATCTTGTCTTTGGAGAACTGTGCCTTTTTCCAGTGGGTGCTGTTTATGAATACCATTTTTCCATGCATAGACCAAGTGACCGCATCGCATGCATGACATAAACAGTCTCCTGCTTATAATCAGGACAGGTTCCAACAGTTCATCTGTAAGACATCTGCTTAAAATACAATGTGCTTGTCCTTAGAAACATTGGTGTAAATGACAGTTGGGGGACAGGTTAACCCACCCACACCTGTCTGATGCATAATGAAACTGAATTCAGTGCCATTACATGCTAAAATATTTTGGAAGGAGGGTGATTTATTCAGTAAAATGAGGAAAATGAAGAGACAGTCTTTGTCTTCTTATTTCCAAGGATCTCATTTCGTAATGTCCATTGTCAACTGTTGGGGGGAGGTGGAGGGGTTACTGCTTCTCAGTGCTCTGCCCCACCAAATTTCCCCCTTTCATGCAGACCCTTAAACTCTCAGAACAGCTGGTCTCAGAAAAAAGGGATCTCGCCTCTAGGCCTTACACATGCTTATGTACAGATCACTGTGGTCCTAAAACCCTCTTTTAAATTTTTATATGTGTTATCTCCTAAACATAGAATTCTCTAAAAATGAGTGGACTTCTAGTCAGTGTAGCAGAGTGAGGACTAATTTAGAAAAGAGAAATGATACTTGCCACTGTATAAAAGATTATTTCTGGGCCTTCCTGGTGGCACAAGGGGTTAAGCACAGCACTGTGAAGCTATCGACAGCCTCTGCAGCACGAGTTTGATCCCCGGCCAGCTAGGGAGCAACCCAGATGCTGCAGCAGACCTCTCCTGTCTTGCCCGCTGCTCCCCTCGCTGTGTATTTCAGTCAGTCTGCCTGTTCCGCTCCCCACTCTGTCTCTGGTGGTTCCTCTCACCCCCGTACCTCTGGCCTGTACCCCAGTTCTTGTATGCATAAATAAATAAATCTTTTTTAAAAAAAGAAAATTATTCCTCTAAGCCAGTGATTCTCAACCAGGATGATCTTGCACCCTCCCCACTCCCCGGGGATATTTGACAACATCTGGAGATATCTCTGTTTACCCCAATTGGACATCTAATAGGTAGAGGCCAGAGATGCTGCTTCACTTCCTGCAGTGCCCAGGATAGCCCCCCAGCTTAAAATGTCAGTGGCTCTGAGACTGAGAAGTCTTGCTTGAGTGTGTCCCAAGGTTTGGGTTGTTAACATGGTACACGTTGGGTGGATCTGAGTCACATTGTTTCGAAAATGCAGAATTTAAGAATTCCTGGTCTATTGGGTTGACTGGCAGTGGTGATGTTTGTTCCCGCCCCCTATACCCTCTCCACGAACATATGTTTTCAAGTGTACAAGTGCTGGGAGCCCACTGTGTCAGTAGTGTGGGAGGTGCACTACTGGGCTCCTTTTCTAGTGCAAAGAGCAAAAACAATGAACTACTCTGTGTGTGCGCACGCGTGGACTTGTGTGCACAGCAAGGAGGGAGCATCTATTCTGAAGAACAAAGAAATAAGGCAGGGAGTAAGGCTAAAAAAGGTGGGGGGATGAATTGGAGTTTTATTTTATTTTAAAGATTTATTTATGCATACAAGAGCTGGGGTACAGGCCAGAGGTGTGAGGGGTGAGAGGATTCACTAGAGACAAAGTAGGGAGCAGAACAGGCGGATCTACTGAAATACACTGCTGAGGGGAGCAATGGGCAAGACAGGAGAGGTCTGCTGCACCTTGTGGGTTAGCTCACTGGTGGGGGATCGAACCTGTGCTGCAGTGGCTGGCGATAGCTTCACAGTGCTGAGACTTAACCCCTTGTACTACCAGGGAGGCCCAAGTATTGGAATTTTAAATAGGGAGCTCAGGAAAGGCCTCACTGAGCAGGTAGTATTTCAGTGGCATCAGCAGGAGGTGAGAGAGCAAGTGTGTGATTATCCCAGAAGAACGAAGCAGGGCAAAGAGCAACTGTAAAGGCCCTAGGTGGGTGTCTGCTCACTGGTGGCAGTACCTGTTGCCTCTGAGGCTGCCCGAGTCCCTCTTGCATAGACAATGTGCCAGCCCATTAGGCAATGGTGGGAGTTGGGCATAACATTAGGATTCCCTAGTTGTCTGACTACAGAAGTGTCAGGGAGCCTCACTCTGGTGCCATGTTCTGAAAAGACTGGAACCGTGTGTGGTTATTATCTTCCTTTTGCAGGAGCACTTTGAATATCTGAGAACTCCAGGTATTTTCCGCTCAGGAGCTGGAGTACACTTGAGGAGGGGAAACACGAGGCCCACAGTAGAGACTGCAGGCTGGGTGTTGGCATGTTTTCTGCTGGCCTGCAGGCCGGGTGGTCAGAGCCTTGTGTGACTGCTGTGGACGCGGGCCCTGGGCAACGGCACTGACAGCCAGAAGCAGAGCTCCCCCTCTGCCTAGCGTGAGGCCCAGGCAAGCTGCCTAGCATGAGGCCCAGGCAAGCTGCCTGCCCAGAGCTTCGCTGTACCCCACAGAATGCAGTTGGAGCAGACCCCAGTGTTATCCAGCAGGCCCCAGTGTTATCCAGCAGGCAGGATGTTCTGCCTTCTCCCTGCTTTTGTTACACTGAACTTTACAGATAAGCAGTTGAGCACTTACTCTCAAGAGTAATAAGTCTGTCTTTGTTGGAGACCAATTTATTTCCTCATAGTTGTCTTCATTACAGAGATAAGAGAGAGATTTTAAATGCAGCCTTTTTTTTCATTTTTTTTTTTTTTCTTTTTAAACCCATTTAGGACACAGTGCTTTGCACCTCGCAGCCAAGAACAGCCACCACGAGTGCGTCAGGAAGCTCCTTCAGGTAAAATGGCAATGACTTAAAATGATAATCCTGTCTTTTTTAAAATTTCAAAGTAACCTTATCTATGAACCAACAAACAACCTCTCTCTTCCTCCCTCCCAGCCCCCCTTCCTCCCTTCTCTCTACCTTTCCCTCACAGTCTTTTAAATACGGTCCCAGAACCTGGGTTTCTATGACAGTTGTAGCCAAGAAAAGTATTTTAATCGCAGTGCCACTGGTAGAAAAGGGAACCTAATCAAAATTTAGAGTATCTCTCTGGGATCCAGCCTTTTTAAAACCCATTTGTTCAGCGCCTCCTATTTTGAAAGACTTGTGCCCTTTCAATTGTTAGGTTTTTTTTTTTTTTTTTAAAAATGCCACGCTCTTGGAGAGTCTTACAATACAGTATCTCCAATATCCTCATGTTCTGTCTTTCAACCATGGGTAGACTACAATTCTTAAGGAGCAGAATTTCAACCTTGACTTCCTGGTATGTAACTTGATGAGATTTTGCTTCTTAGTTTTTGTTTAAGTTCTTGGTTTTATTCTTCTTGATAATTTCCAACCAATTCCATGGTTTGATAACTTTGCTAGGAAGTTTATAATGATCACTTAAGGTGACAATTGCCCTAAATCTTTAAAGATGAATATTTAATGAACTCCCAATAGCACTTTGTACAGTAACCCCCAGCTGTTCCCAGTCACTGAGCAAGCTGGCTGTTCTCAGGAACAGCACGGAGCAATAAAAATATGTGTTTGGAGTACTGTCTGTTCTGCTGAACTGTGGTCTCTGCTGGCATGAGCATGGTGTGGGACCCAAGGCATCTTGCTTTAATTTGACTTTGCATTTCTAATGCAGAGACCAAAGACGTGGTCACATTCTTTGACTTGTCCTGTTCTTGTCTAACATTACATGAGGCGAGCTCCTGCCAGGGCCAGGAATGCTTAACCTTAACAGGTCTTTGAGGCGAAATTCAAGAAAAATAGATCTTCATCTGTGATTATTATTTTTTGTTATGAGACTTCTCCCCAAAGACAATTAAAAGAGAACTTTTCTTATCTCCACCTCTGGGATCGGGCTTTCTGGATAATGAAAATCATTGTTCAGGTACCCTGCCTCCACATCTTGGGCCCTACCTCATTTTTTAAAACTTATTTGTATTTTAACTCACCATTCCCATCCTGGCTTGACTATCCAGACCTTGCATCTGGCTCTGATTTTAAGGAAGAATGAACCCGACAAGCTGGAAATCCTCATGGGCAACGACCAGATATTCTAGCCTCTAATGTAATTTTATATCTGGTTATGCAAATGGATTGGTTTTTCTCTGGAATCTTTGAAGCCTTTAAACAGTCCCTTGTGCTGTTCTAAAATTAGGTCAAACCATGGTAAGTTGTAACTTGATCTCCATTCTTCTTACCACTGAAGGGCAGATGAACACTTCACTCTGAAGTTGCCTGTTCCTGCCTCCCTCACTTGCAGACTGTCTGAATGCTCTTCTCCTTCTTGGGTGGTTGTTAAAACATGACTCTGATGTCTTCCCCTTGAGTTGCATTTGCCGGAACCTGTGTCTGGTCAGTTCTTCCCCTCTCATCTTGGCAAGCCATGTCCTCTGCGATGTGATCCCTGTTGTCCCCTGCCACCACTCATCCCTGCATCCTCTGCATTTCCTCCTTTCTCTGGCCTCCTAGACATTTTCCTTACCATCTGCCATGACATGGTGCACTGGGTCAGGCTCTGAGTAAATACTGACCAAGCAAGCGCACAGCCCCTTTCCTGATGGCACTTGGATTCTGGTAAATAAGTAAGTCCCAAACACATGTTCAAGTTGCACAACACTAGGAAGGAAATGAACAGGCAGCTGGGCAGGCCCAGTGAAGGGTGGATGATCAGAGAAGGCCTTATGGGCAGGTGCTGTTCAAGCTGAGGCCTCAACAGTGCAAAGAGCAGCAGTCCAGGCAGCCCACAGAGAGAATATAGAAGGGCTAAGGAAAAGCACTACAGAAGAGGGCAAGCCAGTGAGCAGACCTGGGCAAAGCGGTAAGGAGGAGAAGCACACAGGCGCTCTGAGGCTCCGACGGGCAGATTGTGGTTCACCTGAGTAGAGTGTGGAGCTGTGAAAGGCTTGTCAGTGAAGACTAATATTCACAGTTTGCAAAGATACCTGACTTTAGAGAGAGATGATTAAAGGGAGGAAAAGCAGAACTCAGAGACACACTGGTAAGGGTCATAGCTGTCCAGGTGCAAAGGTTCTGGCTCAGGTAAGTGTGGCGGTGGAGGAGCAGAGAGTAGATCCAGGGTGAGTTTTGGAGATGGAATGGACAGGACGTGGTGATTAAAGGTGGGAGGAGAAATCAAAGAGGAGAAATCAGAGTTGACTCAGTGACTTCTGGCTCAGTGACTGGTTTGCTGTGGCCCTTTCACAGGGACAAGGAAGAGAGGGGGTGATCAGGCAGGGTGTGGGGAGAAGCCAGAAGTTTTGGCCTGCTGTGCGTTAGGTGCTGGGGAGACAGTAGCATGGAAATGAGAATTAGGCTGTGGGATACCAAGCCTGGAGCTCCAAGATGGCACCTGTTGTGTACAGATAAGAACACAGGCTGTTACCCAGCTTGTCTGGGTTTGAATCCTGCCCTGCCACTTAATGTGATTTGAGCTAATTATTAGCTTATTTGTGCCCCAGTTTCCTCTTCTGAAAATGGAGTAATAATATCTAACTAGGGTTCCTAAGAGTCTTAAAATGATTATTTGAACAGTTCCTGCCACATACAGCTAATATTTACCATGTAAGGAGACTTACATGATATTATTAAGATAAAATGCATTTGGGGGTCACTGGCTTTTGTTTCAAGCTGTGGATGTATTTCAAGCTACAGATGTGGATGAGATAGCCCAGGCGGAGAGCTGAGCGAGGAGCTGAGGAACGCCAAGGTTGTGTGTGTGGCTCAAGGGAGGTGTGGCCAGAGTCATGGGAGGAATATCAGGAGGGGGCGGGTGAGGTAGGGCTGTAGGAGCCAGGAGAACAGGGTGCTGGGAAGGTGAAGTGCCCTGCAGGTGTGAGGTGACTGATATGTGGAGGACAGAAGTGCTTATTGTCCTTGGAAATGTGAAGGTTGCTGGTGACCGAGACTAGAACCTCCTGCCTGCAGTCATGAGAGCAGACACCCAACTGCAGTGGGCTCAGGAATGAATGGCAAGTGAGGGAGCGAAGATGCATGTGGGCAGTTCTCAAGAGAAAGTTGGTTTTGAAAGGGCTTAGAGAGTCAGGGCAGGGAATGGTGGGGGAATGCTGGGATCAAGATGGGAAATCTGAGAGCATGTTTGGTAGCTAGTGGGGATGACCCAGTGGCAGAGTGATGGTACCAGGGAAAGCGGGGCACGCTGAAGCAGCAGGGGGTGGGCAACTTGCCTGTGTCATGATTACGTGGATATGGGTCTCCAAATAATTAAAGTATTCATGTTTATATCCTTTCTAATGAGTCTGTCATACCTTTCAGGAAAAGGGTGAACTGAACAGGAGTGAATTTTATTATATGCATTTATTTATTTTTGTCTTGTAGTCTAAATGTTCAGCCGAAAGTATTGACAACTCTGGGAAAACAGCTTTACACTACGCAGGTAACTTTCATTCTCTTGTCTTCTTTCTGCCATAAGAAATACTAGCTTTTCATTTTCCTTATTTAAATCATTAACCTTACTCTATAAGTCCTGGTGCTACTTCATTGCCTTCATTGCTATGTATTCCCATTTTACTTAATTTACAAAATGTGTAACATTGTAGATCTAGTGTTCATCAGTTGCTGGCCAAACAACCGGTAAAAACTGTTCTGCTTGTTATATTTAAGTGAACTCAACATTCTTGTTTAAACGAAGAGATAGTCAAACACGTTTATATTTTTCAAGTCGTGTGATACAGATTTTTTGGTTTGAGGTGCAAAAGGGATATTAATTTCATTTACCAATGATTTGTTTTATTATCACACAGCTTCAAGGGACACTGAATTTGGAGATGATTAGATTTACAAGTTTAGTGCTAACTGTGGAAAAGCTAAAGTAATGAAAAGCTAAACCAGTGTTTGCCTAAAGGCAACTGACAGTCACTACCTTTAGGTTTGGATATCACCAAATTTAACAGTCACCTGAAACACCTCTGAAGCTTCCTAACACCGTCTGTCGTCATCAGCTAGACTGACTGTCTACAAACTGGGCTAACAAGGAGCTGTTCCTTCTAGAGGTTCTGATGCCCTGGTTGTGAGTGTGGCTTTGTGATGGTTGTGGTGTTTGTTTTCCTCTCCCTCAGCGGCACAGGGCAGCCTTCAAGCCGTGCAAGTTCTTTGTGAGCACAAAAGCCCCATAAACCTCAAGGATTTGGTAAGTACCAGGCGACCACTGGCTTCCTGAGCTCTCTGGGCTACGTCAAGTGTCACTAAGAAGCTAGAAGAGCAAAGTACTTGGCAAAATTCTTACTTTCCAACCTAGATCCCCTCCTGCAAGGTGGATTTAGTATTTTCCATTAGGCACTTACTATCTATGTGTATTTGTTTCTAAGGGTTGAGGTGTAGTATACCCTCAAACTAAATATTAATAAGGTTTAATGTCTTGATTTTTAGAAATAAATTAGCCCATATAGTAGATCTGTTATTTTCCTTCTATACCCAAAGTGTCACTTTGGGTACTCCTGGTTAGGGTATCCCAGCTTTGAAACTATGTCTAGTCGATTGTAACCTCACTGGGATATTTTGAGAGTAAATTTATATTCCTTTGGTTTCTGGTTATGCAGTTAAATTTCCTGCTATGCAGGAGGAGACATATACCCAATGGGGATAATATAAAGTGAGTTAATAGAATTTGTAAATAATTCCATACTTCCTGAATCTCAGTAGTTTATAGCCAGAAAGATTAGACTTTCATAGAGGTGAAATTTTTAAAATGTGTCCAAAATTATGCTTTAAAACGACACTTTAACCTTGTAACGGTTGTAAAAATCCCCATGTTAAAATAATGGGATATTTTGTGACTAACCTTTTTCTGTTGCCTATTTGAGTACTTCTACCTGAAAAAATTATTGTCAACTCTGTGGACTGTATTTATGGAAGTAGAGAAAAAACTGCTTTCTATGGTTTTTACCATTTGAGTCAGGCCCCCTTCACCCTAAGATTGTAGACTAGACCCCTACATACTCTTCTTGTATTCTTGCATTTGTTTTATACTGTAATGTTTACATTCTTAATCTACCTTAAATACTTTGTATATGAAATGGGGATCTAATTTTCTCTTTTCCAAAGGAATTGCCAATGGTCATTTTACAACATACTAAACAAATCATTCTTTCCATCAGTTTCTTTATCTAGTTCTATGTCAGTAGTAGACAGACTCATGATTGTGATATTTTTGATACCTGATGAGACCATGAAAGAGCATGCTTTCCAAGAAGGGAATTGTGAAATGTTAGGGTACGTGTAGGTGACACAGAAGAAATTACTTAGAGATTAGTGGGACCTACTGGTCATCCCTTCATTTCTTCAGAACCATCCTGTGATAAGCATGGCAGAACTGCCTTGAGACTACATACTGAGTGTTCCACTGTCTCCCACATCATCACTAGACTGAGTGATAACTCAGTTATCAGCAGCTCAAGAGGCTAACTGTTAGCCATCAGTCAGTGAAATTCTATAGGAAGATTGTACTAAGATATAATTGTGGGCCTATCATGACACTCTGTAATGATGGCTCAGACATAAGACCAGCAGGAGGATTCAGGAATACTTAGAGGAAGGATCTCTACATTTCTGGCATTTGTTGTCTGAGTTAAATGTTAATCAGAATTTGTTCCTAGGATGGGAATATACCACTGCTTCTTGCAGTTCAAAATGGCCACAGTGAGGTCTGTCGCTTTCTCCTGGATCATGGAGCAGATGTAAATTCCAGGGACAAGAATGGAAGGTACCTCAAAATTAGAAGTCATATGATTTCAGTGCTATCCATATTCCAAGAGGTTTTTAAATTATCATTATTGGATCTTTTGTGACTTTAACTTATGTACTTTCATAATTTCCTACCTTTTTGATATTCAAGAATTTCTTTTGGCTTACAAGTTTTCCCCGAGACATCCGGGTGCATTATTGCTAAATGAGTCTATGGTGAAATTATTAAATACTGAAATGAGCAGGATATTTCCTTTGACTTTTCATGCCAAATTAAACACATTGGTGGTTTTTTTATAAATAATCATGACAATGCATTGTTCCTTTAAAAGACTTGGGGCAAGAGAAGGACAAGATGTGTGCCAGTCATATTAAATTCCATCATATTTAGTAGATTATGTTTAGAAGATTATGTCTGCTTTATTTGATCTACATTGTTTAATGTTTTGATTTCATTTAAAGTGTTAAAAAGTGACTACCTAATTTCCTCTTGCTCACATTCCATTTTAAATGGACTCTTCCCAAGATTAAGGGTCTTACAGTTTGATTGGCACCTGATCTTTTCCCTGTTTTTAAGACAAATGACATGATTTCATAGGAAAGCTTTGACATTTTATTAGTACTCATTTGCTGTCTCCTTTTTCCTTTAGGACTGCTCTCATGCTGGCTTGTGAGATTGGCAGCTCTAACATTGTGGAAGCCTTAATTAAAAAGGGTGCAGACCTAATCCTTGTGGACTCTCTTGGACACAATGCCTTACATTACTCCAAACTCTCAGAAAATGCAGGAATTCAAAGCCTTCTATTATCAAAAATCTCTCAGGATGCTGGTATGTGAAAGAAAATAGCCAGTGTTGTTTTAAGTTTATCCACTCCATTTTCCCCAAAGGATAAAGGAATTTGTACAATATGATATATTTTATTATCCTTTTAAACATATTCTTAAGAAAAATGAAGTGCTAACTGTTGTGTATATTGTGTATGTGTTTATTTTGTGTGTATTGTATACTCCCACCCAAAGTGGCTATGAGTCATTATAGTTCTTATCATTCTTTTTTCCCACCTTTTCCTCTATAGATTTAAAGACACCAACAAAACCAAAGCAGGTATTTATCTTTGTGGGGTGGGCAGGGATATTTTTTTATCTTTGTTAGAATTTGAAAATGTTCTGATTAAAACACTGTTTGGTCCATTAGACAAGTAATAACTGTTGAAAATGCTTAAGGAATGAAATGTCTTTAGAATAAATTATTAATCACTATAAGTTGGTAAACATTTTCTTAATGATTTACCTTATTTCCAAAGCATGTAACTTTAAACTTACTACTTATATATTCATCTTTTTCTGAAATGTACTAATATTTCTTAATGGTGTGAAAGTTTGATGTGGCTTAAACTCACAGTAAGTAACAGTATTTTAAATTCTTATAATATCACATGGATTATACACTCATACCCATGGCAAGGTTTGATATCTAATGAAGGTGGGAGGTAATAACTTTTGCTTTTAACACTCATACTTATGGCAAGGTTTGATATCTAATGAAGGTGGGAGGTAATAACTTTTGCTTTTAATTGGGGCTTTTCCAGAACGTTATTAGTGTTACACCCAAGAACTAGAACAAAGAACAAAGTTTGCCCTGTTATTTTGGAGTTTTTCCTAAAAGGGAAACTTTATTGTTCACTTTATTAACAAGGTACATGTTTGTCAGATTTATCTATTTGCATGTCAATGTTCTTGAAAAAATTGTAAGCAACAAATAATACTGAATTTTTTATGTGCTAATTGTGTTATTTATCCCTAACCTCTAGAGATGAGGTTCTCCTTCCCCCCATATATTTGTATTCTTTAAGAAAATTAATGGGAATAATGCAAAGGTGGGGGAAATATCACTGCTTTGCAGTAAGATGGAAACTAGACTAGGGTGCATTTTAGGTTCTAATTGTGACAGACAACTCTTGATCCTCCTACTTTTCCAGTTCTCTACATCAGCTTAATATGGTTTTGTCTTGTTTTGTTTTGTTTCTTGCTATTAAAACATGGCTGCTGGAAGAAAACTTGGAGCATGCATTATTACTTATTTTTATGTTGGTAACTGATTTCAGATCTTGATGAAGTAAGAAATGCATGAACTGTTGAGTTTTTTTCTCATTTGTTTGATGAAACTATTTACTCAGTCTTTACTAACATAACTAACCCACCTCCGTTCTTTGGATTGTGCTAACTTTCAGCATGATCAAGTCTCTAAAATAAGCTCAGAAAGAAGTGGAACTCCAAAAAAACGCAAAGCTCCACCACCTCCTATCAGTCCTACCCAGGTAAAAACAAAAGCAAACCAACCACGAACAAACATACAACAACAAAGCCATAATTTTGTCATTTTGTGTTTAGGCCAAAAACAAATGTTTTAAAACTTTTAAACAAAAGTTTAAAATTTTAAATTTTAAAGTTTAAATTTTAAATTTTAAAGTTTAATTTAAAACAAATGTTTTAAATTTTTTTCTTTTGTGATTTCAAATTACAAATAATGCTTTGAATGATTGTTATTAGTAGTATGGAAATAATGTTGATTCTTATTAACTTTGAAGCTGAAGAATGAAACAGTATCTTCTTTAAAAGCCCCCAAAATATTTCTCAAAACCTTATGACAGTACTTTTTCTTAGTAAGATCAGTCTACTTTTAGTTCCTAAAATGAAAGTGCTAGTAAAAGGTGGGAAAAAGAGGCATCTGGTAAGAGAATTAGAATTGAGTTTTAGTTGGTTTCTTAAGATGTTAATATGCCTTTCTAATTTCTTTGAAAGTTGGCTAATATTAAAAGCAGCTTTCATTTCTGAACATACTGCATGACTACTGACTAAAGGAGGAAGCTGGATATCTATGAAATGCAAATGAAAACAAGATGGGGCTTGTTATTAAAATAATTTTAGGCCATGAAAGGGATAATCCATATTCAAATAGTTGAGAGAAATATTTCATCCAATAGGTAATTCAAATATGTTGGCTTATGCATTAATATTCTCAATCTACAATAGATGTTTTATAGTTTTAATTTGATTCTAGTAAATATAGGAGTAAAGTTACTTAGTTTAAACTGCAGACTTTCAAAAAAAAATAAACTCATACTTTCAAAAACTTGGGCTATTTGAAGACGCTAAATTACATTGAAAATATGTTATCCCTGAATTCATTGAAATTAAGCATAGTTACTATTAGATTTACTTACATAGGTTGAATAGGTTAATTCTTTAGCGCTGGAGAAGAGCAGGCATTAAAGAAGTAATCCTTATCAGTGGTATAATTTTTTTTTTTTTTTTCAGTTGAGTGATGTGTCTTCCCCAAGATCAATAACTTCAACACCACTTTCTGGAAAAGAATCAGTATTTTTTGCTGAACCACCCTTTAAGGTATTTCCTTTCTATGTTCAATTTTGCTGTTGAATCTTATGATACATAACAGACTGGGTTTACATTTTACAATACTGGCAAAATAATATACCTCTTAATGATTGAGTAACATCATTTTCATATTATTAGTTTTCCTGGCATGGACTCCCTACAAAAAGAGTGGAATGAATACATTACACTCATTAACTAACAATTTTCTTCATTTAAAAGAAGAAACAAAGATAAGAACTTTCCTGATAACCAGTCTTCTTACCAAACTGAGTTAAAATAAAGCCAATTGACATAAAAGACATTTTTGTTATTCTCTGGTATCTTACTGAGAAGTAATTATGTACTTTTAACTAAACTTCTTCCTGACTGTAATAATAGTGCATTTCAGAAATTTTAGAAAATCCACTATGTCTTTATTACATCTGATTCTGTAGATGTGTGGTTGAAAATTATTTAAAAGAGTAGAAAAAGATTTCAGCTCCTTATCTATTTACCTAAAAAATACTAGGAAATTGTATTTGGAAAGAAAGTAATTGTTAAACTGAAATTTCAATGTTATAATTTTGTTTCTCCCATCTAAGAATTAGAAAGGATAAGTTTTCTAACTTCAGCGCACATTGATTTGAAAAAGATTCTACCAGCTTATCAATTCTCTCATTTTAACTAGATTTTATTAATAAACTCTTAAGATGAGTAACTATACAAAGCAATGTCAGACATTATGCTCTTATAATTAGTACCTTAGTATTTTCTAGTGTAATTGTGGCTTAAAGATAAAAAATGACGCCATTTAAAATAACTAAAATTTTAAAAAAAGCATCAATTATTGGTTTGGATATGAAAGAATTAAAATTCTGTTACTCTGCTGATAGGAATGTAAAAATGGAAAATTACTTTCAAAAATAAGTTTTTTAACAGTTTCTTTAGGTGTTAAACCTAACATATGACCTAGCCATTCACTCACAAATATTTACCCAATAAAATGAAAATCTTTGTCTCAAAAAGTGTTATACTACACATATAGCAGCTTTATTCAGATGTCTTCAAATAAGAAGCAACCCAAATGTCCTTTAATAAGTGAGGTGATAAAGAGAATGAGATATATCTGTGAGTTGTTGGAGTATCCTGAGCCATTAAAAAAAATAAATGAGATGCTGCCTAAACAGCATCAAAGATGAATTAGAAAATCTTCATGTAGCGTGAAAGAAGCCAGACACAAAGAAATGTTTTGTGACATTCTATTTATAGGAATTTTAGAAATGCAAAAAGGAGAGTAGTGATTGCTGGGGATGGGGTAGGAAAGGATTAGCTCTGTGGAGGCCTGAGGAAACTTTCAGGGTAATAGAAATGTTCTGTTTTTGATTACAGTGATGGTTCCATAGGTATGTATTTGTCAAAACTCCTCAAATTGCAAACTGTTAATGGATACAGTTTATTGTACCTGAATGTAGTTGAAAAATAAGTACATATTTTTTAAAATGAAAAAAAGCATTTTGTACAGATAAGAGCTTGCCAAAATTAAGCCACTTTATTTATCATTTCGGCCTTTACAAAATTTCCTTTGCTGAAAAATTATATCTCTTATCATGGTCTGTGGCTCATCTAGATGAAACATAATAATTTTTGGCAAGTCACTGTATTTTGTTTGGAAATAAGAGTCTGGCTTTGACGTTACAAGACTTTTTACAATAAATTACAGACTTTCAGGGACAAAGGTTTATGGGAAATCTTTATGGGATCAATTGTTGATCCAAGACTATAAGAATTTTTACTTCCTTATAAAACTTTATCTTCCCTGACAGGACTTATTTACTGCCATTTCTTTCAGAAGTATTAATGCATATTAATGGCAGATAATTTACAAAATGATAAAAATAAAAGGTATTGTTAATATATTTTAATCAATTTATTACCCAAATAGTTAAAACTTTTATTTGACTTCATTATGAAAATAGTATTTTCTAGCTTAGGTTTAAGGACATAGCCCACTAATTTAGTTATTACCTAAAATTATTACAATCTTAAAAGATACTTTTATTGTACTTACTAAATGAAATTTCTGAAAACCATTTTGAGAATATGTTCTCTGTACCTCTGTTTTAGAAATTATGCCTTCGTAGATTATTGTCACCTTTACTCACATATGTTTTATATATTCTTTTCTTGATATTTTTTGTTTTTCTAGTAGGATAACACCAATTCTGGAAATTGGAAAAATTAGTTGATTCTTTTGTGGGTTGTCACATCCAGAAATATTCTTTTAAGTCATTGTTCTTATGTTCCAGCAGGCTGAGATCAGTTCTATCCGGGAAAACAAAGATAGACTAAGCGATAGCACTACAGGTAAGACAAAGTCTAGTCCATGTCCTTTCAAGAGAGCAGAGGCCACATGGGAAGTTGTGCATGGGGAAGCCAGAGATGGCCCTCGTGCCACCCTACAGCTGCTAATAACACACAGGCTGTCTGTGTTCAGAGTCCTCACCAAGATTTTACGGTGTCTCTGAGCTTGGATGTGAGAAAATATATCTCTATTTTCATTTGTCCCTAGCCAAATACTAGCACTTCCTTCCATTACGAAAATAGGCAAGAGCTGCCAGTGGTATTAGCAGTCCAGTGAGTTTGACGCCAAATGAATTCACAGTGTCTTTCACCTGTTAACTGCACATATCTTGAAATATTATTTACAGTTTCTTTACTAAAACTGATGGCAGTCATTGGACCTGCTGCTGGATCTTATTTGACATGTTATAAAATAAGCTCTTAAATTATGAATGCCTATGTATTCTGTATTATGTACTTTCAAATGTTATTTTGCGATGAGGGGCATGGACCTCGGACCATCAGCCAGCTGCACTCCTCAGAGCTCAGCAGCAGGGCGTCTCTGAAGGAAGGGCCTCTGACCATCTGCTGGGCTGCCACAGTCTGACTTCTCTATTTCGGAGTTTGATGGGCACATGTTAAGATGGTGTTAATGGAATCAGACAGAGTTTAATTCAGTGTATTAAGAGGTCATCCTGTGTGTTTAGCCCCCCAAAAATATAGTACAGTACCTTCAAAATAAATTTAAAATGTGTCATAGCTTATGTCATAGACCCTTTTTGACTCAGCTTTCAGGTTTTTATAGTCAATTATCCATTTCCTATGCATCAGTAGCTTTCTATTTACAGAATTTAGAAATACTAAACTTTCTCTAATTCCTGGCAGAGATCAGTGTTCTTGGAACTGAACAATTGTCACACTGAGTACTTTGAAAATCCTCCATTATGTCTTAGAAGTAACTTCTGTGGTTGGGGATTAAAGTGTGGCTCCCAAGCTTACCAGACGTCACTCAGGGGACTCACAGGGTCATGGCTTAGGCACCAGACGTTAGAAGCAATGTCTTCTGTGAAGGTGAAAGACATTGTGAATGTTCTTCTATGAAGAAATGTAATTTAACATGCTGCCAAATTAAGATTTAAGTTTTCTTGAGTGAATTAAATGGCATAAGAAGATAAAAGATATGAGTAAAAAAAAAAAAAGAAAAGAAAATCAGTTCTATGTAGGTTGTGGTCTAAAAACTGCTGCCAGCCAGCGGTGAGTGAAGAATGGGCACCGGAACTGCCCGCCCCCCCACCCCATCTCACCAGCCCACTGCTTGGTCCAGATGACAAAGGAAGACTTTCTGTATGAAAGCAGTAGTACATTGAATTATATTCTGGAGCAAATTATCTTGTGTCCCTGAACACTGAGTAGCATTGCTTTTAGATGCTATTTCATGATAATTTGTAGCATGTCAGATAGTTGTGGTTTACCAGCAGTGATTCCTGTGGAATTCAGAAGAGAAAAGACTTTCGTGGTGGGTGGTCAGCAAGTGCTTTGAGGAGGAGACAGAGTTTGTCATGGGTGTTGAAGGATGCCTAGGAGTCATCTAGCCAGAGGGCAGCTGCACGGGCAATTGTATGATGTAGAATTAGAATGGCTGCCTCATTTTGACAGTAGAGAGGGTGTGCTATTAGAAACTTTGTATCTAAGAAAAATGGAAATATAGAGAAAATCACAAAGCATAAGCCTGAAAATGTAGAAGAAGCTCATAAAGGCTTTAATCTGGATAAAGGAATCTGGAGATTGCTTTGGGAGAGAGAGCAAGGGAAGCACTCAAACCAAAGGAATGACCCTACCCCAGCATGTTTCAGGAAGACTAGTCTCTGACAGTGTCATGCAGGGAAAGGAGAGATTTGTTAGGAAGCCATTGCAGAGTTTCCAAGTTTGATGATTAAGTTTGAAGTGGAGTCATGCTGGTGGAAATAAGAAATGTGCCCACTTCCAGAAATGTTTCTAACAGGATTCACTGAAATGGGACTCACTAGGCATGACAGGAAAAACTCAACCATGGTATCACACTCAATCAAGTGAATGGAAAATGTATGAGCAAAGCCATCAGTTTTCAGATGACAAAGCTACATTTAGGCCTCTCATATTGTGCTAGGGATGCCCCAACACGGTAACACAGCAACCAGGAGTCACTGTCCATCTGTCCAGCTGGTGGGGCCTTTCATAGTCAGCACTAGTTTTTAAAGAACTGGATTGGGCTAGAGAGTGAGCTTGTAAGAGGTTGAGAAATAGCAGTTTAATTTAATTTAATTTTATTTTTTTAAAGATTTATTTATTTTTATACAAGAGCTGAGGTACAGGCCAGAGGCATGGGAGGGTGAGAGGATTCACCAGAGACAGAGTGGGGAACAGAACAGGCAGACTGACGAAATACACTGCTGAGGGGAGCAGCGGGTGTGACAGGAGAGGTCTGCAGCACCATGTGGGATTAGCGCCGCCGGCTGGGATCGAACCCACACTGTCAGGCTGTGGACAGCTTCACAGCATGGTGGTCAACCTGCTGCACCATCGGGGAGGCCCAGCAGTTTAATTTTTAAAAATATTATTTTAAATTGCCTTTCTCTTTTCCCAAGGTGCTGACAGTTTGTTGGATATAAGTTCTGAGGCTGACCAACAAGATCTTCTTGTCCTATTACAAGCAAAAGTTGCTTCTCTTACCTTACACAATAAGGAATTACAAGATAAGTTACAGGTAAGTAAATAGATTGCTCCCCCAGCCTGTTCTGTAAGGCCAAGCTATTGGTGCTTCAGGTTTAGTCAGGTGAGATTTTGTTTTCAACATCTGCATTGGTTTCTACTTTGTAAATATAGCCTTGAGCAACTTAAAGTTTCAAATTGTTTATTGAGTTTTTAATTAACTGTATTTCTGTAAATTGGCAAATTATATATAATATATATGCTATATATATAATATATACATATGACTATGTCTACTCTGTGACTAGCTATTTATTTAATAAAGTTGATCATTTAGCAGATTTGAGAAGTTGATAAGAAATAGCAGTAATCAGACTATTATCTCTGTTGGTAACTAGAATAATTTTAGAAACAAAGGGAAAACTTGAATCAGAGTCTTGGTAGCCAAATTAATTCTAGTGCTTTTAAGGTGGCACAGCCTGTCTTGAGAAAGCATAGAAGGAAACTTGTTCATCTGACTCTCCTGTCCCAGGCCGTATTTGCATATTTTTTTCATGGGGTTAAGGATACACACAGAAAGCTTCCTTGCTCTTCCATACCTGATTTTGGGGTCTGCCTTCTCCTTCTAGTTGCTTGCTTACCTAACCACACCTTTGGGGGCATCTCCTTTTTGCCTTTTGCAGGCCAAAGCACCCAAGGAGGCAGAAGCAGACCTGAGCTTTGACTCTTACCACTCCACTCAAACTGATTTGGCCCCACCCCTGGGCACAGCGAGTGAAACCTCACCCCCAGACCCCAAATCATCTCCGCCTGTCTTAACTCAGTCCTTGGTGAAACCCACAGCCGACAGCGATGTCAGCATTCACCAACTCCAAGAGATTCTGCAGGACTTGCAGAGGAGACTGGAGAGCTCTGAAGCGGAGAGGCAGCAGCTCCAGGACGAGCTGCAGTCCAGAAGGACAGAACTCGTGTGCGTAAACAATGCTGAGATTTCAGAGAACGGCTCCGACCTCAGCCAGAAGCTAAAAGAAACTCAGAGCAAGTATGAGGAGGCCATGAAAGAAGTCCTCAGTGTGCAGAAGCAGATGAAACTAGGGCTTGTCTCCCCCGAGAGCGTGGACAGCTATTCCCATCTCCGTGAGCTGAGGCTGAGCGAGGAGGAAATAGGTGTGCTGAAGCAGGATCTCCAGAAGGCATTAGAAGAAAGTGAAAGAAATAAAGAGAAAGTGAGAGAGTTAGAGGAAAGACTTGTGGAGAGGGAAAAAGGCATGGCGATGAAGCCATCTGCGGAAGAGTATGAAGAGATGAAAAGTTCCTATTGCTCTGTGATTGAGAATATGAATAAGGAGAAAGCGTTTTTGTTTGAAAAATACCAGGAGGCCCAAGAAGAAATCATGAAATTAAAAGAGACACTGAAAAATCAGGTGCCCCAGGAGGCCGGGGATGATGCTGGGGATATGAAGGAGGCCATGAATCGCATGATAGATGAACTCAACAAGCAGGTGAGTGAGCTCTCCCAGCTGTACAAGGAGGCCCAGGCCGAGCTGGAGGATTATCGGAAGAGGAAATCTCTGGAGGACGTGACAGCTGAGTATATTCATAAAGCAGAGCACGAGAAGCTAATGCAGGTGACGAACGTCTCCAGGGCTAAGGCAGAGGAGGCGCTGTCTGAAATGAAGACTCAGTACTCAAAAGTGTTGCATGAGTTGAGCCAACTCAAGCAACTGGTGGATGCACAGAAGGAGAACTCTGTGTCCATCACAGAGCACCTGCAGGTGGTCACCACGCTGCGGACAGCTACCAAAGAAATGGAGGAAAAAATCAGCAATCTGAAGGAGCACCTTGCCAGCAAGGGTGCCCAAGTGGCCACGCTGGAGAAGCAGCTCCTGGAAGAGAAGGCGGCAATGACTGACGCCATGGTACCCCGGTCCTCCTACGAGAAGCTCCAGTCGTCTTTAGAAAGTGAAGTGAGTGTGTTGGCATCGAAATTAAAGGATTCAGTCAAGGAGAAAGAGAAGGCCCATGCAGAAGTTAGCCAGATTCGAAGCGAGGTCTCCCAAGTGAAAAGGGAAAAGGAAAATTTTCAGTCTCTCTTGAAATCCAAAGAGCAAGAAGTAGGCGAACTTCAGCAGAAATTCCAACATGCTCAGGAAGAGCTTGCAGAGATGAAGAGATATTCTGAGAGCTCTTCAAAACTGGAGGAGGATAAAGATAAGAAGGTTGGTGAAGTTGTGTTGTTGTTTGGGTCAGTAGCTATGAGACCTGAGGGTCAGCCTTTACGAAAGGCAACAGGGTTAGCGTTCCTTAGCACCAGCCTTAATGAGCTCCATTAAGGAAGCTGAAAAAAAACTCAGAGCTCATTAGACTATTTTTTCAAATCACATAGGTAGTACATATGTGCCCCTTAAAAAATTCCTTTACAGAAGCTTTGCCAAGTTTCAGGGGTCGCAAATGAACCCACAAACTGAAAAGCATCTTGAGCGTCAAATCTGTTGGAATCCAGACACATTCCTCCATCATATGGAAACTCAAGTACTCCCAGACTTAATTCTGTTTCCTGAAGCTTCATGAGTTCTCCTGAGTCAATATAAAAACTCCTTTCTGGGTTTCATTTTCAAAGGCGGCAGAGAGGAATGTGGGGCGCAGGCAGTTCGAGATGGTGCTGGCACTTAGAGGTGGTGCTGGAATTGGGGTAGAGGAAGACAGCAAAGCATGCTGCTGTGCCTGAATCTGCTCTGCTTCCTAGTCCCTGTGTCAGCTGTTCTGAATGGCATTGATGAGAGCACTGTTTCTCCTTTATTCTTTCATAATGAGTCTTTCAAAAAGCTTCCAAAACTAGATGGTTAGGGGGTTGTGTTCACTTTAAAGCAAAATGTCAGAGGCATCAGAGCTCCTGGAACTTTATTCCTGATGGTCCATGTCTGCAACATTGAACATGACATCTCTCTCTCCTTATAAAAAATTCCTGAAATCCTGTTTCCCATTTAGTTTTTCAGCAGGATACCCTTTTAAAGGTAAAAGGACATCAACATCATAGCTTATGTTTCCTTCATGCACCAAAACACAGTATTTCATCAGGGGCCCTTATTTGAAAGTAATGGTTGGGTTGTCTGATGTCATTATTGATTTGATTTTATGGGTTGTCTTTAAATAACAGGAGAGGAATTATTGTAGCATCTTGAATCCCAGAGGCCGGAGAGACTATGTCCAAGACTTAGAAATATCTGAAATTTTGCTTTGGCAGGTATGGTCTTGCCTATTCATATAATTTTCTTCTGTCACTAGATAAATGATATGTCAAAGGAAGTCACCAAATTGAAGGAGGCCCTGAACAGCCTGTCGCAGCTCTCCTACTCAACGAGCTCAAGCAAGAGGCCGAGTCAGCAGCTGGAAGCTCTGCAACAGCAGGTCAAGCAGCTACAGAACCAGCTGGCTGTGAGTGACCATGTTTCTGCTGCCTGGTTTGGGGTGGTGGGTAAGGCAAGCGACATATCAACTCAACTGTTAGTGAACAGAAGATTTGTAGCCTAAAAATGTATAAAACCTCCAGCGGGCTGTTGATTAAAGATTACTTTGGTGAGGGCAAATGAAAGAACTGGTAGATTCCCAGTTATTATCTGCAGTGAGAGGGGTTACGGAGTCACTGGGAAGGGAGGAATAGGCAGGACAGTGAGAAGAGGCTTCTGTCTGCTCATCCACTGACTTTTCACCCCTTCTGCAGTTTTCTGCAACAATCCAAACTGTCTGGCAGTGGCAGGAGCTACTTATTAGGGGTCAGGATCTCTGGCATTCCTGGTCTACATATCTGAAGCTTCTTATTTCATCCGGGAAAGCTCCCATATCTGTATTGGTTTCCTATGGCTATTGTAAAATGAACTTGGTTTAAGACAACACAAACTGATCATCTTTACAGTTCTGGAGATCATGAAGTCCAAACTCAGTTTCACTAGACTGAAGTCAAGATGTCAGCAGGGCTGGTTCCTTCTTGAGTCCCTGGGGTGAATCCAATTGTTTCGTCCCTTTCTAGCTTTCAGAGACCTCCTGAATTCCTTGCCTCATGGCCACTTCCTCCACCTTCAGGCACATCACAACAGCCCCTAGTTTTGTCCTCTCCTTGTTTTTCCACTTAGAAGGACCTTCGTGCTTAAATTTAAGCAACCCCCTCCCCACCGACAATCAGGATAATTTTTCACCCCATCTCAAAATCCTTAATCACATCACCTCTGGAAGAGTCCTTTTGCATATGGATAACATTCACCTGTATGGAGCATGGGTATCTTCGGAGGACCACTATTTCACATATCACAGTATCCATTAAGGTTTTAGTTGACAAGGGTATGTTACATTTTCCACATGAAGTCACTCCTTCTCTGTATATTTGCATAAGCATGTGTACACATTTTTAAAAGTAAATTTGGGATTACAATAACTACTATTTACATGACTTTTCTTCTAGAGTTGACATATCAAGATATGAAATAGATTTCTTTCCCCTAAGAATATTGGCAAGTGCTCAGAAATGCCCAACCTAGTAAGCCCACAACAGTTTATTTTCTGTGCTAGTGTTTAGCAGAGTGTTCGCATGGCTTTTGCTTTTGTTGTTTAAACACTGGCTAACAATGTGCAATGGTCTTTTTCTAGGAATGTAAGAAGCAACACCAGGAGGTCATATCAGTTTACAGAATGCATCTTCTGTATGCTGTGCAGGTATGGCAGCCCCACGCGGTATCTGGGATCCCTACAGAAATACCACACCCTGTGTTGCCCAGACTCCCATCATTAAATTAGTAGAATCCTTTTCATTAGTAAATTTTAAAATGTCTCTTGCTTTGCTTTCAATTAGTATCAGAAGCTCCATGTCCTGTTTACTGGGAACAACTTCATTTGTTGAGAAATGAAGGAAGGTGTGGCTTTTGCCCCATCAGGAGCAGCCCAGGCTTGCTTTTCCAGCCATGTCAATATTCTCGGCACCATCAGCACTGTCTCACCCTGTGCCTGTTAGTGTTCTGGCTAGCTCAGCTCACGTTTGCAATGGAGAACCCAAAAACCCTTTGTGTAGGGCTCTGGAAGACCCAGCCTCTTCCTCTAGCAGGAAAAGAGCAGGACCTTCGCTATGACCCAGTTCCTCATAGAAATGTGGGAATGGACAAGAGGAAACAATCCTTGGAGAGCCTGGGGGAAAGCCCAGGACTTAATGCCAGCCAACCATCTTATTCCTTAGGGGAGACAGTACCAGGACTTAACTTAGGTCCTAATGAGTGTCTTTGGTTTGAATGTCCTAGGGCCAAATGGATGAAGATGTCCAGAAGGTGCTGAAGCAAATCCTCACCATGTGTAAACACCAATCCCAAAAGAAGTAAAGTGGATTCTTTGTAGGACACTGCCCCTTATTGTCCTGTGTTAGATCTGGAACTGTTGGTAACCACTGCCATTGTTCTCATTTGTGGTATGTATGTGCCGTGACCTAGCATAGCTTCTTCCCTTTCCAGAGGCTTCTTTCTGAACACCATTCCAGAAGACTCTCCTGCTCAGAACTTCACCATGGCAGAGGTGAAAGGCTTGGTCATCTGGTCAGACTCTAGAGCTGTTCCTGGTCTGCATCTACCCCACATGGCTTCATCATCGCCTGTTCCTACACTCAGGCTGTGCCGTTGAGCAGGGGAGGGCTCTTTTGGTTGTCAATACCACCACATGATTTAATTTCTAACCAAATAGTATGGCACTGCTCAATTAAGATCCTTTATCATGATACCCTGTGGATTTAAAAACTCTTAATTCCATCCTTTGTCCCCATCTGCCTTACAGATCTCCTCCCTGCTTATCAATCCAGTTTGATAAGCACTAATAACTAAACAGGTTAAAAAACTAAAGCAAGTTGTCTTTGAAAGTTCTTAAGTAAATCATTGACATACTGCAAATTTTCTATGCAAACTTGCCTCCTGCTATTCTCCATGAAGCTCAGGAAATCCAAACATTTGTGTTTCAACAAAGGATAGTAAACTGTGTGTTTACAGCCAAAAGAATGCCTCATAGTTCATAACCTCAATTTTTTGAAAGTGTTTTTTTTTTTCCTCTACAATATTTATATTGGCTCTTAAGGATGTTTTCATACCTAAGTCCCTAAAGTGAAATTTACATTAGACTATATTAAAACATTTTTTAGATAACCATGCATAAGACTTTTTAAAAATAGAACTTTTTCCTCGACGTTTTCAGCTATAGCAAAAGGTAGTTATGTATTCTGAACTCAATATGAGCTGCCCCCAATAGCCCTAGATGTCCTGCCGATGTGTCCCCAGGACTGTGGCATATGTCTAAATACAGTAAATCCTTTTTATCATTGAATATGTTCAAATGCCGCAGCTCATACCAGGCCCATAGATTATCTGAAATGCTGTCTGCAAGGACTGTTAGCACCAGTAGGGTAAGCATGATGGTGCCTAGCAAAATTCATGGGGGAAATGTTTCTGTTTACTTCAATGTTAAATGTTTCAAACTTGCTACCAAGTTGACATTGATCTTATTGAGGGCTGTGGACTGAATACAAAAGTCTCTTAGGTTATATATGGCTGAACGTGTAGGCTGCTCTAACAGGGATCCCCAGACCCCAGGGCTGCCTGGGCTCAGAGGGCGCTTGGCTGCATTGGGTGATGGTTCATCTGTGTTGGAGGAAGACCAATGCCAGCAAAGCAAAAATGGCTTTCATGGTGTTAGTTTTCTTAAGTTGTTTATAGTTAGGCAATTTCAAAAATGCTCCAAAGAAATGTGAAAGAACTTTTTGTTGTAGCACTTAAGAAAACACTAAACATCACCCCCCCTCCTGCCCCCACACAGAAATGCTGCAGAGTATGAAACTTGAGACATTTTGTAGGATGCCTGACAAAGTATATAGCCTTTTTTATCTTGTTTCAGGATACATATTTATTACAAGTACTCTGGTTAAATATTGAAAAGTTATATGCTGTAGTTTAGCATTTTGCCTTTGTAATTTACAGAAGACATTGCAGAAAATAAACTTTTGTTTCATTTTGCATATCTGCTGTTGATTTTTGGTGCATTCTTAGCACATCTATGGTTTCTGAAGATCAGGTCCGTGGTATTGCAGGCTGACATGGTTTCTATACACTGCTTCCCTTCATGGGAAGCAGTTGTCTGAGGTTGCTTACTGATCGTCCTGTCCTGTCTATTTCCTAGATCCTGGTTCACCTTGAACTCTGCCCTGAGTCCCAACCACGTGTGAGCAGTTAATCCTTTCATTCAAAATTGCCCCAGGTTGATCTGTCATCTCTTTAACTATTTAAAAGCCTCCCATAAGAGGAAGAAATCTCTTGTTTTCTTTTTTTTAAAAAGTAGCACACATATGTTAAATCAAATACATTCTCCTATCACATTACAAAGATAACTCATTTCTGAAAAAAGCTCTTATAGGGTGAATTCTTGCAAGTTGAACTCATAATGAAAACACCAAATACCAATGAAGCAGAAACAATTACTAAGTATTAAGCTAACATTATTCCTCCCCATTAAGGCGACCTTCCTTCACTCACAGCACGACTCTACTGCCTCTGCTTCAGCCCTTGTTGCTACCATATGCCAATCCCCCCAAAGAGAAAGGAATGGAAATAATGCAAACAGTGTATGAGGTTATTCACCTTTTAAATTATCAAGTGCATGTGCATCCTGAGAACTTCAATAGACACCAACCACACAACTCAGAAGAGGATTTCATGAGTACACTTGGCTGGGCACAAACCTAGGTACCAAACCAGTCTTTCTAGTTGGGAAGAAATGCCTTATTTGAATCAGGAGATGAAAAAAAAATTCTCATACCTGCATCACTAGATACAGGCTATAACTGTAGGATGAATGAAATCAGCTGAAAGTGTCTCCTGCCAAACCTGCCTCCAGTTCTGCCCGAGGCAACAGCCCCTAACTTTCTTAGTTGAGCGTGAGACAGTCTGTGTCTATATAGGCACATAGACATGTATTGTACTTCCTCCCTTTATTTATTTTTTACTTCCCCCTTTAAATATAGAAGCATGATATATAAACTTCTGGATCATTGTTTTTTTATTTGAAGTATCTTGGAGATTGGTATCAACACACACATCTCACTGTTTTTCATGATTGCACACTATTTCATAGTATGATTGCACTAGATATTTTTAAACCAGTTCCTCATGAATAGAGTATTTTACAGCCCTAAAAATGATGCAGTGACTATGCTATGTAAAATGTCTTTATGCAAGTGTGTGAGGCTTTTTTGGTTAATTTCCTCATTGCCCGTTTTTATACTAGTTTCCGTCATGTGATTCAGACAGAGAGATTAAAAAAATAGTATAGGCATCATCACAACGAGTGAGAAAGAACGGGCTTTTTTTTTTTCCAGTTTGAACAATAATTTGTTTTCCTTACATAACTTTTAAGACAGACTCCAGAGTCTTTAATAATGAAACCCACCTTTCTTAAGATAAATACATGATATGCTGTGTGGGGGAAATGCTTCCAGGACATGTTGAAGCACAATCTGTTGCAATGTGGCATGAGTGTGGAATGCTGGGCGCTGACAGCAGCAGAAACACTACCCAGCAAAGATGGGGATGATTTTTTTCAAGCAGACTTAAAAGGCAGAAATCTCGCGGCAGAATAAGCTAGAAAAGGCAGTAGACCAAGGTATTTATAGAATAATAATATTTTAAAAAGATTTATGCATACAAGAGCTGGTATGTAGGCCAGAGATGAGAGTGGGGAGTGAGAGATTCACCAGAGACAGAGTGGGGAGCAGAACAGGCAGACTGGCTGAAATACACTGCTGAGGGGAGCAGCGGGCCAGTCTGGAGAGGTCTGCTGCACCCTATGGGCCAGCTCCCTGGCCGAGGATTGTACTTGTGCTGCAGTGGCTGTGGATTGCTTCATAGTGGTAAGACTTTTGACCCCTTGCGCCACCAGGGAGGCCCAGAAGAATAATTTTTGTTCACTAGTTTGGGGCAGAGAACTGTCAAGCATGAGAATGTGTAGTGTACCAAGGAAACAAAGCACAAGAACTAAACTACTGGCCATCATGTGTGGGCTATAGAACTGGTTGATAAGCAACCCATGTGGGGTCCAGCAGCTGGAAAGTCTCCCTCGAGGAATAAAACCCTAAGAGATAGAGTGAGTAGAAAGCAAAAAAAGACACATTACTGTATATTAAAGACCAGGTCTTAAAATAGGGAGAAACAGTATATTCAACAATAACTGAATTTACTAGATTCTATTGATAAATGGAAGATGTGTAGGGGAGAGAAAGGAGCAGAACACAGCCAAATAATGTTAGCTTTTAACAGAAGAAATAGGTAGCAAGGGCCCCCTAGGTGCCATCTCCAACTATTTTGAAACCTGTGCATTTAAATTTGTTTAAATCCACATTGGGGCCTCCCTGGTGGCTCAGGCAGTTAAGCGCCCCACTATGAAGCTGTCCACAGCTTCTGCAGCACCGGTTTGATCCCGGCCAGCTGGCGAGAATCCCACATGGTGAAGCAGACCTCTCCTGTCTCGCCCACTGTTCCCCTCAGCAGTGTATTTCAGTCAGTCTGCAGGTTCTGTTCCCTGCTCTCTCTCTTGTGAATCCTCTCACCCTCCTGCGCATCTGGCCTGTATCCCGGTTCTTCTATAAATAAATAAATCTTTAAAAAAATAAAATAAAATAAATAAATCCACATTGCTGGGCAGAATAACAGCCTCCACCCACCTACCCAAGACATCCAAGTCCTAGTCCCAGAATCCAACTATGTTCTGTTTACAAGGCAAAAGGGAAATAGATTTGGCAATAGAATTAAGGTTTCTAATTAACTGAGCATAAAATGAAATTATCCTTGATTATCTGGGTGGGCCCAAGGAAATCAAAGGGCCTCTTAAGTAGAATAAGGAGTCAGTTGGAAAGAGACATAAAGGTGCTACATGGCTGGCATTGAAGATGGAGGAAGTGGCTGTGAACCAAGGAAGACAAGTGGTCCCTAAAAAGTGGAAAAGGCAACAAAAATTTCTCCCCAAGAGCCTCTGGAAAAAACCAGAGGCTTCAATGTCAGCCATTAAAGATGCCTACCTTTAAAACAATGAGATAATAAAATTTGCGTTAAGTCAACAAATTTGTGACTTGCTGCAGTTGCAATAGGAAACTTGAGAGGCCAGAATCTACTAATGAAGAGTTCTGGAAGAAGACTCAGTTTGTTAAATGTTATTGAACACCGATAAGCCAGGCAATTTGCTGAAGGCTAAAGTCTCAATGGTTACAGTAACTCCTGCTCAGAAGACGCTTCTAGCTGATTAAACAGAACCTGCCATCTAAGGCATTTAGTATTCACTGGGTAGGTGGATAGATGAATATTTAGATGAAGGGATGTCTATAATGCCCTGCATGACCTGATACTTGCTCTTTTGCTGACCTAGCCTTGGGGCTTTCACTCACTCTCATTAACCCTTTTGCTGTTCCTCGAACCCATTATACTTGCTCCTACCTCAGGGCCATTGCACTGGCTATTAACTTTTTAGAACACTCTTCTAGACGACTAGAATAGACTCTTCTAGAACCATGATTTATTTAATGCCACCTTGTCAGAGAGACCATTTTTAACTTTATAAGCTTAACCACAGCCCTCCCCATATGCCCACATTGCTTTTTAGCCTCCTGACTTGGCTTTATTTTTCTCCATACCATTTATCACATCCATGTAACATGGGTCACCTGGATGAGAGAGGGAGAGAGAGTCCTGAAACCTAGTTCACTGTTCCCAAAGCTCAACCTTGGGCAGGTGCCAGAGTCTAGCTGAAGAGGCTTTTCCCTGATTTACACAAAGTTGCTGCTACTCCTATGCCAAGTGCCTTCCAATTTGCCAGGCCATTGTGTGGTTTACTGGCAGCTCTGTTTCTCTTCACCTCAAAGAATAGCTCTAGGAGAGTAAAATCTTAATCCACTTGGTCAATCTTGCTTCCTTAACACTTCAAACAGCATCAGACACACAGTATGTAATTAACAGGTGTTTTTATCTGGGTAGAGAGTGTAAGAAACTTGCAAGTAAACTATGTGTGCCAATCTAGTTGGCTGTCATGACAAATCGTGGACAGGCTACTGTGGCAACTCAGAAAGGAGGTATTTTACCCTGCCCTGAGAGCCAGAAAACACCTTTTAAGAAGTTGTGCAGTCTAAGAGAAAACTTATTTGAATTTCCTTGTTCTCACGTTTCACAGTTCTTGGGGTTGCAATAACTTAGAGATAATCACATTTGATTTAGAGTTAGAAGAATCTAGAAGTACCCTCTATAGATAATTCTTTTGGGTGATTTCTGCAATTGCAATGCTACATCTTCCACCTCTGGATCAAGGGAAGAAGTGTGGGTGACATGCTGCAAAAGCACCATGCACTTAGATTACTAGAGCTAGTGAACAAAGCAGATCACGTCAACTATAAAGTTTATATCTGTGCACAGAGTTATTACAGAGGTCTGAAATTCTAAGAATCTTTTAAAATCCTTTTAATTTGATTTCTATTGTTACAGATAATGGTGACATGCTGCTGGCTAGAGGTAGTTAAATGGAGGTGGAACCAGAGTGTGGGTTGTAGGAATGGGAATTCAGCGCCTGTTTTGGGAACACACTTCCCATCACAACAATCCATAGAAAAAAAAAAAGCAAGTGGTCTGGACAGAAAAGTCCCATTTCAAACACTTAGAAACAATTTCATAGCCACTTCCTAGAATGAGAGAATCCTAAAACATTTCAATTTGACCGAGATCAACTTAAGAAGTAAGGTACACTAGGAGAACAGGAAACATATACTTCCTTTTGTCTCCATACATGTTTACTATTGTTCATAGTGTCACAAGAATTCACAGTTCACCCTCTCACATTCCTGACACTGGAAGGTGTCTCAGGAAGCAAGGGGTACAAAGGCTGTCAGTGTTGGGACTCCTAGGCTGTGACTTGCCCATACCTGGACCTTGACACAGGGAAGCCTGGTTCGTTGCTCTCACCTTGTTCCTTGCTGAGGGTTCTCTTCGGAAACAGAACAAAGGGAATGGGATCTTTCTAAAATATTAGCTCAGGGACTTGAAGGTACAGATTTAAACCTTGAGCTAATAAACTGTCCAGGTTTTACTTGAGATATTTAAGCAAATGCCTTTAAACATCTCCTTCAACCTAACTACAGAAAGATGATCTTGGCAGCCTTGAATCAATGGCAATTAAACTTCAACCTTAGAACTGGAAAGAACAAACACCAAAGGTAAACACTAACTTTCAAGTTCTTAGTAAATATTTTTCTTCTCTGCTGAGGCTGCTCTTTGAAAAGGAGATGGACATACCAACTCCAACTAGCTTTGCCACTGGTCCCTAGTAGACAGGACAACACCCTTCAACACAGGCCGCCAGAGCCAGCGTGATCCATTTGAGTAGTGACCACAGTTGCCCCCGCACCTGTACGTGGTGTGTATTTTGGGTGTTATAAGAACGCACGGCTGCATAAGTTAGGCCTACTGAAATGACAATATTCTGTCAATTGTTAACCATTTGGGGAACTTATGATCCATTTCTTAACGCTGCTCACTTCCTGCACTCCATTTTCCTAACCTGTTGTAGAAACGAATTCTAGGCTTTTACCCAGGCAGAGGAAGAACAAGCGGTACTTCAGGAATGGTGAGGTCAGGAGAAGCTTTGTCACTCATGCATGAGGTCCTAGACCTGGGGAGCCCCATAAGGTCTGAGCACCCGCTTAAAGACCAAGGATTCCTTTTATACACAACTGTGTCCATATCTGTTACATGGATAACATCGTTTTTCAGCAGGCACAACCATTGCTGCAAAGTCCCCAGACAAGGGGGGCAAGGCATGGGGGGAAAGATGCAGGCATTCAGGGATGGCCTTGGAGAGAGAGACCAGCTTGGCCAGCTGCCCGACCTTGTAGATAAGAGTGCTGAGGCCCCGGCCGTGAATCTCAAAGGGAAGGAGCTGTAAGTCAGTAAACTTGTTGATTATGCCTGCATTGGAGTGTTCATTGCACATGGGCTGGAAGTTCTGCTGGAATCTTTATTATATTCATTTGCTCAAAAATGTATTTTCTCATCAAACCTAACAGCTCAAATCTTACTGGGACCAGCAACACAGATGGTGTCGGCACCGTTAATAGTTTCCTCTATGTGTCTCCTCCCGAGTCCTGAGCCAGAACATCTGGGTACCACGGGGGAGCAGCGTGATGCCCAGCACACCCCACACATCGCCGCCTTAAATAAATAGGGTAGCGGTGTCCGACACTCCTTTCCACTCTTTGACGGGATTTATTTATTTAAATATTTTTAAGATTTTTTTTTTTTTTTATACAAGAGCTGGGGTCCAGTCCAGAGTGACGGGAGGGTGAGAGGATTCACAGAGACACAGTGGGGAGCAGAACAGGCAGACTGACGAAATACACTGCTGAGGGGAGCAGCGGGCAAAACAGGAGAGGTCTGCCGCGCCTTGTGGGTATCTCCCTGGCCGGGCCGGGCATCGAACCAGCGCTGCAGATGCTGTGGCCAGCTTCACAGCGCTGCGCTCAACCGCTGCGCCACCGGGGAGGACCCTTCGATGGGATTTAATTCCCCTTCGCGTACCAAGCCCGAGAACTAGGAAGAAAAGCAAAGCGGATGATCCAGCGAGGGGACAGCCCAGGCGCCCGAGTCCAGCCGGCTGAGTCCCCAAAGCCAAAAGCTCCCAGGTATTGGCGCGACCGGACGTGCCGGCGTTGCTATGGTTACAGGCGTCCACGCCGCCCGCGGACGGCCGCGTTCCGTTCCCATGGCAACCCCTTTATCTTGTCAGCGGGAGCCCGGGCAGCGCGCGCGAAGGGCGGACCTCGCAGAGCGTCTCCCTCCCGCGAGCCACCCCTGCGGCGCCGGAGCGAGTCCGCCGAGCCCCGAGGCTGACGCCGCTGGAGGAAGCGGAGGGCCCGGCTGCAGGTGCCGGGAGGCGAGTTCCGGGGCGTGGCTTCTCTGCTCCCCGCCAGGTAGCCGGGTGGTGGGGCGCAGCCCGCGAGGAAGGCGCTGGCGGCTGCTCGAGCGTTGCCTGGGATGTGGCCCCAGGTCCTCGCATTACGGCCAGAGAACTGCAGAAAAGAAGGCAGAGATTGTGCTTGAGGGAGGAGTCAAGGTCGTGAGCTTTTCCACGGCCATGTGGCAACTCTTAGTGATATAGTTTAGGAGTTTGAGAAGTCAAAACCCCTCTCCCTGGCCAAAATTTTGAGACTGGAAAGGGGAACTAGGGACTCTTCTCTTCTGGGGTTTGCATCGAGTGTCCTGGCGTGGAGTGAAGCTGCTGGGCTCAGCTGGGAATGAGGAGCAACTTGCTGAGTGTTAATGTTCAGTTAATAGCTCTGTTCTCTTTGGACTTTTGGATTTAAATGACAGGGTTGAATCACAAATATAAACCATTTTTTGAAATTGTCATGAGTTTGAACCATTTTCCTCATCAACTAGGATAGCAAACAGACACCTGTGTCTCAGCTCCTTAAATCGAGCCGCCTGTAAGGTAGTGGTGCCGCAGGCCTGGAGATGAGAAGAATTAACCAGCACCTCATTTAGTCCTGAGAGCTGGTTGCTTTGCTTGGATCCATCTTGTTCTCCTTGCAAAAACAGTAACTGACTTGAATAGGAGCCCATGTTTTTGACAATTAAGGAGCTGTCAATGTGGGGTTCAAAAAACAAAAGGGTGGAGATGGCGCTGGAAGGGATCAGGCTCAGCGAAATAAGCCAGAAAGAAAAAGAAAAATACCGGATGGTCTCACTCATGGCAGGAATCTAGAAAACTTAAATAAGGGACCAGGAAAATGAATAACTAGAAGAAAGTGAAAATCAAAATCAACAAAAAACTATGAACCAGAGACCCTCTATGGGGGTAGGGGGCGGGAGGGGAGGGATTGGGGTCAAAATAAGGGGGTTGCAATTGTATGGGGAATATAAAAATAAAATTTATTTTAAAAAAAAGGTGAGGGGGATTGGAAATAATGTGGAGTAGAAATTAAAGGAAAGAAATTTAATTTGTCAATATTCAGGGGTCTCCATAATTTTCATAGTCTTATTTGTAGATTGAGGATGGATTATATGTTTAGGTAGTTGCAGTGTAATGTTAATAGTATCCAAGTAGAGGGAAAATAGAACAAATTTCTAAGCTTTTTCTTACACAGTTGATCTCACATGTGATTCTTGGTACGAAGATGATTCGAACCAGCCCCATCTGCATCCCAACTGTGAACAGTGACAGGGACTGGGACTTCTGCTTCCATCTGTAAGTAGCAGAGAAACTTGACATCACACCCACTCACTGGCCTGCAACCCTGGGAGCTCCCACTTAAAGTAAACCTGTGTGAGACGCTTTGTCCACCTACAGAAGAGAAGGTTGAGCTTCTCTGGTGTTCTGATATCAATTCTAGCTGTAATATCCACGTTTACACTTGTGCACACTAAGCAAGATGTGAAATAATGTTTTTTTTTTCCTAACAAGGGGAAATGTTAAGGTTTTTTTTTTTATAATAACAGATCAATTATGACAAGCCTGGTAAAGTCAGAGAATTTAAAAGTTAAAAAAGTTAATTAGTAAATTGAAATTAAGTTTTATGTTTAGACAATAAGTAAATAAAAAAAACATTTGCATTGTAATAACTAATACTTACTAAACAAATACAATGTGGCAGGCACTTTACACAGATTCCCCAACAATCCTATGGGGGGTACTGTCATTACCCCCCATTTTATATTGCTAGGCTTATGAATCAAGAAGAGGTTAGACAATTTGCTCAAAGTCGCTCAGCTACTAAGTGTTATACAAACTGACTCTAGAGTCCATTCTTTAATCATTTATCTATTTCAGGGTTTTTCAACCTTGACACGATTGGCATTTTGAGTTCTGGATAATTTTCTGCTGTGGTGGGCTGTCCTGTCCATTGTAGGACATTGGGCAGCATCCCTGCTCCCTTTTCCCAGCAGATGCCAGTAGTTGCCCAAGTTGTGACAAGCAAAAATGTCTCCAGATGTTGTCAAATGTCTCCTGGGGGCAAAATCACCCTTAGTTGAGACCTTTGCTCTACATACCAATGCTCTCAAATAGGAATATAATGCAGGCCACAATGTGAGCTACATATGTCATCTTAAGTTTTCTAGTAGCCGTAATAAAAAAAAGAAGAAGCAGGTGTATATATTTTTAATACTATATTATCTCAATATGCCCAAAATGTTATATAAAAATGTGATTATTGTATTCTTTTTTCAGGCTAAGTCTTTGAAGTTTGGGTACACTTTAAGAGCACATTTCTATTCAGATTAGCCATATCCTGTGCTGAATAACCACATGTGGTAGTGGTTACCATATTGAATTGTGAAATTCTATTCTGCCTCAAAATATCTTGAGGTTGAGTTATATAACTCTAAAAGTTGAAGTGAAAAAATGTAGAGTTCACAGGAGTTTATCTTGGAAATAGTCAGATAATTCACATTTAACATCACTCGTCAGAATTCATACTCATATTGGCAACATGTAGACTAAGTTATAAACCTGACAAGGCAGAGATTTCATTCAACCTGTCTGTTCTTTCTATTCTGACTATCCTTTGAGAGCACTGACTGGTGTAGATTCTTTACCTGACTTTCTTATCTTTCACAACAAGATGGTCAAAGCTAATTCAGGGTTTTGCATTCTTAATTTATTTGTTAAGACCTCTATTTTCTCCTTCCTTTGAGGTCCCTACTATTCCAACTTGCTGCCTTTGATCTCAGCCTAATTCACTTAAAGCTGAATTTGAAGTATTTAGGATATATGTTTTCAATATCCATAATTGGCAATCTGTTTGGTGACCTCAAAAGATTTAACTTCTGCCTCAGGTCTATGAAATATGCAGCCTAAACTTATAAGGAGAGACTAAATTGTCTTTCTGTTAGTTTATTTATGATTTCTTTTCATACATTTCCTTTATCTGCAATATTTATCAAGCATCCTAAAGACTTTGTACTTTTTTCCTTTATTCTTTTGTTCATTTAGTAGGTCATTATTTGTTTTCACTGTAAGCCAGAGGTCAGGTGTAAGGGTTTTAGAAAAGAATGAGACTCAGTCCCAGCCCTGGTGGAGTTGACTCGCTCTAGAAGGCAATGGAGAAAGACTCAGAAACAGAACAGAGAAATAAAAACAGTTTTAAGCAACCTGATATGACTTGCACTATAGTAGATGTAGGGGGTAAATTCTTTTATAGGCTTTGACTTTGACTTATCTCGCCCCTTAAGTGTAGTCACCACACCACACTCACCACCAGAACATCTACCCTCCCCCTCTCCCTTGGCAGCCTCAGTTCTACATCCACTTTCTAGGCTTAGTTCTTAGTTTGGCTTTATCTGACCCTTTGGTTTCTCTATGTTCCACAAATAAGTGACCTCATTTGGTATTTGTCTTTTTCCTTCTGACAAATTTTGTTTAGCAGAATCCATTTGGAAATTTCTGCAAGCACTTTGGAAGGTATCTGTAATGCTCCTCCAAGTAAGAGACTTCCAGCACAGGTGACATATGACTTGAGTCTTGAAGGAGCAGCCTAGGATTCACCAGGCAGAGAAGAGGCAAGTCTAGCACTTGCCTTCTGATCACATCACATCACCATCTTCTCTGGCTCTTCACTGAGTTTGCTTGTCTTCTGAAAGCACACTTGTGTTTGTGGCTGGTAATCCAGCTGGGACGTGGCCTGAAAGAATGTTCCTCTCTTATCCACATGACCTGGTTTACCCACATGCCTTTGGATAGGTTACTTGGAACAGGACTCTGGATGGAGGTTAATATGTCATTTTTCAAACCTGTTATAAAAGATTCCAGAGGAGGTTTATGTTCTGAATTTTCCTTTTGACTTATCAATGAAAAGAAAGATACGTTTTATTTTAAATAACTGTTTGGGTTGAACTTTTAAAAGCTTTATGAATACAAAGGTGATTGCTTTGGGGGGCTTGTTTATAATCAATTAAAATTTCTGTTGTTGATTTTGAGATTTCAGAATGCTATTTCTTCTAGGTCACTTTGTTAATTTTTTGGGTAATGTTAAGTATATATATATATATATATATATATATATAGTTACTTCTTTGGTTCTAAGATTACTTCTTTTGACTTTTATCTTTACATTTCAATTGCCCATTCATAATTATATCGAGCACTGAAGTCAAAGATCTTTATTGTGTGGGGAGGAGGCCAAGGTAAGGGGGAGATTTTCAGCTCAGCCAGCTCTTTCTTAACACTTTTATTCCTAACATAACGGACAAGGCCATTTTTCTTCTGAATCTGCATGTGACTTTCGTGGGGTGCCCTTCCTTCCTCTTGAGTCAGCTGACCACTATATGCTGAAGCTTTTAAGAAATATGAAAGAGGATGTAGGGTAAGGTAAAAAGTATCAGGCTTTTCTGCCCTCCTGCCATTAGGATAGATGATGGATCTGTGGTCCTGAATGCATGCCTGATGGCGGGCACCTGGAGTAGGGCGTGGGCATAGGTAGATGGGATCCACCTGGGCTGAGACTGGGCTTTTAAGGGCGGTGTCATGGGGATGCCAGCAGGAGCAGAGAAGCCGAGAGAAGAAGAGAAGCAGAGAGAACCCCAGACAGAGCCCAGATAGAGTGAGGATTTGCTGGGGGCTGGGAGGACTGCCAGCCTCCTGGCCCCTCAGCACCCCTGCCTGCCATATGCCTGGTAAATCTAAATAAAGGACCTGCAAAAGCCACTGAGGGCTCCAGGACTCCTCCTTTACCTGGTCTGCTGGATCAGAAAACCTGCCCTGTGTCATTCCTGCCCCTACAGAGGACTTTTGGAATTTACTTTCAAATTGTTAGTTCCCTTTCTAGTATTTCATTGTATCACCTTTCTTTCCTGGCTTGAATCAGGGTTTTAGACCATGAAGGATCTTTGAGATCTTCAACACCCTCATTTTATAGATGTAGACACTAAGTCATGGAGCTACTGAAAATTGTAGCTAATGCTAAAAGTGCACTTACTGAATATGAGGCACTATGTTAAGTGATTTATGGCATTATTTCATTTAATTCTGTAATCTCATCAGATAGGCATTCCCATCAACCTCATTTTACAGAGGAGCAAATTAAGCAATAGTTTGCCAAGGGTCGTATGGTTAGGATAGATCTGGTCTTTGATGCAGGTGGTCGTTCACCAGATTTATTTAATTGAACCACCACATTGCTGTCCTAGTGCTGGGATTTAGGGTGATCTGAATGTGCCATCCAGCTTTACTTTATTTTTGAAATCACATCCCTAGCACCAAGTTGGGATGGCTGTATCCTTCAGTTTTACTTTGTTTTGAGATATGTGAGATATGCAAAAGCCAGATCAGACTCCATCTCCTTCTCTGCTACTTACAGGTCACAGAAAACCAAGATCCCAGCACGTGAACAAACAGATGAGTTTTATCCCACTAGTGGGTCTGAAGAGAGTGAAGAGGAAATTATAGTTGCGGAGAAGGCCATCAACTCTATGTCTCTCCCCAGAGATAAATTAGCCCAATCACAGAAGAAAGCAGCTCAGCTGATTAAGGAAAAATTGGTAAGGCAAAAAACTCACTGGGGTTTTGTTTCCTTTTTAAATCTATGTCCATGATTAGAGAAATTCTGCTTTAACTGCAACTGAAGCACATGAACTAGAGAAAGGTATTATATTTCTTTGTAAGGAGAGAAAACAAAGCAGAGATTGCTGGGTAGCCAGCGTGCCTTTGGCTTCCACACATGAGCGACTATACCTTTCTCCTCAGAGACTTGTGCTCTGAGCTTTAAACTAAAAATTTTTGGTTCTTCCTCTTGCTATTTGTTTACATTTAATGAAATCCTTTTTTGGATTTTTCTTGAAATGTTCCAGGGTGATATTTCTTGAGTAACAAAAAGGCCAGGCTAGTGAGGTGCAGTGGTTAATAACAAGGGTGCCAGGTGGAGGGCCACCTGCCATGGCTATGGGAAGCTGCGGTGGTGGCCTGGAATCGTAAGCAAACCAGAGCAGCATTTTTAAAAAGTGAGACCAGGACATGGGAACTAGCACCTCAGAGAAGTGTTCAAAATCCAGGAACCCGAGACAGCGCAACAGTGACCCTTATTGTCAAACACAGGCACCAACCTGTTCCCACAGTGTCATTTATGGACGGAGGAGTTCAGACACCAACTTCCTGGGCAAGGGACACATATGATGTGTGAAGATAAGGTCTAGGGGTGGCTTTAGAAGTACCGACAGACACCTCAATGCAGTTGATAGATGCTGAAACCTCCCTAGATGGATCTATCTACAAATTTACCTCCATAGATTAACCAGAGGACTTGCAGAGGATGATTGTCCCAGCATGAACCCATTTGTATTCCACAAATCCAGACTAGAACAACAGCTTCTAGAAACATACAAGTGCCACCTGCAGTGGTATGCAAGTGTGGACTTTTAAGGCTTGACAACTCCTTGGCCAGTTTGGATAATGATAAAGATTTAGATTTAGGAGTTAAATTTAGCCTCAGCCAGAGCTGAAGGGCAGGAGGATTGCCAGCAGCAACAATAGTTGAGAAGCCCATACTGGTTGTCTCAGTTTCCCCAGGAAATTTGGGGGTGTATAAAAACAGAATGGCCAGAACCAGGACTGAACTCAAGACTTTGGACTCTGATTCCAGTGACTGTCCTTGGTATTATGTTTCTTTCTCAAAATAGGAATTGATTAGCCCATAGAGAGCTCTCAAAAATGCTGATTGAATGGATATTTTTATTTTTGTATTTTAATTTTTTTTTACATCATTGTTCATTTTTAAACAATAGTTGCTTCCCCCCACCCCCTCAGGTGTAGTCCCCATAGAGTTTACTCCCCCAATGCACCCGTGCACCATTACCTCAGTCCCCTGTGCTCCTCCCTCACTCCCTGTGATCCATCTCCCTCTTCCTCCCCTGCAGGATGTCTCTGGTTTATAATTGTCTGTTTTTGCTTTGTTGTGTTTTGCACTGTTACTGTTTTTTTACACTGATATCTTATTTGGTTCCCCTATATTCCTGCTGTAAGTAAAACCATCCGATATTTTTCTTTTTCATTTCTTCAACAAATGATTTGCAATAAAAAAAGAATTGGAGAAAGAGTTGGTTTCTGTAGATGAGAAGAGACTCAGGATACTGATCCCAATGTGTGGAAAATGTAAATAAATGACATCTGCGGGCTACTTATTAGATTTTTGAGACTACATGTTTGATATTAAGGAATTATTGTTAATGTATTTTGGTGAGAATGATTCTGTGGTTATGTTTTGAAGACAGTATCTTTTGGAGATAATCGTGAAATGTGAACTGATTTAATGTCTTTGCTTTAACGTAATAGTGGGAGAGCATGGGTGGATGACAAGCACAGATATGAAATAAGACTATGACTAGGTAGCTGACAAAGCTAAGTGAGCCATTCTCTGGGTGATGTTTGTTTTTTGTATTAAAGTTTTTCATACTAAGAGATGTCAGTCTGGCGATGATGCAGAAAATGGACTGTGGGGTGCAAGAGTGGAAGCAGTTAGGGGTGGGCGTGGTCAGCCAAGTGAAAGATGCTATAGTGACTTGGACTTTCCTGGCAAAAATGAGAAGAGCTGAGTTTTTGGATTTAGAAATAAGATGCCACCAACAGAACTTGATGAACTGGACACTGATAGTGGAAGGAAGAGTGATGGCAAAAGCAGCCCTGCATTCCACTGGGAAGAGCACGGGCTGGAGGTTTCCCTCCTTCCCAAAAAGCATAATGATTTATTTGCTCTCTGCAGAATGTCCAAGCAAACAAGGAGCTGATTCGCTGTGTCATCCTTTCTCGGATTATTTTTGGGGAAGACCACTGGAAATGTGCACAGGCTGTGGCCAACCTGGCTTACGGCTACCTAACACTGAGAGGTACTGGCTTTCCCCACCTGGCCTGTGCGGGCTAACCCCTGAGGGCTACACAACCACAGTGGGCATAAGGATAATTCGAGGGTGGCCCTTCCTATACCCCACTTATGCCTCATCAAGAAAGGAGAGACAGTTTGACAGGGATCTGGGAAATAAAGATAATGATGATGATAAGAGGTAACTTATTATTAAGCATGTGCCAAGTCAATCTGATTTAGTCCTTAGAATATCCTTGGAGGGGAATACTTTCATCATTTGTACCTTGTGGATAACGATACCGAGCCACAGTGGGCAAGACAGTATCGGGTTCTGGGTCTCCCTAGAATCTGGTTAATAGGAGAAGCACAGGCAGGCATATGTACTCAGCATTGAGGGGGCAGATGCAGTGATAGGATGTGAATTCCAAAGACAGAACTTAAGGTCCTGGAAGGTCAAGAAAAAGAGAGAGTCCTGATTCTAGAGAAAATACTTTGGCACAGAACAAGATAAGAATTCACTAGCTAACTCTGGAACAGTGTTAGCTCCATAAGGAAATTTGAAGTAGAGGTTCCATAAATATTTGCTGGCTGATTGAGCACATTTGTAGAACCAGGGACACAGCCAACTCCAGGCTTCTGCCACCTACATGGACCACATACACTTCTAACATGGGGCTCATGGTACTGCACTCACATGTGCTTTGTTTAAATGACTTTCCCCCTGAAATAGGGCCTCCCTGTGGACAGGCAGTAAGTCCCATTTGACCTCACACTGTCCCTGGTGTACACTTTGGATCAACAAATCCTCCTGCTTGATAGAACTGAGCCACTGGCCTAGTGGCTTTTTCAAGCATCCCTTGGATACTGAAGTGGGGCCAACTTACTGTACAGTTAAGTGCTTTAAGGGCTTCAGAGATTTGAGGACTACAGGGGGGAACCAATATACCTAAGGGAAAACCATGAGTTTGGTTTCAGATAAGATGGGCCAGGACATTGGGAGGAGCCTGTGGAACATCTATAGAGAGATGTTCCGTAGGCAACTGAGAAGTGGCTCTAGAGCTTGGGGAATATGTTGGTTTGGGAGGGATAAGCACATAGGAGCAAGCTGAAGCTAAAGGGTTGATGAACGTATGCAAAAAATATGTAGAAAGAAAAGGAGAGGACAGTAGAGTGATGGGAGAAGAACATTAGGAAGGGGTAGAGAAAATGGAACCAGCAAGGAAGTGAAAGAATTAGGAGTGTCCATATCATGGAAGCCAGGAAGGACAAAGGGTTTCAAATAGAATGGTGAGTGTGATTTTGATAACTTTAGATGGTGGTGAGAGGCCAGTTAAGGTGAAGGCATAAGAGAGACCCATGAATTTGGCAATTGGCAAGTCATTGGCACTTGGTTTGGCACCAACAAGTATACTTGTTAAACCTGGAACCCAGGTTCAGGTAGAAAACTATGTGGAGGCTTTTGCTGAACTTCATACTTGAGGTGATGGCAACTTGAACTGGAGAGGAAGGTCCCAGAAATATTTGAAGGGGAGATTTGTCTGAACCTGGGGCAGGGCTGGATGCTACCTCCTGTTGTTTGGAGAGATTGCTATGATAGATTTGTGGAAGGAGGTTGTGTGTTTTGTAGTCATCAGGCCTGCTTCCCTCACTTCTCAGTGAGTCTTTTCCAGCATTGAGGGTGGGGGTCATGCCAAAAGTTGATTTCTCTCAATAAACATTCTTCCAGTGAGTATTAAGTGAGAGACTTTCATATGTGAAATGCTGTGATGAGCGCCTTGGGAAGGTACAGAAGGCACAGTCTTTACCTTCAAAAAGCACACCACCCTGTGTGGGAGGTGAGCTCCGTACAGGCATCAGACATTGCTATGATAGGAGGCACCATCGGGCCGTGCAGTTGTTTTAAATACAGGGTGTGGGGAAAGTTGGGGAAAATCATTTTTGGCTGAGGTTGATACGTGATAGATTGAGGAGGAGGTGCCATTCTAGAAAGCCCTTCACAAGAAAGCCCTTGGAAGGCAGAGGAGGGATAGGCAATTTTGATGAGCAAAAAGTCATGGGCAGAGGCACACAGGTAGGGAAGTGTGGCCTGTGTTTAGAAAACAGTAAGCAGACCTTCAAACAAAAGTCAGGGCTGGTAAGGAATAAAGGTACATTGGGAAGACCAGGGTGGGTGTGAAATACAGGCTAAGGAATTGTAATTTATTTGCAGGCAAGAAGGATGATTGGAGATTTTCCAGCAGGGGGATGAATAAATCAAAGTGTGCTTTTGGAAAGGTTAATCTAGCAGCGATAACAGAATGGAAGCTATTTTAGTCATCGGGGTATAAAACTAGGCTCGTGACACAGGCAATGAGTGAGAAGCTAAGGATTTAAGAGTGTCTGAAGGACAGATCCATTTAGCTTTTAAACCAGAAATCCCACTTCTGGGATGCTTTCCTAAAGACTCGCTTATAAATTAAATAACATGTGGATAAGATTAATCTCTGTAGCATTGTTTATGTGGTGAAAACTTCGAGGCAACCAAGTGTGCTCATACAACTGTGCTAACACACCCAACAGGCTCTCTGCAGCCGTGATGGAGCACGAGGAAGCTCCACTAGGGACAGAGCTGCCGGGCACCCCTTTAGGTAAAAGAGAACACGCAATGTTTACGACGTACCTCTTTTTGTGTAAGAAAGAGGGGAGAGGAATGAGAACGTGTGCTTATATCTCTATAAACACTTGGAAGGATGCTCAGGAAAGAAACCAAAAAAGTGGTGCTGATAGTGACGGAATCGGGGTAGGAAGTGAGACCTCTTAGCCTTCTTGGATACTTTTGACTTTTGAACCGTGGACACGTATCCTATTTAAAACATTAAGAAAAGAGTCTGTGAGGGAAGACATGGCAGGCCATGAAGTTTGATTTGGCATGAGGAAAAGTGAAACCCAAAGATGACCATGAAGTTGCCTTTTTTGGTATCAGTGGGTTGGGAAAGGAAGTGGGCTGGGAGAGGAATGGCAGGTCCAGCCTCGTATATTGATTTTGAATTGCAGTCGAGCAACTCACTAATACATTGTTAGTAGGTGCTGGAGATTTGGGATCAGAACTTGGGAGGAGAATCACGAGATGGAGGAATATTTGAGACTGTAACTGGGGATGCAAAGTGGGAAATTCTGAGCATGGAGGTTAAAGCTGAAGGTATGGAAGTGTTAAAACATCCGAGAAGGACAGAACGAAGAACGAAATAGAAAGACAGGCTCTTGGAGAACAGACTTATTAATGGAAGGGAACAAAAGGCCTTGTAAAAAGTTAGCAAAGAATCAATTTGCCAAGGTTTATAATGGAGAACCCAGTTGGCACAGTGCCTTCAGGGCAGTAGCTTGGGTGTCTGATGCTGCCCCAGGTTGGGGGCTGAGAAAATGGCTGGACTTATTGAGTAGGAGGCCTTGGGGGGCCTCAGAATGGCTTCTGCTGAATGGCTGGAAGGAGGAAAGGAACAGTGCTGGTGGACTAGCCACTCTACTCCCTGCTCCATATCAACAGCAATAAGGCAAAGCAGGATGGTAACTGGAGAAGGCAGGAAAGTGCAGTGAAAATAATTTTATCAAGGGAGGAGATCCAAGATTTTAGGGAGTGAGGAAGCCACAGTGTAAAGACACAGTTTGAAAGTGGAGCTATGGATAGAATGGGTTTCAGGCATCGGGTGATGTCGGATTCAAACATGAGGCCTTTGCAAAGCGGAGCACAGGAGGCCCTTGGTGGGGTGAGAAACATGGGCCACTCCACTGCTGCGTGACCTGGGGAGAGCCCTGGAGAGCTGGTGCTTCAGCAGCTGAGAAGAGGGCAGGCAGAGGATAGCGTGATGTTTGTCACCTAGTGGTAAACTGTGCATGGTGTCCAGGAAGGGAATACATAACGCGGACAAGCAGTTTCCTGGTGTTTTGCTTATTATTAATGAAGCAATAAATTAGCCTGTTGCTACTGGGTACATTCCAGATATCCTGGGGTCTATTATAAGTGTTGCAAAATACACAAAAAAGAAGGATAAGTCCTGAATCTTGCTCTCCTGTCTGGTTGGTTAACAAAAACCAAAGCTGGCATAGATAGAATAAAAGGGAATGATGAGACCAGGTGATCTGACCTGCAAGCACTATGATGCCTGCCAGAGATGAGCTTGCAGGCTTTTTTTTTTTTTCCGAGCTTCTGCAAACTTGGTGAAAAATATCCCAAGTAAGGACAAATATAATAATTTGGTAAGAGGAATGGGCTCAGGGAATGATAATGGCTACTAGTTATTCAGACTTGTTTTATTCTTCTAGGTATTTAATCCTTTTTAGTGACTTAATTAAATTAGTCCTTGCAAGGTGGAAGGTATTTGCATTACCGTTTTACAGGTGAATGCATGAACTGTGGCACAGATGATAAGTAATTTTTTTTAAAGATTTATTTATATAAGAACCGGGGTACAGGCCAGATGCACAGGGGGGTGAGAGGATTCACCAGAGACAGAGTGGAGAACAGAATAGGCACACTGACGAAATACACTGCTGAGGGGAGCAGCGGGTGAGACGGGAGTGGTCTGCTTCGCCATGTGGGATTCTCGCTGGCCGGCCGGGATTGAACCCGCACTGCAGAGGCTGTGGACAGTTTCACAGTGCAGTGCTCAACCGCCTGTGCCACCAGGGGAGGCCCGATAAGTAATTTTTCAAGGCGACATGGATACTAGTCAGTGGCTGAGCCCGGATCTATACCTGGGAAAGCTGGCTTTAGATCCTGCTCTCCCCATCACCAGCTACTTAACTCTTTATGATCATCAAAGGTGACAACAGCAGTCTCCAAATACTGTGCAGTTCTGGTAGATTCTCTCTGACCTGAGGGTAGCAGGCACCAGGGTGGAATCTCCTCTCAAACTAAATAGAATGAGTGATGTGTTTGGTGGACAGTCTTAAGACCCCTGTTCCAGTTCATCAGTATTTCCTTATAATTCCTGAATCTCAGGTTGTGGAAGCACAACCTCTGATTCTGCCCTCCTGATTTCACTTCTGTAATTGCTGCACTCATGGAGCAGAGAGGACTTCTTAGGCTGGGAAGGTGAGTAAAGGAAGTTGACTTGGTCTTGGAGCAGGGCCCTGGAATCAGGGAGGAAGAGCTTAGACTTAGAGAAAGATCAGGAAACTGAGCATCCTTCATAGATGGGCAAAGTAAGTTTTCTGCATATACATGCATGCAGTGTTACTTTTAAATAAAAGGTGTTCTTGTAATTAAAATAAAGCATGTTCATTTCAAACTATCACTGCTACTGATTCACAATACTTTCTGTTATCATGAATTATCTCCTACAGGAAATGATATAAAAATATCATAAAGTGAGGGGTGTTTTTTAAACATAAAAGGAGCTGTTTCATACTTGAAAAGGTTGGGAAACATTTGTCCAGAATAGTGATTTCCAAATGTTTGAGAATTAGCTCTCTTAGCACTAAAAAATAATTGAGTAAGCACTCTTCATAGATGTGTATTTATTATAAATTATGTAGAATGGTATGACTACGTGATGTAATATGTATAAATAGAAAACAAAACATAAAAAATAGAGAACTTGTGAACCCTTACACCCACACTCATGACACCTTGCATACTTATAGGGGCATACGCACCCCCACTTTGGATCCACAGTAGACTCTGAGAAGGTGAAAGGAGTGATTTTTCCCTTTGGGGATGGCTTTAACATTCACTGAGCTGTTTCACATCAAGATCCGAGTTCAGATTGCTTCAGCCCTGGGTCACCCACTCAGCCTCCTCATGAGGGCGGCCACAGTGTGGGCATGGTAATCCAGACTGGGAACTATGTCGGGCAGCTGCTGGGCTTAGAGGGAAACTATTCCTCCTGGGCTTTCTCAACTAGCCCTGGACACTTTGGTGGGTCGTGGGGGTGAGGGGCGAGCTGGCTTGCAAAGCCTCAGAGCAACTTTCTCATCTGTTTTCCGTCTCGAGCCCACAGGAATGCTGTGCAGATTCACCCGGTTTCACTTGTCTTCTTAGAGACCAGGGGAGCAGCTCAGTTTGGTCCCTGTACTTATTGACCCACTGCCAAGGGGCACACCTGGTTGTGAAAAACAACCTATTCCTATTTGATAAAAAGACTCAGTTTTTCACTTTACAATCTTGGTCTCATGTTCCTGGTCAAGTTCTTGGTTGCTGCTTACTTCCTCGAAACCTGTAAAGACTCCCTGTTACCTAACAGGTCAAATCCAACTCAGCTTTATATGTCTTTAAACTTCCCCTTCAGTCAGACTGGTCTCCTTACAGCTTTCCCTAATACCCCCTGAAGCTCACCCAGCAGTGCAAGCATACACACACACACACACACACACACACACACACACACACACACACACACTCACTCATTCTCTTTGTCTCTAGGGCCTCAGACTATTTACACCAAGTGGAAATTCCTCCTCATCCTTCCTTGTCAGTCAAATTTACTTACCCTTGTAAATGAGATGTGTCCTACTCCCTTTTACTCACTCAGTGCTCAGGGTCCTGCATCCATGTACAAAGGGTGGCTGTTGTGAGTGTGACTCCATGGGCCTCACCTCAGAACTTGTGAACCATAGCTCCTGGAAACAAAGCTGAGAACCTGACATTTTACAGGAGACTTGCAATGAATGGTGCAATTTGAGGGCCACTGTTGTAACTTCAGACACAGCCCTCTTTCACCACAGAGTCCATTTTTCTCTTCAGTTGAGACTTGTGTAGAACAGGTATCTCTGAGTGCCCTCCAGAGATCTCTTGGCTTCTGGGTCCTTCTAGGGCTCTCCCAGGGAAGCTTTGTTCTCTTTATGTTGCAACTCTTTCAGGAGGTCCTGCTCATCTGGAACATATGAGAGCTGCAGGCATCAAAGATGAGTTCTTTCAAATCCTCCCTATTGCCAGGGACTGCACCCATACTGTTAAGCCAGCTCTGAGACCCAAAGGGAGCGGGTGGGAGTATAAGTGAGAATTTGGGGCTCAGTGGGGCTGCTTGGGAGGGGTGATGGTGTTTACCAGTCCCTAGGGGGCTGAAAGTGAGCACCAGCCATGGCAGTCTTCAGTCGAGTGGACACAGACTCTAGAATATGTTCTCGGCTGTCTTTTCCCCAGGGGTACCCCTTCCCTATCCAGGAGTGCCAGGCATGAGTGAGGCTGGAAGATGAGGAAGTGTTCTGTACACTGAGTGTTCAGAGAGCAGCACAGTGCATGCGCAGTGACAACAGCCTTGAATTAGCAAACAAGGAAGCATGCTGGCTCTGGCCTCGCCTTTGTCCTCTGAGTGAGGGGCCTCCTTGCATTTAGAAATTTAATTCTGTGTGTGTGTGACCAATTAGAACTACCAGCTCCATCTTGACTTGAAAAAAATCCCCAGATGGAAGTAATTGTATTTGCAAGTCCTTGTATTTATAGAACGCCTTCTTGAGAAAACTCAAAGCCTAGCCCTCTGTGGCATAACCTAGTTTGTTCTTGGACTATCTCCATGTGTTGGCAAGAAGCAGGTTCTGTAATTGTCATTGACAGGATCGAGAAGCCTTGTGGTTGCAAAGGTCACGTAGCATTAGTGGCAGAGCTGGGCGAGGGAGCCTGAGCTCCTGCTCTAGTCTCCGCCGCTGGTTTCCAAGTAGAGGCCCACAACTAATGCTGGGATGGCTATGTAAGATGATTTGGTGGAATTAACCTAAAAAATAGATTCCTGGAATCAATTTTCAACATATTCCAACTCAGCAGATCTGGGTTGGGGTCCCAATGTCTATACTCATTACCAGCACTCTAGAGAGTTCTGATGTGTAGCCAGTTTTGGGAACCAAGATTCCAGACCATAGGTGACCACCACACTGCCCGCCTCATCCCCTCCCTGGAATGTCTTTGGCTCAGTCTGCCTTTTTGATGTTTTACTTCTTGCCACCCCACCCTCACCTTTCCCCAGGCCTCCCATCTCAGGCCAAGAGACATGCCGAGTCGGTGAAGCACACGCTGCTGACCTGGAAGGGAAACACCACCTCAAACAAGGAGAAAAGGGAGATCCTGGAAGTTCTGGTCATGCTCTACTATACTCTGGGGGTGGCCTGCCTCCTGCAGAACCGATATCCTTCCCTTCACAACTGGGGCTGTGGGCCAGACTTGCCCAGTGGGTCATATCACACAGGAGGGTGGGACCTGGACCCGAGGCCTGGTCGCTCTGCAATGACGTTGGCCTCAACCCCTCCCCAAGCATGGTGTGTCCGTACAGAGCAATGGTAGATTTGTTCCTTTGTCTATTCCTGTAAGCTCTGAGCTGAGCCATGGGAAGGGTCTCACTGGAGACACAGTCCCTGACCAGCTGAAACTTTTCTGAGTCTGTCCTGTTCTTCATTGAGCACTCAAGAAAATCAATTACTTGGCAATGAGGACATGGGTGATGGTGGTGGAGGTGGGATGGGAAGCAGGAGAAGGGCTGCTAATTGAAAGCACTGTCAAACTAAGCTGCAAATTGTCACCCCCTTGAGGACCTTTAAGAATTATTACCCTTTAGCTTACACCCCAGAGAGGTTGATTTAGTAGGTCTGGGGTGCATCTGTTCACTGAGATTTTTAAAAATCCCCCAGGTGATCCAATAGGCAGCCAAAAACCTCTGATTTAATGGACTCTGGATCATTTTTGTTGTTTTGAAATGCTGTTGAGAATACTGCTATGGAGCTGAAGGCCAAGAAAAATAGACAAAAGAAGTAGTTGTCCACATCCCAGAGGGAGGGGAGCTGTTATTACGCTTCCCCACGGAAAGCATGTGGTCTTGCTGGCCTTTTGTGCTTTCCCCCCTTGAGTGCTGGTGAGGGGTTTCGTGTTCATGGACAATCATGGACTCTCTTTGAGTCCATCTGTCCCGGAATTTTCCTTCCTACATATCCCTCTATTTTTTTTTTTTGTCTCCATGTTCAACTTGCAAAATCTGATACGTGGCCTTCTACCCACAACACGGGGGGTTATTGAAAATGTGGGAAATAGACTATTTGGGAATTAAGGGGATTTTCTTTCCTAGTAGTGCCTCTCGCCAAAAACCTGCTTTGCTTAGACTTTCTAAATGACCCAGAAAGTCCCTTTCAGCAAATTTAGTTCCTCTCTTGTACCATTCATAGGAACCAACTTGGGAAAAATGAATAACTATTGTCACACAGTAGATGCCTCTAAAGGAAATCTCATGTAATTTACAGTTTCCGCTCACTCTCTAAATGGTCACCACCACCCTAGCCCTGGAATCAGGCAACCACCACAGGAAACCCAAGGTCTTGTTCCCTTTTTAAAGAATTCTCCCTTCTTGACAACATCAGACATGGAGTCCAATGCCTGTTTTCCAGGACTTCTACATTTCCCCAAGGGACCCTTTTGTCCACTTATCAGCTGCTATTCCTGGGACTTTATATTTCTGGTATTTTCCTTGACCATTTCACTGGCAAAGAAGCTTATATCAATCTGCAGAAGGCAGAGAGAAACATGAAGGAACTGAAAGAATTCTTTAAGGAAGGCGTTTCTGGATTGCAGGTCTCAGAGAAAGACCTAACAGTTGCTTTGGGCAGGTAAGGTCTGAGCTTAGAGAAATTTAGGTTCTTATGAGGCCTGGAATTACATATTTGTTCTGTACTTTCCACATGAGGGGAGAAAAGTGATCTGAACAAAAAACCCAGAAACTCAAATGATATGAAAAGATCCTATATTTACCAGTGCACACGCTGTGAGCTAATCTTGGTGTGCAGTGCCATCTTTGAGTCCTCACTACCCACGGAGGTAGTTGGTGTGATTATTAGCTCATCAGAGAGAGCATCTTAAACAACTCATCTGAACTCAGTCTTAGGGCTTCCTTAGACTGCGTCACACATTATTTTGAAGTTACAGTTTTCTTGTCCTGAATTGTCACCTACCTTTGTCATTAAGTGTGGCATCTTAAAAGATAAAAAACACTATAAAGATCATTTATCAGAGGCCCATAGCACATTTTTAAAAAGTATTTATTTATACAAGAACTGGGGTACAGGTCAGAGGCGCGGGAGGGTGAGAGAATTCACTAGAGAGAACGGGAAACAGAACAGGCAGACAGACCGAAGACACTGTTGAGGGGAGCAGTGGGTGAGGCAGGAGAGGTCTGCCGCGCCATGTGGGTTTCTCCCTGGCCGGCCGGAAATCAAACCCACGCTGCAGAGACTGTGGACAGCTTCACAGTGCAGCGCTCAACCCACTGCACCACGGAGGAGGCCCCATAGCACATGTTTTTAAGGCAAGGTCTGTTCCATATGGAAACAAAGTTCATGGAATTTGCTTAAGCCAGAACAAGACTGTTTTGCGGTTGAGTTAGGGATCCTCTGAGGATCAGAATATTTAGATACGAGAGTGGGCCCATCAAGATTATAAAAGAATAAAAGGTTTACTGCTCCCTAGATTTTTCAAATATCTTCACATCCATGAAAGCAATTTGTTTCCCAAACTGTAAGCACTTGGCACAGGAGGGCAGATGGCTGAATGGCAAGTAATGAAACGTGAGTCATACTGCCGCCTCAAAAAAGCCATGAATCTGGCAGTCAAATGGGAAATGGTGGGGAGATGTTCCAGTGTCCGGAGCTTTATCAAACTTCTAAGTCAACAGAGCCATAAATTAAAATCTAGCGAATGTCTACTGCTGTCACGGGCACAGTGGCTGAGATTTTTGTGCCTTAGGTGAAAAATAGACTCCTCCTGTTTTAACAGTGCAGTCTAGTGCTCATTCATGCAGCCCACTGTATTTATCGAGTACCTGTTTTGCACATGTACTGTTCTACATGTTGGCCTGTTTACTAAGTGTAACATCCTAAGTGACTTACGTAATTGATTTCATGCATAAGCCTAGGGTAGGTATTTTTATTATTTTCATCTTACAGATAAGAAAATTAAGGTATGGAAAAGTTAAGTCAAGGTGTCAACACTAAGAGGTAGAAAAGCCAGCATTGTAACTGAGGCATCTGAGTCTGTAGCTCACTTTCTTTATCACACTGAGTTATGTTTGATGCTGAGCAGAGAGGTAGTAAGGGCAGGTCCCTTGTCCCATTCCAAAGGGGGGGAAAAGAGGGCAAGATTGTCCAGGCTGGACCACTTGGCTAATATCACCCAACAAGCCCTTGATGTCTTTCTACAACTTGTTAAGGTCAAGGGAACTAGTGGGCTTAGTGATCCAATTTGTGGGGGAGGGGTAAAGAATGTCAGATTACATACCAGTGCTCTCTTCATTGTTAATCCTAATCTCCAGAGGAAGGATAAAATTTGCAGCTTAAAATGAATTGTAACTATTGAAGAATGTCTCATATAACATAATTTTATACACACATATTCCAAATTCAACTTGAGAATTCAAAGATAGGGATAAGGAGAGAGGGGGAAGTAATATGGTGCATCCACTCTATGTTAGGCAATTTTACATATACTATTAAATCTAATCTTCACAACCACCTTGTAATTTAGGTATTCTTACCTTATTTTATTTGGAAGAAAATAGAGGCTCCTGGAATGTGACCATTAATAACTGTGACAACCAGCTTTGAGTTAATCATATTCTTGTCATTGTGCGTTGCTGGAAAGATAAACCTTAATGAAATAATGTTTTGTTTTCATTAATGGAATTTCCCATTTTAGGGGGAAAATTTGAAAATACAGATATGACGAAGGAAATAAAATAAAAATCAATTGTGTCACCCAAACATAACTGCTACGTTTTAGTTTTATATATAAATATGTATAATATATATACAGTTTTATGATCTTTTAACAGCCCAGTTTGAATGTCTTCCCATATTAGTTCATCTAAGAAGAAAATATGACTTTTAATGCCTGAAGGATTTTATTGTATGATTCAGAGTTTATTTATCCACCCCCTTTAGGGGGGAATATTTACATTGCTTTCTGTATCCTCACTCATTTTTAGCTGAGGAGGAATAAACTAAATTAAGTCAAACAAAACAAAGTCAAAACTTTTGTTTTGACCAAGAAAGAGGGAGCCAGAAGTAATAAAATTTTGTTTTGATTTCAAAATTCGGGTTTTTACGTTTATGGATAAATTTTCCCATCTTGTGAATTGCTGGAAATCATTTTTTCCATTTTTAAAAATCAAATTAAACTATAGCATGACATATTAATGAGTTTGATGAATGGTACTCAGTAGAATCTGGTGAGCAAAATGTAGGTTAATCGGAGTTTGTTTATTGCAAGACTGGATTTGGACTCAGCCACTCAAATGACTGACCTGTGGAGGTCAAATAGTTTAATTCTTAGAATCAGTTCATTGTGTGTCTGCAAAGTAAGTGACCGCTCTCTGACTTCCCATCTTTGCCCCTTATCCTGCAGAGCCTCCCTGGCCATCCAGAGGTTGAACCTCGCTCTGGCATACTTTGAAAAGGCAATTGGCAACGTTATCACTGCCAAGGGTGACAGGACGTCAGACCTGATCTATCTCTATGAGGAAATAGCTCAGATTGAGCAGCTACGGAGGAACCACGACCAGGCCATCCAGTATTTGCAGCAGGTTGGTGGTCTGGTAGGGCCCAGCAGGGCGACTGTTGCCCCAGGCAACACAATAGCCCTCCTTTAGCTATAAATGACAGGATGAGAGAACACTGATGCCAGGTGAATGTATCTACCATATGGCCTGATCTGAGACAGCATTTCCCTTGCAGGCTCCCATCCTTATCAGTGCTGGGAAGGCAGAGGGAGCCCAGATAGTCTACTCCAGGGGATAAACAAGAGGTACCTCTGAATTTATCTGTAGCAAACGTGTATTGCTCCGATTTGTCCTGTAAGTTACTCTAATTGGTCATTATTTCCAAGTCTCAGGTTAAACTAATAAAAGGTTGTTTCACTTGCAAGTAGATCAGGAGAAGACAAAAGGAGACATATAGGAAGGAATGTCGAGTCTGTCATAGTGAAAGCAGCACTTTCAGGTATTAGGTACTTGAAACTGCTAGTTAAATAACCTTTCCTAGTCTCAAATGAGAACCCAGCTTGTGGCTCAGGTGCCTCCCCAAAACCGATCCAACTATTGGCTGTCATAGATGATATTATTAACACTGCACCATGGAGAAATGTTAGGGAATTCCATTCTTAAGGCAGGAATTCCAGGTCTTGTAGAGAAAGCCAGGACTTACTTAAGGCAGTATTCACATCAGGATGAATAAATCAATAAATGGTCAGCATTTCCCAACAACAACCAAGAATAGTTACAATTTTGGAAATGTTTTTATCGTGTGCACTTGAGGATGCATTAAGTCTGTGCAATCATTCTGTGAATTAGGCACTGTTACTACTTACTTTATTGGACATCCAGAGCCTGTGCTCATAAGCATGAGTCATGAGTCATGTGTCTTAGCTCCAACGTGCTGTCTGATAATCTCTGGAGTGCCCTGAAACACCTCACAATGTTTGTCCTGGGAAACATGAAGCACAAATGGTCTTTTCCTGCTGATGAGTGTGGGATAGAGCTTTTCTCTCTTCTTGCTCCATCCAAAGTGTTACTTCTTCCATTTGAATACAAATAATAATATCATCTACACTTCTCTAGTGCCTACACCATTTCAGGTGATATTCTGAACACTTTACACATATTTAATATTTTCACTTCATCTTTGCAGCAATGGCTTTGTGACAATGCTTTTCTTTGTCATCTATTTGAGGAAGTTAGAGTTAGGGCTTCCATGACATAGTAAGTGGCTGAGCCAGGAGGGGAATCCAGGCAGTGTGGCTGTAGGACCCGTGCTGTGTACTCAACTAGACTTCCTTTGATGCTGAACCATTGAGAGGCTAAGCAAAAGTTAGGATTTTATTTTGCTGTGAAACCTAATAAAAAATAATAATAGCTAACACTAAGACCTTACATGTGATGGGTGCTGTGCTCAGTGCTTTGCCTGTACCATCTTATTTCATCCTCCCCATGCCCCACTCGATGGAAATTATATATTCTTTCTACATATGAAGGGGAAATTACTTGCTCAACACTTAACAGCCAAGAAATAGCAGAGCTACAACTCATACTCACCTCTCATCTAACTCCCCAGTTAGGTATATATTGGCTGTCAGTCAACTAGCTCTCTATGAGAGCTACTAGAAAATCTGTAGGGAAACTCTGTCAACTGAATACTAACCTTGTCTTCATTTTCTCTCCTCCAGGCTCTCTCTATCTGTACGTGCTTGTTCAGTGAAGTCAGCCCTCAAACTGCAGAGGCGAATGCATTACTAGCCAAGGCTTATGCTATGTCTGGGGAGGCCCACCACAGGGGTAGGTAGAAGAGGCATCCTTGTTCTCACAGTTTCCCTGCCAGGAGAGGGAAGGACACTGGCGAATGTTCTGTCAGTCAGAATGGGTGGATGTATAATTAGCTATTCATGGCTGTGCTGAAAAGATCAGTCTGGAAACTATTTCACTCACAATCATTTACACATGAATTTAGGTACAATCATATCTCCCCAAAAGAGCTTTCTCTTGCCTCTGTTTATTTTAGAATCTCAGCAAAATTCACCTGCATAAAGAGTGCAGAACATAATGCTCTGAATGTGACCTGTCTGTGTTGTGTTGGGTGACGAGAAAACCCAGTGGTGAGAGAGAAAAACCTGACTTGCTCCTCCACTTGCAACTTCTTTGACTCTTCCTTTGCTTTACAAGAGAGAATAGTTGTAGCAGCTAGAATTTTCTTGATCTGTATTAAATAGTGAGTGCAGGGGGTTCTAGAGGAAGGCCAAGTAATGAATTCATCTTTCAAGAGTATTTCTTTCTCCACAAGGCCATTCTTTTGAAAGAAGGTAGAATTGGGAGAGATATAGAGGAACTGGTGAGGGAGGACAGTGCCTCACACTCAGCTGGCTAGATAAATTAATAGATGCTGATGGATTTAATGGCCTATCAGGAGGAATTTGGGATTCATGAAGAATGTCACTTAAACTGTAAAAAAGTTGCTTTCCTCTGCTCACAAAAGTCATCCATTAACATATTTTCTCATCAGAGAGAGAAAGAACACAGGGAAAGTTTGCACCCTATTTTTTTTCCTGATCTTCTGTTTTCTCATGTCATAAAAGAAACTTTTTTTTAAAAGTTTTTGGAAGTTATCTTGATATTTTGATGATTGTTTCCTTTAGCATAAATGTTCACTGAAGATTTCCTTGGGGCTTTCTTGTTAATCATCTTACTCCCTTTAAAAATGTCACTGTTTGTAGTCATGGTATTCATACATTCCATTTATATATTTGAGGTTTTTTTAAAAAAAAAGTCTTTGTGACTGAGAGGAGAAAGCTTACATTGTACAAAAATGAAGAATGATGTAAAATGTATATAAATGAAATTAAAAAAAAAATCTTTGGATTTTCATGAAGATGGCTCCAAAGGTAAGGAAGAAAACCTCGCCCCTCCCAAACTTGAAGTGAATGCAAAAGCTTTGAAGGCCAAGAAAGCAGTGCTGACAGGCACCCACAGCCACAAGAAGCAGATCTGCGTGTCACCTCCTGGAGGCCCAAGGCAACGGAGATACCCTCAGAAGAGCACCCCCAGGAGACACAAGCCTTTCTACCGTGCCATCATCAAGACCCTCAGACCACTGAGTCAGCCATGAAGAAGGTAGATGACAGCAACTTACTTGTGTTCATTGTGACTGTCAAGGCCAACAAGCTTCCTATCAAACTGTCAGGTTGGTTCAGTATTCAAACCTCAATCAATATACCCTACCATTGTAACAACTCAAAGAGGAAAATCACATAATCATATATTGGTTTAGAAAAAGCATGTGACAAAATTCAACTTTCACATGATAGAAGGGGAACTTTCTCAATCTGATAACAGACATCAAAAACCCTACATAATGGTGAAAGACTGAATGCTTTCCTCTTAAGATCAAGAACAAGACAAAGATATTCTCTCTTGTTGCTCAGCCTAGCCAGAAGGCCTAGCCAGTGCAATGGCAAGGGAAGGAGATACAGCATCAGAAGAAATAAAGCAGTTCTTGTTTGTAGATGACATGACTGTCTATAGAATAGTCCAAGGAATCTGGAAAACTCTTTGGACTACTGAATGAATTTAATCAAGGCGTGGTCAGGAAATATAAGTCTACACACAAAACCCAGTCATATTGCTGTATTTTAGCAATGTACATCTGGAAACAAATATTTTAAAATACCATGTGGCATGTCCTCCTACCCCCCAAATGAAATAAAGGTCTATATCTAACAAAAAAAGATACAGGATCTATGTGCTGAAAACTACGAAAACCTGATCAAGGAAATCAGGGATCACCTAAATGAATGGAGACATATATTGCTTTAGGGATTAGAAGATTCAATCTAGTGAAAATATTAGTTCTTCTTAATAGATACATGATTTTAACACATTTAATTTCTCTAAATTCCAGTAGGAAATTTTGTTAAACTGACCAAAATTTATATGGAAAAGCAAAGATACTACAATAGCTAAAATAGTTTTGAAAAACAATACAGTTGAAGTAATCATACTACTTGATTTTAAGACTTCCTATAAAGTAGTGATATTCAGGAGAGTTTGCTATTGGTGATGGCATAGAGATCAGAGTCATTAAAACATGACAGGGAATCCAGAAATAGAACAAAATAAATATGGCCAATTTTTGACAAAGGTAAAAAAGTAATTCAATGTAGAAAGGATTGTCTTTCAGCAAGTGGTATTGGAACAATGTGGTATCTACATGCCAAAAATAAAAGCACTCTCATATCATATAAAATCATGAACTCAAAATGGATCACTGTCCCAGTAAGAACTAAAATGTAAATGCATCTACAATAGGCAAAATAGAAAAACAGCACTAATTGTGTAAAAAATACAAGTGACAAATAATCATAGGGGAACATGGTTCTATCATAGTAAAAATCAAGAAATGTAAAATGGAAAAAATGCCAATTTCCTAACAAATTGTCAGCTTTCCCAAATTTATAAAATTGCTTTTGTAATTAATCCTCTTAATCTTAAATTTTATCACATATAATATACATATATCTTTAAAACTATAGTGAAATCAAATTTGCCCATGTGAACATTTAAAAAATCCAAAAATATCTAAGCATGTGCCAGATTGGGATAACAGGTCTGCTCATGGACATGAGAGTGTAAATTGATATGAAACTTGGAGATTAATCTGATAATATCTAGCAAAATTGGAAAGGAAATGGTTGCAGGTGTTTACTGTAGCACTGTGAAAAATTGGAAACCACCTAAATTTCCACTAATAAATGAAAGGAAAACTTGTAATTAATTGAGCCAAAGCTGATACATTTGTAAAGGATAGCAGCTTGCCTTGAATAATTGTCTCCTATTCTTGCAGATACTGTTGCTATTTATTTTATAAAAAGTATCACTGCGTATCAAGCTACCTTGGGCCCAGAGGATTATGAAACACTGACGACCATTGACGAATTTTGCAAATGGCTGATCCAAAACGGGGATAAACAGGTAAATCTCACCCACTCATACATGTAATTGCTACTTTGCTCACAAGCTCAGGGCAGCCTTTTGCGTCCCATAGTTCAGACACTGGTGTTCAGAGAAGTCCCGGATAAAGCTGGGAATAAAAAGTATGCTAGTGCAGCTTTTGTAATAGCAGAAGTGTTTTTCTTGTATCTTATACGTGAGTCCTTTCTAGCTTAGGACCCAGTCTCTGACCCCTGTAGATTTTATATTTTAATCCAAAACCGGCTTCCACCTTTGGATCTAGCTGCCAGGGATTTTTTTCTCTTGATATATTATTTGTTTCCATCTCAGATTCTGGTCTTGGCTTGGTATTAATTCAGATTTTGTTTTTATAGCAAGGAAAATTATAGAAAATGCTTTCAATTACTGACCTTTTTACTTAGAATCCCATGAGTCGAAGCTATGACTCAGAAATTTTGATTCAATCATAGTACACTTAGCATAATGCAGTGAAGACTTTTATCTGTCATGAGAATCCCACGTGACTTTGATCTGACCTGGCCAGCTTTATATTCCTTAGACAAGCGAGAAGAAGGTGTAGATTTGACATGGTCTCCCTGGCCACATGGTGACAGGCAGCTTAAGAGTAGGGTTAGAAGCACACAAGGATGAAGAAAAGTCTTCTTTTATTCCATATTTGAACATTTTAAAAAATTATGACATTTTCTTATGACATTTCTTTGGTTCTATTTTAACTGCCACTTGTAAAGGCAAAACCTTATTGTGGTTTGCAGCATTTTTTTCTGAGGCCATGATATTTTCCGTTGGCTCAGAAGATTGACATGAGATGTCAGTGCCACAGACTGATCTAATATGTTAACTTTATTTTCAAAGGTGTGAAAGTACTTTGACATCATAGCTTATCCTTGTTATGTTCTGGTACAGTGAACATCATAGCTTCATAATAAAACACCAGTCCCAGTGCCTGGTGGCCCTCTGCTGCTAACCAAGTGCCGTGGCCCTCTGCTGCTAACTAAGTGCCATGCTCCTGGACAGAGATGCCAAAGTGTCTGAGCGCCATTGGCTCTGAATCTTAGCCATAGGCAGCAAGGTGGACAGGTCACCTTTACGAATGGAACACAAGCTCCATGTGTCCCATGGCAAGGCATTTTCTCGGTTTTGTTCACTGCAAAGTCCCCAGTGCCTGAAGCTGTGCGCATAGTAGGTATAACAATTGCACTGATTTGCTAAATTTCATTATATGTTTCCTCTGGGATAATTCATTTCTAAATTCTCTCTTCCATCTTGAAACCTGATAGCAAAGCATTATGTTTGTTCTAAAGGCCTTAAGGAAAACTCAAAAGACTTGAGAATTGTGTTCCCATAGTATATGGGTGTGTTTTTTTTTTTTTTTCTTTTTGGCAAATAGAGTTTTAATCTGTTACTGATCAAAAATAACAGGCTTGCTTTGCCTAGAATTGTCATCTTCCAGTAATTCATCAGAATGACAAACACAAAGGTAAACAAGGAGACGTATCTGCTATATGTTCGCTAGCCTTTTATAAAACATGGATTTTTTTTTTTGCTTCAGCTACATACATGCAAATCTACAAGAAAAGTCATTTTGTACACAGGAATGGGTTGAGCACTATTCAAAAAGGAATTCCCCACCACTGTTATCATAACAAAAGTGGAAGAGTCTGCAGTGTTACCCAGCATGCTGTTGGCATTGTTATATACAAACAAGATAAGGGCAAGATTCTTGCAAGAGAGGTTATGTACATATTGAGCATATTAAGCACTTTAAGAGCCAAGACAAATTCCTGAAATGCATGAAGAAAAATAATCAGCAAAATAAGGAAGTCAAGGAGAAAGTTACCTGAGTTCAACTGAAGAGTGAGTCCACTTCTCCTACAGAAGCACACTTTGTGGAAACCAATGGAAAGGAGTCTGAACTTCTGAAACTGATTCCCTGCAAGCAAGTAGATTAAGAGAAAATGGTCCGTTAATCTATGACAAATGAATAAAGAATACACACTGGCACAGGAATGTCTCTTCAACAAGTGGTGCTGGGAAAATTGGACTGCTACTTGCAAAAGAATGAAACTAGACCACTGTCTCACACCATACAAAAAATCAACTCAAAATGGATAAAAGACTAGGATGCAAAGCCTGAAACCATAAAACATATAGAAGAAAACATAGGCAAAACACTGAATGACATAAACTTCAGAAACAAATTTAAGAACTTGTCTCCAGAGCAAGAAACACAAAAGAGAATATAAACAGCTGGGACCATATCGAACTGAAAAGCTTCTGTCCAGCAAAACAGACAGTAACCAAAATGAAGAGACACCTCACTAAATGGGAGAAAATATTTATATACCGTACATCTGATAAGGTGATGATATCGAAGAGCTACACAGAGCACACACAACTCAACAAAAACAGACAACCCAATCAAAAAATGGGCAGAAGAGCAAGATAGATACTTCCCCCAAAAAGAAATGAAAATAGCCAACAGGCATATGAAAAATGTTCACCATCACTTGTTATCAGGGAAATGCAAGTCAAAACCACAATGAGATACCACCTCACACTGTGAGAATGACCCATGTTCAAACAAACAAAGAAACAAAGAACCAGAAACAATAAGGGCTGGCAAGGATGTAGAGGAAAAGGAACCTTCTTACAGTGCTGGTAAAACTATAAACAAGTCTAGCCACTTTGGAAATCTGTGGATGTTCCTCAAAACATGAGGACTATATCTGCCATATGACCCAGCTATTGCAATCCTAGGAATCTAGCCAAAGAATAAAAAAACAATTCAAAAGGAACCTGCACATCTGTGTTTATTGCAGCACTATTTACAATTGTCAAGATATAGTGACAACTTAAATGCCCCAGAACAGATGGCTGGATCAAGAAGATGTAGTATATAGGGCTTCCCTGGTGGTGCAAGGGGTTAAGATGAAACCTATGAAGCTTCTGCAGCCTCTGCAGCACAAGTTTGATCCCCCAGTCAGCAAGGAAGCAACCCACATGGTGCAGCAGACCTCTGCTGTCTTGCCCACTGCTCCCCTCAGCAGTGTATTTCAGTCAATCTGCCTGTTCTGTTCCCCACTCTGTCTCTGGTGAATCCTCTCACCCTCCCACACCTCTGACCTATACCCCAGCTCTTGTATGCATAAATAAATAAATCTTTTAAAAAAAGATTTAGTATATATACACAATCGAATACTACTTGGTGATAAAAAAAAAAAAACAACTCTTGCCACATGTGGCAACATGGATGGAGCTGGAAGGCTTGATGCTAAGCAAAATGAGTCAGAAGAAGAAAGATAAATATTGGATAGTTTCATTTATATGTGGAATATAAAGAAACCAAACCCAAAGCTGAGACAAAGACAAACCTTGAAAGCTGACCAATGGGGGAGGGAGAAAAGGTAGGGGAGGAAGAGCAAAGGGAATATGTGATGGACTGTGGGTGCTTTGGTGGTGCGAGAACTATGGTGACCACATCTGAGGGGAGAAATCATATGTTGTCCAAAATTAAAGAGAAAAAAAAAGAGAAGACTCAGAATCAGATGCCACAGAAATGAAAAGTATTATAAAGAAACTGCTATGAACAATTATAATCAACAAATTGGATCACATAGAAGAAATGGTTAAAATTCTAGAAAAAGGCAACCTACCAAGACTGAACCTGGGAGAAAGAGACAATCTGTACAAACCCATTAGGTATAGAAGGATCTACCTGAACATTATAAAGGCCATGTAGGACAAGTCTACAGCTAATATACTCAGTGATGAGAAACTGAAAACTTATGCTCTAAGATGAGGAATAAGACAAGGATGTCCACTCTCACCGCTCCCATCCATTGTGGTGCTAGAAGTCCTCACCAGATCAAGTAGGCAAGAAAAGGTAGTAAAAGGCACCCAAAGTGGAAAGGAAGAAGTAAAATTATTTCTATTTACAGATAACTTGTTATAAAGATCACATGCATACACACACAAACCTGTTAAAACTGATAACTGAGTTCAGCTAAATTGAAGAATACAAAATCCACTTACAAAAAATCAGTTACATTTCTATATACTAAAAACAAAGTATCTAAAAAGGAAATTATGGAAACACTCCCTTTACAATAGCACCAAAAAAGAACAAAATACGTAGGAATAAATTTAACAAAGACAATAAAAGACTTGTACACTTAAAAAACGCAGGAAAACAATTTAATTACATGTATGTTTTCCTGCTCTGAAAATTGCAAGAATAACATAGAACTCTGAGATTCCTGAGTTATTGGCAGTGTTTCCTGGAAAGCAGAAATTGACATCCTTTTTATATTAGTTCTGACATGTCAATGGATTGTTAATCCATACATGATGATGATTTCATATTCAACCCAGTTCCAGAGAAATGTTTTACATGTCAACATAGATGATACAGGCAGGGGTGATGAGCAATTCTTAAGGGTGCCAGCAATGACTACACCTCTTCACTCCCTCTGTAGGTAGCATATTGGAAAGACAAGTGAACACAAGTAAGGTTCTATGTATAACTTCCAATGTACAGTTAATTTTTCTCTAAATCATATGCTGAATAGTAAGGAGTTAAGAGAGCTGGGCTAAAAGCCTGGACTTCTTAAAAATGTCGATGTTATGACAGACAGAGAAAGGGCAGGAGGATGATTATAGGTTAAAGAAGTAAAGAATTATGAAAACTAAATGCAGTATCTGATTCTTGATTAGATACTAGATTCTAAAAAGTTGTGAGGAACACAATAGGGACAATGGGGAAATTTGAAGATGAAACATATACAAATAGTAATGTATCGATTATTAGTTATGTATCAATGAAAAATTTGTTGAGAGTACTGGTATTTATAGAAGAATGCTCTTGTTCTAAGATACAAGCTTAAGGATTTAGGGGTAAAATATCTGGATAACTTCAACTCCCACAAATATATGTACATACATGCATATGTAAAAACAGGTAAGATAGAAAATATGTGTTATTTTTTTTTAAGATTTATTGATTGATTGATTGATTTATACATACATGCATACAAGCACTGGGTACAGTCAGAAGCGCAGGAGGGTGAGAGAATTCACCAGAGCCAGAGCGGGGAGCAGAACAGGCAGAAGGACTGAAGTACACTGCTGAGGGGAGCAGCGGGTGGCAGGAGAGGTCTGCGCGCCATGTGGGACCCTCCTCTGGTGGCCGGGGAGCAGCCGGGGATCGAACCAGCGCTGCAGAGGCTGCGGGCAGCTTCGCAACCCAGCGCTCAACTGCTGCACCACTGGGGAGGCCCTATGTGTTATTTTTTTAAAAGAGAGTGTAATAAAGCAAATATAGCAAAATGGTAGCCAATAGTGAATCTAGATTAAAAATATTATGTGTCTTCATCCTACTATCCTCTTGTTTTTCTGAAGGTTTGAAAATTTTCTAAATAAAAAGTTAGTGGAAAAAGAACTACGGTTTAAATCCTGACAGTGCCAACAGTAGACTTTCTGATCTTTTCAAGATCCTTTTTTTTTACTCCCTTCCCTTTCATCTGTAAAATAATTACAGATGAATAAAAAACACTACGAAAACAAAAATAGCTACAGCAAGCCTTGGAATAATACTGCTTTGTTCAATGTTGTTTCGTATAACATTGATGAGAAGACACAGTCCCAGCTGACACTGATCAAAATGGCATTATTTGAGGACCTGCTTTCTTTATACATCTTCTCTGATTAAAATCACAGTTTGCAGGAATCTATCAACAATGTTAAGTGGGGACCTACTGTGTAATTAAAGTTTGTCTCATAGCATAGCCATGAAGATTAAATAATACATACATTTGAATTAACTATTATTAAGAATAAGCTTGGAACTTTAATTCTTCCTAGAAACAAATGGCTCAGGTGACACTCATAGCTGATCTAGGTGGGGTAAGTCAGTGGGCCTCTCCTTTGTAGAGCCCACAGAATGAGGGAGCATCTCCTTCAGGATTATCAGACTGATTGGGAAAAAAAACCAAAACCAAAAAAAAGGCAAACTTTTTTTTTAATCTCCTAGGAGGCCTACAGACTACTGAAGTCTTCACTGAAGTCTCAGGTCATCAGCTATGGTGACTGCAGTGACAAAGTGGCTGAAACATTCTATAATATGGGCAGGATCTGCTTTGCCAAAGGAGAACTCAAAAAGGCAGTTCAGCTGCTAAGGAAGGTGAATACTGGTTGGTTTTGTTATATTTTTTTTTCCTGGGCCATTAAGCACAATGTGAGGAGTGATTGTTTATGTGTGTGTGTGTATGCGTGTGTATTTTCCCTCCCTGCCCTGCCCAGCCCTGCCCAGCCCTGCCCTCTGCCTTTCCTTACTTTGTTCTTTTTCTTTTCCTTTCATTTTTTTTTAAAGTGAAGTGTTTTCTTTAGAAAATCCTTGACTTTCTTAGATGTGCTGAGGAGTGAATGTATGTATGATACAGGTGCTTTTTTTGTATCCATGCCTGGATCAGTCTTATAAGAATAATACCCTAATCTAGGAATCTAGGTATGGTAGCCATAGAATCTCATGAAAGCACCCAAGATTGGGTGGAATTACAAGGCCCTTGGGTAGCCAACCCAAAAACTGATACCCCTTCTGGGAGATCAGACCACTCTGGAAGTTCATTCCCTAGTATGAACAACCAAACAGTTGTTCAGTGAGGTTCAGATAAACCTAGGTAATTATTTCATCTTTTTTGCTATTTAAAATATATAATTTGTGAATTTCAATTTTTGATTGTTACTAATAGGGAGAAATGTAATGCAATAATTTTGTATCTCCTAACCTTGCTAAACTCCTTTATTAATTCTAGTAGCCATTTTGTAGATTCCATCAGATTTTCTACATAGATGGTCATGTCACCTGTGAATAAACAGTTTTCTTTCATTCTAATTTGAATGCCTGTTATTTCTCTCTCTTGCCTTATTGCACTGGCAAGAACATTTTGTACAGTGTTGAATAGAAGTAATGAGAGCAGACATCCTTATCTAAGTCCTGTTTTCAGGAGAAAAGAATTTAGCCTTTCACTATAGGTTTGATATTGGGCTGCATATTTTTCATGGATGCTTTCTCCTGGTGGAGGAAGTTCCTAGCTACTGATTTGGTAATCTTTTTTCCCCCTGTTAATCAGGAATATAGATGTTGGATTTTGTAAAATTGGATGTTGGATTTATTAAAATTCATTTTCTCTGTTGAAATAATCTGTGATTTTTCTTGATGGATCATTCCTATTATTGTGTCTTCAAGTTTACTAATTTCTTCTCCAGTGTCAACCCTGCTATTAATCCTATCTGGTATATTTTTCCTGTCAGACATTATAATTTTAATCTTCAGAAGTTCGATTTGGCTTCTAAAAATAAATATATTTCCATATGCCTATGTAACTTCTACATATATGGCATAAAGTTACAATGATGGTTTTAATATAGTCTGCTAATTCTCATTACTATGTCAGTTTCTGGTTGGTTTTTGATTGATCTTTCTCGCTATGAATTATACTTTTCCGCTTCTTTGTCTGCTCTGTAATATTTGTTTGGGTGCCAGACATTGTGCATTTTTCCTTGTGGGATATTGTATACTTTTATATTGCTATAAGTATTCATGTACTTTGTCTGAAACTCAGTTTGGTTCTTGCTTTTGAGATTTGTTATACATGGGACTATAGCAGCATTTAATCAAGGGCTAATTCCTGAGGCAAAAGCTTTCTGAGTACCACACCCAAAACTCCATGAGCAGTGAGGCTTTCCTGTTGGCTAGTGGGAAGAGCTCCATATGTGGCCGTTTCTGTGTAAGCACTGGGCACTGTTCCTCCTGTCCCTTCAGGTGATTCTTTGCTGCCCTTGGGCAGATTTCTCACATGCATGTGCTAATCAGTTCTCTCTTGATACTTGAAAGGGACCCATTGCAGGTGTTCCTGGTTCTTTTCATAAGCAGCTCTGTCCTTTCTGCTACTCTGCCCTCAGAGTGTCCTGGGACACTCAGCTTTACGTGCTTGGTTCAGGGATTCTGCTGAGCGCTATTCCCTTTCCTTGCTCATGGTCTGGAAATGCTCTCAAAGCAGTAATCTGGGGCAGTCATAGGGTTTATTGAGCTTGTCCTTCTCTCGGGGATCCCTGTCCTTCCTTGTCTGATACTCGGTATCTTGAAGATTGTTTTGTGTATTTTGTCTGCTTTTTCCTTTTGGTTGTTTCAGGTGGGAGAGTAAATCTTGTCTCTGTTGTTTCCACCTCAGCTAGAAACAGGTCCATAGTAACATTTTAGATGAGAAATTACCTAAGAGTATAAAGGGATGGAGCATAAAAATATGATGCAGATTTCATTTATATCCCTTCATTTGATTATAGCTATTTGGAAAATCCTGATGGAAATCATGGTTCAGGTTTTAAATAAGGATGCTATTGGTTTTCAGCTCTGTTACTTTTGTTATTCACAGCCACACACATAGCAGTGATAGGGGCAGTGAAGCAACAATATACCCTTGGAATATAAAGCAACTAAAGAGTGTTCAGCTCAACCCTTTTTCCTCCTTGGTCGGGAGGAAATTGAATGCAGGCGTTTGAAATGTAAACTTGTAATATCTCAGTTCCGCTGGCACTCTGAGTCTGCTTTATAATTAAGGTGCTGGCTATCTGCTTTTCTTTAACCTGTCATGTTTCTTCATTTGCCTACAGTGTCTGATGATTCAAATCATTTTATATGGAACTGAGCACAGTAAAAGCAAAGACACCAAAAACCTCCTCACCCTACTACAGAGGTGAGTTCTGGCCCTGCCCATCAACCAGGTGATCGGTGTGGATGTGTAGATACCGCAGCCTCTCCCAGATTCATTCACCTGTTATCTGTGTCTTCTTATTCTATGGATTTGACTAACATCCTTCCTGGAGTTAACTAGTCAATTCCTAGTAGTCTCTCAATGTGAAAGGAGTCTGATGCAATCATATTTAGTATTTATAATATTCATTTAGATGTGGAACATTTTAACAAAATCCTGCAAGATGGTTTCTCGGCTGATAGCCCATGATAAATACAATATGGGTTTATGCACAAAGTTGGTAAACTTTAAACTTTTTCCCTCTTAATATAAAAATCTAAGTCCCTAAATATAAGGCAAGTTTTTGGGGGGATACTGTCTCCAAAGTTAGCAATAAAAAGCATCTTCAGATTGCTATCAGTTCATTGCTTAGGTTCTAAGCCAGAGCGTGCTTTGTGCAGACCGGCCATGTCCTCGTCCTTGGCATCACACTGCTGGTTGTTCATCTCACAATGATGTTGACCTTAACTGTTCTCAGAAAGCAGAGAATGAAAATGTGTTGAGTGTACACTAAATCCCTAAAACTGAGCCAGATCCAATTCATAAAGCACTTAATCCTCACCAATGCCCAGTATGATAATTCTCATTTGACAGGAGCGAGTCTAATGTCCTATAACAAGGCATTTGTCTAAATTCACTTAATCTTGGAGGTTTGGTGTGCATTTCTCCTAAAGCCCCCTCTAATAAAGGTGGGGGCATCATTGTGGGGTGAGGGTTTGGATCCTGACGGCAGTTCACCAGGGGCAGCTGTTAGTTGGGACCTTTCTCACCAGGTTGGGCATAGAAGAGTCTAGAGAATGCTTTCCGCCCATCCTCTCTCTACCTGCCTCAGTGCCACACAGAAACGAGTCCACCAGAAGCCCCATCTCCTGTTTTATTATCCAGACAAGAAGGTTTACTAGCATCTCCTCATATGTTAGGAGGTCATATGGGGGAACTTTACCCCTGCCTGCTTGGTATATGAAGTATAGTTCCTTCATAACCATAACAATGTGAATAAATATAATGTTGAATCCTTCCATTTTCCTGGCATTGTAAAATGATATATATATTTCTGATATGTGAATAATGCTCTTAGTATCTTTATATTCAGGTATGAAACTGAGACTCAGAAAATTTGAGTGTCTTATTTAAAATCACTTAGTTGTTAGATGTAAGATTTGGAAACAGATCTATCATATTTCAAAAATGCACTTCCTTTCAATATGAAGTAGGGATTCTGACTTTGATGAATTTGCAATTATAGACAGGAATAGCATGTAAGTCTCCAGAGCTTCATTTTACATATGGGCAAAGCTGAGGAGTTAAATATTCAATTTGGTATATCCTGGGAGAGGCAGAATTAGGATTCGAACTCTGGTTTCTCTCTCTAAGTCTCTTTGGCAACAGAGCTTACTCTCTGAAGTCAGACTATCTGGATATAAAACCAAGTTCCAACACTCAACTCTCTGACCTAGATGAAGCTACTTAATCACTCTCTGCTTCTGTATTTATTTATCAGTAAAATAACAGTACCTGCCTCAAACAGTATTTTCTGAGAATTAATGAGATTATATACAAATAGGGCAGCTCTTAGAATAAGGCCTGGTAGGTCTTACTGCTCAATGAATGTTGCCAGAAAAAATAATAATTTTATTTCAAAAAATAATAATTATAATAATAATTTGACATAATAGGTCAGATATTTGAATAAGAAGCTTCTGTGTATCACCCCAACTATTGTTATTTTATATTAAGAGATTTGGAAGAAGAGCTTACCTTACTAGGGTCTGCACTTTCATCTAAGCTCCCTCTGTTATTTACTAAGTATGTGACCTTGGACACATCATTTAACTTCTTGAGCCTTGGTTTCTCCATCACTAAAATGCATATAATTATAAACCACAGAGGTTTGTTATGCATTTTAAATGAAATAAAGTATATAATACCATGCCGAGAACGTGCTCACCCTTCCCTGGCTGCTTCTGCCTTTAACTTTTAGGGTAACAGGTCATGTTACAGGGCAGCCCCGATATTGAACAGGTTCCTGGCTGTGGGTCCTCACCCGCGTGCTTAAAAGGGACTTATGAATACTCCACTACAGACACACACAAAAGGTTAATAAAAGGTTTATGTACAACTCAGGGAGAAAATAGGGAAATAAAGTCTTTAATGCGTCCTACCCGATCCGCCGACCTGGAAACCCAAAGTCACTCTCCGAGCTGGCCGGACAGCTGTGAGCTGGCGGGGAGCCAGAATGGGGGACCCCCTCCAAAGCCCACGTGTCTGGCTTTATACCCACCTGGCTGCTTAACCCCACCCTCAGGTCCCAGCCACCTTCCCTTTGGTGGTGATGGGATTTGGAGTTCCCAGTGTCTTTGGCTTTGGCCTGGGGTGGGGGTGGAGTCCACAAAGCCTGTATGGAATTAGCTTTAGGACAGCCTTTTCCCCCTAACAGTCAGACTATGTGAAGATAGAGATTATTGTTAGGTGGATTAAAATATGTTGCATGTTTGAGAGTTAGATTGAGAATTTGATTTAGACTGAGAATTTCAGACCTCTTGAACTGGTCTGAAAGTATATTTTGTACTTTGAAGGTAATAATAATGTAACTGGAATAACACAATGTGTAATTCCAGAGAAGAAATGCATGAAATTTCTTCAAAACTGGAACAAAAGTTCTATTCAGTTTGTATTTAAAAAGAAAAACTTCTGAATAGCTGGAATGAATCTATTGATATTTCCTTAGTAGCCTGAGGTACTTTTCCTTCTAGTGTTTCTTTTACTGTTCCTTGTCCATGATTTGAATCACAAGAGGAGGGACAATTAAGAGGTTCTGGTGTAAGCTCATTCACACCCCACTGTAAATTCTTCTCACCATAAATGACAGTGAGACCTAAACCTACCAAGAAAGTTCTTTGGAGGGGAAAAGAAAAGTCAAAGACTGCTGGAGGCTTCTAGTCAATAAAGGGTTTTCTCTCCCTAAAATCACCCCCTGCCACCCTCCTCAAGAACTGCTGAGCAAACGCCATGTGAGAGCTGCCAAAGCCCAGATTAAAACAACAACCAAAAACCCAACCAACCCAGTGTAAGAGTTGTTCTCTTTGCTTCAGCATCTCGCTGGAATAATCAATCCCAGATGTCCTGGAACTCTGCTGGCTTTCCTGACGCGCTCCTGCGCTTTGTATCCCACCTCTTCCGAAAGCCAGTGACAACACTCGCTGAGCTTTCATTGCCAGGAGCCCAAATTCTTGGCTCTTGAAGACTCTGCAGAGAAGTGAAAGCAGAACTCGCCCCTAAAATAGGAACTAATTCCAAGGTTAAATGATAATTGCAAGGGTCTCAAGTAAGATCTTACTCTAGTACACAGACAAGACATAGAAAGTCTCAGATGCAAAAGTAAGCTCCATAGCCTTTTAGCCTTTTTCCTAAATCACAAATAGACTTCTGTTTTAATCATTCACATATTGAGCTTCTTCTAAGCATTAGAAATACTAATATGTTTAAGATAGAGTCCTTCCAGATAACAGATGCATGGCCAGATTACAAGTTGGTCTGTCCTAAAGCTTGAATAGAAATGTAAACGAGGATATGCAATAAATTGTGGAGCTGGAAGTGTGGGTGGAAACTGTGTGTAAACTGGGGGCAGGGTGTTGGGTCTTCAAAAAAGGTAAAATATCAGCAGGTAGAAAAGAAGTCAGAAAGAGGACATTTTAGGAGTATGAACAAAAGCAGACTTCAAGGAGATTTGAGATTTCTGAGGAAAAATAAGAGTGGTTGAAGTTCAAGGTATATTGAGTAGGAACATGTTCAGGTTGACTTGGGGAAGTCACTGGGGTCAGATTTTGGAATATTTGATGTGCTGTGCTAGAGAGTTTAGAGTTTCATTCAGTAGACAGAAGGCAACTATCAAAGAGTTTCGAGCAGGATATGAACTGACCAGTTATTGGCTTTGGAGCATTAACTCTGCCAAGTCCTGGGAAGAGCAGATGGGACCCAGGGAGAGAGTAAAAGTAGGGAGACCAGTTAGGAGCAGATACAATAGTCCAAAGGAGAGAGGTTGAGAGTGTTAATAATCTAAGGCCATAGTAGAAGGAATGTGGAGAGGATAGACTGAGAAACTTTGGAATCTATGTTGACTACTCTTTAGAACAAATTAGATATGAGGTATAATGCAGGCAAGAGTCAAAGGCAGCTTAGGGCCTCCCTGGTGGCGCAAAGGGTTAAGCACCACACTATGAAGAGGTCCACAGCCTCTGCAGCATGAGTTCGATCCCCGGCCGGCTAGGGAGAAACCACATGACGAGGCAGACCTCTCCTTGTCTAGCCCGCTGCTCCCCTCAGCAGTGTATTTCAGTCAGTCTGCCTGTTCTGTTCCCTGCTCTGTCTCTGGTGGATCCTCTCACCACCCACACCTCTGGCCTGTACCCCAGCTCTTGTATGCACAAATAAATAAATCTTTAAAAACAAACAAACAAAAACCCAAAGGCAGCTTAGAAGTTTCTAGCTTGGGCATCTGGGAATGGCAGTGCTACTAAATGAAATAGTGTTGGCAGGAGGAGAGCATCTTGGAGGCTGTCTAAAGGGTGTGAGGAAGATGATGATTCTCTCAACCCTGAGATGGCCTCATTGTCTACTGCTGTGCTGGTCCGCGGCACTTTCAAGCTCCATCCATGTTGCTGCAAATGGCATGAGGTTATCTTTTATGATCACCGAGTAGAATTCCATTGTGTATATATACCAAACCAACCATGTCCATACCCAATCTGCCTCCATGCACCGCCACCTCCACCCTTTTCCCTGTTCCCTCTGGTAATTGTTATCTTCTTTTTCATTTCTTCTATTGTTTGTAATTTTTTTTAAAGATTTATTTATTTATGCAAGCACTGGGGTACAGGCCAGAGGTGAGGGTGAGAGAATTCACCAGAGCCAGAGCAGGGAGCAGAACAGGCAGAAGGACCGAAGTACACTGCTGAGGGGAGCAGCGGGCGGCAGGAGAGGTCTGCTGTGCCATGTGGGAATCTCCCTGGCTGGCCAGGAATCAAGCCGGCGCTGCAGAGGCTGCGGACAGCTTCACAGCGCTGTGCTCAACCTGCTGTGCCACCAGGGAAACCCTTGTTTGTAATTCTTTTTTTGCTATTTATAACCTGCAGATGAGCAAAACCATCCGATATGTCTTTTACTTTTTGACTGATTTCACTCAACACAATCACCTCAAGCTCCATCCATTTTGTGCCAAATGCCACCACTTCATCTTTCTTTGCAGCTGTGTAATATTCCATTGAATATGTGTGCCACTTTCTTTATCCATTCATCTGTTGAAGGGCACTTGGTTGGTTCCATAATTTGACAATTGTGAACAGTGCTGCTGTGTATGTAGGTATAGATAGATATTTTCATGTTAAATTTTTCATATTATTTGGATAGACACCTAATAGTGTAATGAGGATTAGAATAGTAACTTTAATATGGAAATATAATGAAGAATAAATGACAGCATTAACACAGAGCACTTAGCATACTATCTGGTATATAGTAAGTGCTCAACAAATATTTTTACAACTCTCAAGAGTCACCCAAACTTACTGGATGTATGAAAGCATGTTAGTTACCTCAACTTTGTCTTTGTAATTGTTTGACACCTCTAGAAAAACTCATGCCAAGAATATATTTTGATATAACTTTTCATGGGTGTTAAGCTATAGCAGCCAATGGAAGGAGCAAGGAAAACCATACTTTTCTCTTTACAGGAGGGGCGGTTCAGTGCCCACTAATCTGGTGATGATCCCTTGTTTTCTTGGTCATGTGAACAAAGTGGCACAGCCTCTTCTGGGCTGAGCAATTAGAGAGGGAAAGCCAAAGAAATATAAGTAGCAATGGAGGGTCTGAATGATGAACTCCAGAGAGAACTGCAGCAAATAGAAGGAGAGTAAATGATATGCTCAGGAAGTTCTGTGTCAGCCAGACCAGTCTTGGGCAAGACGTCAGTGCTGAAGTATTCACGCTCCAGAAACTGGATTATTTCCAGGCTGTTGCATTGTATTCTTTCCCTGCCATTTATTTGTAAATGTTACAACACTGTCCCTACAAAATTAAAGAGAGAAATATTTGAGCAACCCTCTTGGGGTATGAGTGGGTTGGGAGTACGATCTTTTCTGGCATCAGGTGCTAAGAGTCCAGCATCTTTTCCAAATCAGGATCCTAGAAATAGTTGGAAACACTGGAGCAGATAAAGAAATGAAAAGCTAGGAACCTGTAGCTTCCTACTTGGTGGTCTCTCTGAAGGGAGACAGAGGCTGCTAAGCCATGCCAACTCAGAGTACTGTGCCTGGGGGGTTCTACAATCAAGAGGCCTTCTTGCCAGGCCAACTAAGTGGATTGATAGGTTTTAGTGTGAATAGGGCAAGAAGTACAAATACATTTCACTTCATGGGTCCACTTGGTTGTTTTCTGCAGTGATGTTTGAGGTTCACATGCAGAAGACTGGATTTGGTGGAGCCAATTTATTTATATTGTGTGTCATGGCGTATGAGCGGGGGAACAGGTGAATTTCTGCCATGAATTTACTACTCAGGCCTAGGAAAAGAGCTGTGTGCTTGGACTCAAGGCACCTCATGACCAAAAACCAAATCTGATCTGAGACAGCTACGTGAGTGTAAGTTGCCTAAACATTCTGAGCCTCGCTTTCCTTGTTATTTCATCAATCATCTCGGGAACATGTGAGCTCTGCCTGTACTTAGAGATGCAGTTGATAGTAAAGGTAGTTCATGCTCGTTATTCTTAAAGAACTATCTAGAACAAGGGACAAATGTGAAGAATTAATGAAAACATGAAGTATCAGTTCTGTCATAGACACCTCAGTGTGGTGAGAGCAGAAAGGAGACAATCGAAGGAAACAGGAGATTTCATAGGATTTCATTTGTTTCTTGAAGGACGAGTAAAAGTTCATCCAAGTGGAAGAAAGAAGCCAACGCAGGACGAAAGAACACTATATGCAAAGGCACGGAGGTGTGACAGAAGGCGTATGGTGAGGGAGTGTAAGTTCCTGGTGTTGGAGGCAGCATTTCCTGAGGAGCACTGTGAGGAATGCAGATTCCAAGGAATTGCATAGTTAAATGGGGATGGGGAGGGTGGGAAGATAAGGATCAGTGACAGAAATCACTTTAGAAAAACCAGACAGGGCTGAACACAGTGATACACATTCATCCCCAAAGAATTTCTCAGAATTGTTAATAGACTAAACTAAATTAGCGTGTTAAGAAATTAGTTTAAAATAAAAAGTAAAAAAAAAAAAAGAACATCTGTACTATCTGTACCTGAATTCTTTATGAAATGGTTAGTAATTTAAATTTTGGCAAATCAAACCTTATACTGTCTTTAGACCCAGAGCGGATAAACTATTATTTATTGAAAGCAAGGGGGGCTGCAGCGCATGCTTGAACTGAGGGTGCAGGAATGCTTTTATAGTTTGTAGAGAATTTGGGCCCCATTCAGGACATAATGAAGGCTTTGTGAACAGCAGCTATCTCACCCATGAACTATTTTATCTGCTTGTAGAAGCGTGACTTCAATATAACCCTATGAACTAATTTTTCTTTATGATGCTCTAGTTCTGGAGACAGAGAAGCCTGGGTTCAGACTCCAGAACCACCAACTTTTAGCTAGGTATGATCCTGGTTTCCTCATCTGTAGAATGGGATGAGAATAATACCTATCTCTCAGTGTTGCTGTGAAAATAAGTGAGATAATGTATGTAAAATGTCTCCCAGCATGCCTGGCCCCATGGTAACCTTGTCATAAATGACAGCTGTTTTTGTTGTTACTGAAACCTGGCCTCTGGCTTGACCTCCTGCTTACACCATGGGTGCAGGACGCAAGGAGACAGGGCTAGTAACTGAAAAGCCGCCACCCAGCTGGTGTCTGACATCTGAAAAGTGAGCTAGAGCTCAGCAGCCCTGGAGACATAGATAATATAGACAAGACAGCGTGGCACAATTACTTAAATCCAAAGTAGATAATTACAGACACGATGGAAATACCGGGGTCTTTTTCAGTGACCTGAGGGTTTCAGGAAGGGGGAATCCTGCCACCGTGTGGTGGGAGAGCAGTGGGCCCAAGGCTGAGTCTAGTTGCTGTGCTGATGCTGTCCTTGTTCCTGCTTTATGAGACCCTTGGGCAGTTGGTTTAACTATTTTGTACAGTCGAGTAGTAGAAAGAGAAGGTAAGCCAGAGTTTCTAGTGGACTTTGCATATAAAAGCCTTAGATTGCTCATAAAATTTTGTGTCTCATATTTCTATAGACCAAATTTTTTTTTCAGGCAAATAGGGATTATGAAAAATAAACTTTTTGTGGGCAAGAGGTCTGATGAGGAGGCCACTGAAGAACTTAATCGAAGTTCCTAGTAGATCTTTAGCCAAATCACAATCATTATTATTCTAGCTCCAACCCAGCTCCTCCAGTAATGGGAAATCAGAGCATGAAAATTTTAATGGCAGGAAAAGGGAAGGCAGGTCCTCTCTTTAGTTTGGGTTCTAAATCTCTGTGCTGCTAAGAAATCACCTCGAAGTCATGAAGCGGATGAGGAGTGCCATTTACCTTAGTTTTTTCAGCTGTCATTCAGACAACTGAGGTGTCTCGGGTGTCCTTGCTTGCCATCTGAATCAAGGGAAGAGCTCTCTGCTCTTTAGGAGAAAAACCCAAAACTCTAGTGTCATTATGGAAGCCCCATTAAATTCAGAATTTAGGGGTGCAGTCACATGGTGAAAGTCAGTGGCCTCAGACTTAGGTCAGCCATCTAGCTCAAAGTCGTGATTTGGTGCTGAAGAGAGAGAAGGCCAGCAACAAGAAACATGCAGTCTTCTCCTTTCTTCTAGGTCTTCTATTATCGATAAAAGAGAAAACTTTTATTCAAGACAGCTGACAATAAAGCCAACCTTGTCGATACCAGACATTCTGGACCACAGTATGTATTTATCAACACTGCCAGCAGTGGCGAATCAAAAGCTGACCAGCTGACTTTGGGGAAAAAAGTCTGCTTAGCAACAGTATTACAGGTAAAGTACCCAAGAGCCATTAGAAATCAGGCCCCTGATCAGTAACTGGAGGGTGGGGGGGAGGTGGAGAGAATCTTTTTTGGACACATATTTTTAGTTTCTTAGGTCACTGGAACGCTGTTGTCTATTGTTTCTCTCTTTCTAACGAATCTCATTCCTTTCAATTATGATTTATTTTGTGCACAGGGCAGGGGGTTTAATAATACTTAGGTAATTTATTCATTCTTAGGTAGTGAACATTTTGAATGCTTTTGGGGAGTATTTTTAGTCTTAACTTGAGGTCCCTAAAACTGCCTTGTGAAGACATGTTTGATCTTCTGAATCATTTTCCCTCATCTGATTTATTGAAGTCATGAAATACATTCCAATCAAACACCTGATGTTCCTAACAGACCTGAGCCAGTCTAGTCGCCAGCCAATCTAGTCATATTCTTAATTCGAGATGGATAAGTGCTAGCCTTTTGTCTACAATCTCTTTATCAAGTTGGAAAAAAATATCAAGGCCAGATCAAACTGTCCCCCACACAAATTTTGTTATTTTTTAAAATTAATTTTTTTCTTTTACATCATTGTGTAGTCCCCATGAAATTCCCATCACCAACTCACCCGTGAACCATCACCATAGTCCCTTGTGCTCTTCTCTCCCTGTTTCGATCCCTTTTCCTCCTCACTCTCACATAATGTCTCTGATTTATGGTTGCCTGCTAAATTTTTAATTTTTTTTCCTGATCCCTTAATTTGGTTCCCCTATATTCCTCCTGTAGTGATACATTTCTTTTTTCTTCTGGATTATTTCAGTGAGAATGATCCCTTCTTGTTGTGAATGGCATGAGTTTATCTTTTTTGATTGCTGAATAGTATTCTATTTTGTATATATACTACATCTTCTTGATCCAGTCATCTATCTTTGGGCATTTGGGCTGTTTCCATATCTTACCTATTGTAAATAGTACTGCAATAAACATAGGGGTGCAGGTATCTTTTTGAATTAATGTTTTTGTGTCCTTTAGGTAGATCCCTAGGAGTGGAATTGCTGGGTTATATGGTAGCTCCATTTTTAGTAGTTTGAGGAATCTCCACACAGCTTTCCATAGTGGTTGTACCAGTTTGCATTCCTACCAGCAGTGTAGGGTTAGTTTCTTTTTCTCCACATCCTCACCAACATTTGTTGTCTCCTGTTTTTTAACGTGTGCCATTCTCAAACAAATTTTAATAAACATCTATTATCAGGCATGTAAAAAAGTTTATGCAACCTGTTCTGTAAGCTCAGTGAAGCTCGTTCTCTGTTTTGGTAGTTCACCCACCATTGTCCATGAAAGGTCCACCTAAGGCAAACTTGATAATACTCCAGAGATAGGACTATCCGAATCCATTTGGTAACAAGCAACCAAAAATTATTAAATGGTAGGAAACAAGACATCAGGAGCCAGGACTTTGGCAAACTAGGCCTAAGGGTATAGGCTGCAGGCCTCATTAACTTTTATATCCTTTCCATGCAAGCATGGGCAGCTACTCTGAAATAATTTAGTCAGTGCACATATCCTCAAATACCTCTAGTTTTTCCAGTGAGCATCATTACTAATATCTATTGTACTGATTATAATACTAACTGCAAAAGAAAACCTACTTCAAACATTTGGTCTACCAATTATCAAAGCCTTTGGTGGTGACTGAGATATGGCTAACAGAAACACTCATAGTGCCTGTGGCATTTCCAATAATTAGTTGTCTGTTCCTGGAATGGACAACTAATGTTAGAGGTACAGCCTGCTGCTGGCCTGTATGTACCCTGACATATTTATAGAGATATCACCTAATAATAATTAGGAAAAGAGAAAACACTACACAATTTCCTTGATTTCTCAGGCCCAACAGATGGTGTTTCAGGCAGGGAGTGTGAAGACAGGGGAGAAGGAAGTCTCTATCATTCTGAAAAATTCCCTACCACACACTGTTGAGAATTACTGCTTTTCAGCAAGTGTAACTACTGTTTAGTGGGACGACTTGACAACTGCACAGAAATTCCCTGACTTTATAAAAATTATTGTTACAAAACTTATTTTTATGGAAGGTAGGATTTAACAAAACTGTAATTTTTGTTACTTTGAAGCATTTCATCAATTCTAAGAAGCGTCACATTAAATAGGGAATAAGCAAACTAAAAATGGAAAACCAAATGACCTATCCATTCCTGGTGAATACACTTTTACCGAAATGAGATAAATTTCAAAAAGGCAAAACTAAAGCTCAGTAATACTCTCCATACAACACATAAATTTGTAATTGCCAAAGTATCCTGCTGTGCCAGAGGAAGTGCTCCCCCTAGTGAGCTTTTATAGGAACTAGAACAAAGTTTAGTAAATTCCAAGGTCAAACAGGAAATCCTTAATAGTAGCTAGTATCTTGCAAAATCTGACCTTATTAAACACCAGAGTTCACAATGGAGAAAGGTCTTATGAGTGCAGTGAATGTGACAGATTTGTTGAGGTCACTCCAACCTTATTGAACCCCAGAGACAACATGATAGAATAACACATTATGAGTGTGCTGACTAGAAAATGTTATTCCAAGGTCCAGTTTCATTCAAAGTTCACACTGGAGAAAGGCCATGTGACTGCAGTGAATATGGGAAATCTTGTTATCTGCAAAACCCACTTAACCTAGACTTTAAGAAAAAGAACAAGGTCATATGAGTGCAGTGGATGTGGTGACTTAGCCAGAGCCCTGGTCTCTACCACAGAAAAGCTCACATGTGATAAACATGGGAGATTCCCTATGTTTCCATGATCAGGGGAGCAGGTGTAAGCTGCCAGATTTTAGTCCCTGCCAGTCTATGTGGAAAAGCCATTCATCACTACCACCTGGCAGTCGACCTAGTGTGCTCAGTGGAGCTGACCTGTGTGCTCGCCCATTTGTTGGAGGGATCTTGAGTTTCCTGAGCCCTTATGGTATCTTCACTCCCTAATCTCTGACAAGGTAAGGCCATGGCCCCGACCCTGTGTTGGCTCAGAGAAGTCTTGAGTTGTACTGGTTAACTGTATTGCCTTTTAGGGACACACTTGGTCCCAGGTAGTGCTTGTGAAGTTTTCCAGCTTCCAAGTCACCAAAGCAGAAACTACCTGTCACACATGGCTCTGGTTTCTACATTAATAAAGACCATTTGGTCTATGCATCACTAAAAAAAAAAAAAATAATAAATTCAGAGGCAAATAATGGGAAATAATGACTAACAAGATGCTAAAAATATAACCTGAAAGTGGAAATTCTATTATCTAACAAATATTTATTAAATACTTACTAGCTATAGTAGTAGGTAGTTGGTATATATATATATCTCTTTCCCTGAGGGGCTTTGCTATTATACTCTTCAATTTCCTATATGCTATGAGGTTTATTTTAAAGTAGGGCATTTCAAATAAATCCTGATTCTGGTGACTGTCATTCAGCAGTTCTCAACCATCACCCAGGGCACTTTTACCAGTAGAAGAGCACCAGGTAAGACCACGACCAGGGAGACTAAATGAATCCCACAGTTGGGTGACTGCAGTTCCCATGAGGAACTGTCCCATTTAAAAGATCAATAGTACCTGCTCACTGAGAGACACTGAGCTGTTGTCACACGGCACAGATATTTCATTTTAAATATTTTTTCTACTGGGAAACATGTTAGATAATTTTAGCATTATACTTTATTAAATATTTACATGATATAAAAATAATTACATTGAAAATTACCCAGGAAAGTGCAAAATCGCTTAATAACTGGTTTTCTGTATCTTTGTTTGAGAAACTTCAAAACAGAAAGTACCTAATAATTATTTATTGCACTGAGCAATACTGAGAAGAAAGAAATCTGTAACTCTGAAGACGTACGTATCCTCTTCACAAATTTTTTCAAAATTGTATACTTTAAAAACCAATTGTCTAGTTATTCAGACTTGTTTGGAAATGCCTAAACTTCAGAATATTTGAGAAGAAATCACATGTAAGAGCAATCCAGTCCAAGTAAAAGCTGTCGTTAACAAGGTATCCTTTAAAACAATGGCTCTCAAATTTTAACAAGCATCTGAATTTCCTGGGGGAAGCTTTTTTTTTGCAGGCCCACTCCTACAGTTTCTGACAAGTGTCCAGGGGGTGCTGACATTGCTGATCTAAGCACACTTCAAGTACCCTGACCTAAGGTAGGGCCTCCAGAATTCAAACTAATAAGCAATGCCCATATACCTTTGCTTTTTATAATAAGTAAATAAAATAACATTTCAGATTGATTTTATCAAATATTAAAGTTTTAGACTCTTGAAATGTCATACTTAAACTGAACACATAATTTACTCATCTTAGGATTCCTATGAATTCAAAAAACAGAAACTTGGGAGAGTCAAAGTACTAGATAATCTATGATTATTACATAAAAACATTTTCTTTTTTACAAAATACACAGCAACTCAGGGTGCTCCTTTCTTCTCCATGTTGCTTCCCTTTAGAAAGGCCAGAAAGAAATCATGAAGAGTACTATACCCAGAATGAGAACATGACCTATCATGAGTGTTTACAGAAATGTCACAGTGAACTGTCACAGTTAAGACTCAGAGTCAGAAACTTCTTCATCAGGGCAGCAGTAATATTCCACAAAACATACTTGTCCGTCTTCATTTCTAATCATATACTGTAAAGACAGGAATCCTCGATTATCTGTCCGAATAGATACCTTACAAGACAAGACTAATGCCTTCGTGGAGGGTTTCAGTAAAGAAATCTTGTATCTGTAGAATGTAAAAAAGTTGTTAATAAAGTTGTTAGTAAATAAAAAGTTGTTATTTGAACACACTTAAAGCAGTGCTCATAACTCCCAAGTAAAGGACAAAAATGAGCCAAAAATTACCAAGTAGCGAATACAAGAAAATCAAATTCTTGTCCAATTTACTAATATTTCTCTTCATTTAATTTTACCACTATTACAAGCCAAAATCCCCTGAATAAATCAAGAACCCTATTGTTCACTTTTTAAAATACTATAAACAAATTAAAAAGTTTGAAAAATGTAATAGGAATTTGATATTTAACTTAATCTTCATCACCAAAAGTAATTTCTGTGACGAGGACTGACCTGTTGACCTGCGTCTGATTACAATGAAATGATTCCATCAAATCAGAATCTTTGGGATAGTCAAGGTGGGAGCTTCCTGCATTTCCAAAAGTAGATAACCTATGGCAGAAAATGAACAATTCATTTATTCACTGGCCCAACAATAACCCACATTATTATCTAAATAAAGAAAACAAAACACTTCCTTTAAAGGAAGTTCGTTCTGGTGAGTGAAAACAGATATGTTAACAAATACAGACAATACACTTTAACAATGACCTTAATAAAGACTCCACAAGATGCTGTGAGTACAGAAGAGCTAGCAACAAACAGCTTTGAAAAACATCAGTCACAGAATTGTAATCTGACTGATAATCACTTTTTCTCAAGCTTAAAATCAGAAATATGTAAGTTAGGAATAATGACGAAACAGATCTGTATCATCTGCAAGTCTGCAATCCTGTTCCCTATCTTTACTGCCACACCACACAATTAACGGCTTTTCTATAGCTTAAGACTGCTCTGCACGCTATTTTATGGTATTCTTGGCTTGGTAATACCTGAGGTTTATGTGTAGAAAATTTATACATGTTTGTTTTGTCTTTAAGAACTTTATCATGTTATGGGATTAGATTATTTTAAGAGTAGCCTGATAGATAACCTAGGTGCTGGGTTTTCCCTGGATCTACCTTTCCCCTCTTCTTCTAAGGCACCCTTTTTCTCAGAGCCACCCCATCCATGCCCAGCCAGAATGATGATTCCTAAATCTAGATTCTCAGTCTTACCTCCTGAGCTCGCTGTATATCCCAAATACTCCCTAGTGTTACAGGCTCCCTCAAGTTCAACGTATCTAGTAAAAAATTTCAATTTGCAGTACCCCACCACCGAATTATTGTTCATGTTGAAGATAAACAATACCATGATCCATCTAGTTTACCCTTACAGAGAGAGCATTTAGATGTGGATCCTTTGAAATATTCTGTTAAAGTGCCTGAAATTTCATTTCATACTGCCACTTATAGGCTTCTGTTGATTTCCATTTTGGTTATATTTTAACAACTTTCGTGCCAAAATTTTAACTGCCTCATGCCATATAGTCCTGAAATTGTTCTTAAGTAGATATATAAAAAGAACTTATACCTCTCATTCCATATGTATTTAGCCCCTTTAGTCTTTCATATTCTAAAAGATTTGAATAGAAGCCATTATATATAAACACTCTCTATATAAACTAATTCTAATCCTGAAAAATGACTTGCCATTTCATAATCTGCTGGGCAAGCACAATCGGGAGCAGCGTGACAGTTTTGACATTATATTCCCACTAAAAACCGCCCTCCCTTAAGCTGCTTACCTAGACCAATCCTTCCTCAACACTCATGTACTATTCTCTTATATTTTAGTATTTAATGGCATGCTATTTTGTTCCTCCAGTGCTGTTTCACAGGCCTCTCTATTCTGATTTTATGGTGTTCTTTAATAAAGGAGCTACGTACAGTAGGTGATGAATACATACTAAGTGAATAAACGTGTATAGAAAACAACTACTTCATTGTGTATCCTGTACTAACCTGAAAGGAAAAGAGATACCACATTATATGAACACCTTTTCCAAAGTTTAAACCTAACTGTCCTCATAATTAACCTGATCTGTAAGAGGAAATAGGTAAAGCAATAAAACAACCACTAGTTCATGAATTAAGAGACTGGGCCACTCGTTTAGAAACCAACACTACCTAACTAGGAAGCTTTAAGTAGTGCATTAACCTTCCTGGATCTTAAGTTTCCTGATCTGCAAAAGGATAAGGTAAGGATAAAAACTCTCTAAGGTTTTAAAAACTGTAAGAACATGGATAATAAAAGCTCTGCATCCTAAGCAACTGTAAGTAGGGAGATCAAGGCGACATTAATATAATTGTACTGCTTTCAAGTACCTGAAATACGGTTTGTCAGGAGACATGGTGATTTGTAGGACCTCACTTGTCATATCCAATTCAGAAAATGCTTCACGGAGCCCCTCTGACTGAAGAATAATTTTATTAATAACATTGGTGCTGCAGAAATCAAAATCCAGAGTCTCCTCAGGTTCCTGAGTATTGATTTTACACACTGTTACTACACCTCCTTCTTCCAGAAACAGCATCAAAGGGTAACCATCACCTTGGTAGCACATCCGAAGTGCAGTTAAAGTCCCTGCTAAGGAAAGAAATCATACTTTGGGCTTTGCTTTATAGCTCTGAATTCAGTGGCTCTACAAATGATACATATAACAAGAGTATTTATAGTTTTATGTCCATAGTAATGGAATAACCAATCTTAAATCCCTAACCATAAGTATTTTATAGGAAAGCATGTGGGAAAATAGACATAATTTATGACTCAAAAAAATTCTCAACATATTTTGAAAACAATAAACTGGGAGTTAAGAGAATTGATTTCTATTTCTTTCTGCCACCAAATGCGTAATTATGGACAAGTTAGGGAAAACTAACAAATGTTCACAATGTTAAAGATTATTTAAGACATGTTCAAAGTTTCCTTTTTTGGTCAGTTCAAATTTAAAATCCCAAAAGTTTGTAAATTAAAGATGTAAATACTTTTGCAAAAATGAAGAGAACCACAAGCACATTTTCTATTAATATTGTGAAGTCAGAACTCACGACAGACCAGTGAAATATGAGTGATTTTTTTTAAAGAAATACGTCTATCAGTTACTAATAAATTTTCTGTATTTTGACCATTGTGTGTAATGCTTTTATACTGTTATAATAATAATAAAATGTTCACCTGGCATAGGACTTGATCCAAAAATAGATAAGCAGTCTAAAAGGATAGTTAAATTAATTCGAAAAGTAACAGATTCTTCTTTAATTGTGAACTCTTGAAATATTCCAGCCTATGGGGAAAAAAGTAAACATGAAAATGTCTTTATACATAGAGGAATGAAACTCACATGTAAGACTCTAGACTTAAAGTAACAATATTGTACCAACACCAGGAAAATAATTTCAGATTACTGATCCAAAAATCTTAAGCTTTTTTTCAATTATTTTCCATTAGAATTACACTGCTTAATAGGTAAAGGCATGGCAGTGATTCTGGTCCCATGTAAAACCTTATGAAGCGTCCTGCACCTAGCTTCTTGCAGCTAAACTACCTCCACCCAATTCTCCCTTATCTCTTTTTTTGTGCCCATCAGCATGACTGTCATGTGGAAAAAAGCAAAATAAGTTGATAATGCACAAGTGCATTTTCAATTTCTTTTGAGAATAGGAACCATGTCTTTATCCCTCTATACCCAAAGTGATACTGTGTACTTGAGTGTTCAAAGAGAATTCCATTATAACCGATAAAAGGAAAAATCTTTTTTAATAACAGGTAGTTGCCTCTATAAAAAAAAAAAAGGATCATATACTTTAGAAACATGTTTCAGGTTTTCATTTCAACTCAGTCACTTGCCGGGTGTGCGAACCTGGCAAATCAAACTATGCTTCAGTTTCCACATGAGTAAAATGAGAACAACAACAGACCTACCACATAGGGCTAGTATGAGAAATTAAGTGAGTTTAATACATAAAACATTCAGAAGAGTGCCTGCTCTACATTTTAGCTTAGTAAAATTTAGACAGTATGATTATCTCTCTGTAAAACAAGAAAAGAATGTTACCAAGAGAGACAAAGAATTCAAACAATGACAATAATACAATGACATTGTATTGTTAAACTGGGTGAAGAATATCCTATGTCACGGGGTTCAAGGTGCCTGTGTCCATACCTGAATAAAAGCATTTGCTTGCACACACTTTGCATTTTCCACTGTAACCTTGATTCCATTTTTAGTAGCGAAACATGTGGCATGGTCTCGGAAATGAATAGCCTTCAAGATAGTGGAGAGATTCCTGACGTTGTCGAGGCTGGCCACTAAGCTGTAGTCGTTCTCATCTTGGATCTGTGTGGTTAGGAGAGGCATCGCGCCCAGCACATCCAGCCTGGAAGGATGCTCTAGGGGCCAAGGCCTGCGCCCATGAATAAACACAGTTGAGACTCAACCATCAAACCTCCCCATCACCACTGGCGAGGCCCGGGACCTCAATCCACCCTGAAGCGACATAGACAGGGCCAGAGTGTTGAACTCAGCTGACCAGGGTAAAACCCCACCTCCACCTCTGCCACTTACTAGTGCTGTAGAAATGAATTCCAGCCTTTTACCCAGGCAGAGGAAGAATAAGCGGTACTTCAGGAATGGTGAGGTCAGGAGAAGCTTTATTACTCATGCATGAGGTCCCAGACCTGGGGAGCCCCGTAAGTTCTGAGCACCCGTTTAAAGACCAAGAGTTCCTTTTATACACAACTCTCTCCATATCTGTTACACGGACATTTTTCAGCTGGCACAACCATTTGCGGCAAAGTCCCCAGACAAGGGAGGCAAGGCAAGGGGCAAAAGATGCAGGCATTCGGGGTTGGCCTTGGAGAGAGATACCAGCTTGGCCGGCTGCCCGACCTTGTAGATAGGACTGCTGAGGCCCTGGCCATGAATCTTGAAAGGGAAGGAGCTATAAGTAAGCAAACTTATTGATTGTGCCTGCATTGGCATGTTCATTGCCCCTGGCCTGGAAGTTCTGCTGGAATCTTTATTATATTCATTTGCTGAAAAATATATTTTCTCATCACTAGTGAGTCACTAACTTGCATTCAAAGTTACTCTCTAACTTGGGGGAAGTTCTCTCTCCAAACTATGGTTTCCTAGTTCTTAGAGAACGTTAACACACGAAAAATTGTGAACATGTAAACATGCAACGAACACGGTAGTTGGGGGGCAAATGTCGCCACTCCCAAGTTGGGGCGAAGACTCCCCACGGTTCTGAGCTGCCCCGCGCCACCGGCCTCACCCCGCAGCACCCCCAGGGCAGGTGGCCCGAGCGCACCGAGCCCGAGACCCAGACGAGTCCGTCCACCTGCCCGCCGCGTGGACGCAGCAGCTACGCGTGCGGGATCCAGGGGCGCAGAAACCCTACCTTTGCGGTGGGGTCCAGCCCCCCGAGGGCTCTCTCCCACCAGCTGACTAAAGAAGCGATCTGCAGCTTCCAGGAAATAAGGGAGAAAGCGCAGCGGCTCCCGCCACTCAGTTCAGACCGCCCCGCCACCTCGGCCACCGTCACCATCGAGACACTGAAGTCCTAGAGCGCCGAGCGCGCAGTGCCGCAGAGGCCGGAAGGAGGCACCATAGAGTTGGAGGACCGGCGCGGAGCCCAACATACCCTGCAGCGCGGAAGGGGAGGGAGCGGCCGGGCCGCAAGGAAGGCCGGGAATAAGGGGGGTGAGGCAAGATGGCGGCGACCAAGAGGAAACGGCGTGGAAGTTTGGGAGTTAAGGCCAAGAAGCCGAAAAAAGGCGAAAAAGATGCCACGCCGCCAGCTAAGCGGCGCAACACGGCGGAGGAGGCGAAGGAAGAAGACAGAGACCGCATCCCGGGCCCTGTTTGCAAGGTAGCGAGGGCAGCTCCGGGTTTACACTGGCAGCCTCTGCTCCGCAGGCCTGCCCGGGGCTACCCGTCCCTCGGCCGGCTTCGCGGTCGTGCGGCCGTCGCGGGAGCTGGGCTTCGGCTCTCCTAACCGGCCGGACTGGCCACCGCGTTTATAGATCAGCCGTGTGCACGTGACCAGCAGGCAGCCGGCAGGAAGGCGCATTTCAGAACTTTTACTCGGGCCCCCCCCGAAAAAAGGGGGCGCGGGGGACATCTTAGGAGTTACAGTGGCATCCCCTTATCCGCGCTTCGCTTTTTCTGTTTTCAGTTATCTTTAGCCAGCCGTGCTTGTAAATATTGCAATAAGGTGATGTGAGCGACCACACTAACATTTTTCTTCTTACGTTATGCTGCTATAGTTGTTATATTAGTGCGATTAATTTCTCGTAGTGCTTAATTTATAAATTAAACTTGGTCACGTGTATTTCTTCCATAGGGAAAACCGTATACGTAGGGTCGGTGCCGGTGGTGATTTCAGGCTTCCACGCCACTGCGGGTCTTTGAACGTACTTCCTGCTCCCATAGCTGCTCCACACCGGCCACCGCGGATGAGGGGGTGACTCCTCAATGTATTAAGGTCCAGTGTTTTGACTACTGGTAACAAAGTGGGGGCCAGAGATAATGCTTTTTAAAAATACTGCTCGCTTTTGAGCTTATCTTTTCCAGTCATTAGTATTTCCTGCCATGGTGAATTACTGTCAGTCAGGGATCCTGAAGCTGCTTACGCCGTCCTTTAAAAAGTTGCTGTCCTGGGGACCGACTATGACATACTTGATCAGGTCTTTGCCTCTCAAGGGATAATGGAAGCTAGACTAGATAGTATGAGCTTCACTGGTATTCAACAGAATTTAATGTTCCAGACACTACTAAGTTAGGTTTCATCTTGCATTGGAATTGTGAAACTAGACTGGTAGCCTATTCCTCCTGAAATGTTGGAGTTGAGAAGGAAAGGAACAATTAATGTAAGTTACCGCTCTTTATTCAAAATAAGATTAGTTGTTGGCCCTAACTTCCACTCAAGTTTAGAATTGGAAACCATTTGAGAGCCCTTTAAACTAGATCGAATTCTGTGGCGACAAGGATTGCTTTGATTTATTAAAGTCTTTGTACTTTGTAGAGTACTAAGCTTAGCATAGTACTTTAGCTCTTGGTAGGTGAAAATCAATGACTCTGTGCTGTGGCAGCACATTCTAGGGAAGCAGTTACTTCTGAGGAGTGAAAGAAATGTGTTTAAATTTTAGTCTTACTGTTAACGGTGTGAGATTTTGAGTTCTTTTATCATCCACAAGTTAAGGGGAAGAAAATATGTACTTTTGTGAGGAATAAACTGAACTTTTAGTAGATTTTCAGTAAATGTTAGTTTACCCTTCCTTAAGGAGCTAGGAAGAAATAGGATAGTATCTGTGATCTGAGTCATAATATGCAAAATTTAATGGCAGTTAGATAAAGAAAACTTTTTTCCAGGGTAATCTGGTAAGGGATCATGAATGTGTTAGTCTTTGAGCTGGATCTCAAAGTAGGGTTGGAATTTCATTGTTCAAAAATGAGAGGGAACAATACAAAGGAATTCCAAAAGAAATAGGTGAGAGGTATTGGAGTGGGAAAAGTGCTGAAAATTTAAAAATAGAACTAGATAGGCTAACATGTAAGGTTGATCTGAGGCAATAGTAAGATAAAAATATGTGTTTTAGAATCCATTGTTAAAGATACAACATTTTGAGATTTGTTTAGACAACCTTGGGAGGTAAGGATGTGATTGTAACGGTGCTTTTAAAAGATACAGTTGGAGCTAGTAGATCATATCTATTAGAGGAGGCAACCATTTAGAAAATATGCAGTTGGTATAAAATTATAAGGGTCTGACACTAGGGTTGTGTGAATAGAAAAGACGGAAGAGTTGTTAATTGACAGCATAGTGGTTATGATAGGGGGCAAGTAGAAGATGGAGAGGCAGGGGTAGGTAAAATGTCTGACATCATCAGAAAAATAGCAAGGAATTTATTGGATTCAAGGTTTTGTATTCTAGAGTTGAATTTGAGATGCTAAGGCAAATACTTGGATTTCAGACTGGAGAGAGTACCTTACCTAAGTTGTTTTTAAACCTCTGCTTAAGTTAAATGAGGTATAAGAGAGAATTGTTAGAATCAGGAGGAAGAATTGGAAAGTTTGAAGAAAAACCAAAAAGGAAGAAATCCAAAGAGAATATTTCAGGGGGGCCAGTCTTGGTAAGTGAATGCTATGGATTGATTGAATTAAAAGAATCCAAATTGCTACATGGAAGTTTTGTGATAAAACAAGATAGTTTTAAGTGAATTAAAAAATTTTTAGAACACTTTCTTTTTCTTTAGGGCAAGTGGAAAAATAAGGAACGGATTCTCATCTTTTCCTCCAGAGGAATAAATTTCAGAACAAGACATTTGATGCAGGACTTGAGAATGTTGATGCCTCACTCAAAAGCAGGTAGGTACCTTTGTATCATATACTTTTAAACATTTGAACAATAGTCTTTACAGTGTAGAAATGGATCACAGTAACATGAATGTCATAAATTCACACAAGGTTGTATCAAATATATTCAATTTAAAAAGTTGTATTTATAAATTTGCCTATTTATATATTTCCACTTAGAGTCACACTTCCTTGACTCAACTATGGAAGGTTTAGAACCACAATGCCCCAAAAGTTTATCTTTTCAGATGTTAGAAGTTCTGTGCAAAATTCATCAAATCTCTTCACTTTCTTAAACAATTATCCTGATACTATTGAAGCATTTCTTGAATGCCCAGGAATGCCTTAATTGTAATGCTCTTTGAGGTCAGGAGTTGGCTTATCCCACTAAATGATTCAGGATGGCTATGTATTGCTTTCTTAGTTTAAAAAAAAAAAGAAGAAATAAAACTTTAAAAGTTAATGGACCTTGGCTAGTATTTAAAGCACCCAGTTCATCTTAGGGCTCAGCCTACTTTTAGTATCCAAGCTATTCTTTTTAGCAGTGGGTCATCTCACTGGCAAGTGAAGGTCTCTTTTTAAGTTTCAAATTGGCAGTCACGCTGCTGTTTTTGTGTCTTGGGAGGTTTTGGTTTTCATTCCTTTTTTTTGTTGTTGTTAAAGATTTATTTATGCAAGAACTGGGGTACAGTCAGAGGCACGGGAGGGTGAGAGAATACACCAGAGACAGAGTGGGGAGCAGAACAGGTAGACTGAAGACACTGCTGAGGGGAGCATTGGGTGAGGCATGAGAGGTCTGCCGTGCCATGTGGGTTTCTCCCTGGCGGGCTGGGAATTGAACCCATGCTGCAGAGGCTGCAGACATCTTCACAGTGCGGTACCGAACCCGCTGCACCACTGGGGAGGCCCTGGTTTTAATTTTTACCTGTTTTTCAAATTGGTATCTACTGTTAATCTTCAACTTTCTGAAAGTAGTAAGAGAAAATTTATATGGAGATTTTTTTCGACATGATAATCTAAAACCAATTTTTAAAATCAGTTTTCTGTGACACCTATGATTCAAAATTGAAGGAAATTTTCATCAATTCAAATTATAGTGTATTGAGTGTTTCCTTAATCTGAAGTCATAGAACCTTGATTTGTGAGGATTTTTCTGTTTTTAAAATTAATTCATAAGACTATATAAAGATGGAGAAACATACTTAAGTCATAATTTATACTTTTTCAGAACTAATTTTTACATTTAAAAAGAATGTAGATGTTTAAAGAGGTTATATGTTTATAATTATAAAAATTAATATAGGTTGTAAAACATTTTAAATGTAATTTTCTGGAAATATGATTTGAAATCTTCTATTTGTTTTTGCCTTTTTATAGATACTAAAATGGATCGCAAAGATAAGTTATTCGTGATTAATGAGGTAATTTTAGAAACTAATTAAAATAATATAGGAATATTGTACTTAAAAATATTTTGGAATACTAAAGGTAGGTTTTTTTTTTTTTTAAGATTTATTTATTTATGCATATAAGAGCTGGGGTGTAGGCCAGATATGCTGGGGTGAAGGGGGTGGATGTGAGAGGATTCACCAGAGACACAGTGGGGAGCAGAACAGGCAGATCTACTGAAATACACTGCTGAGGGGAGCTACGGGTGAGACAGGAGAGGTCAGCTGCACCATGTGGGTTAGCTCCCTGGGGATTGAACTCATGCCACAATGTCTGTGGGTTGCTTCATAGTACTGAGACTTAACCCCTTGTGCCGCCAGGGAGGCCCCAAGGTAGTTCATTTTTTAAAAAGTCAGTTATTTAGTGACTTAAATTGTTTTAGAAGATACAAGTATTATTAACTCCTCAGTAATCTGCCTTCTAAATTTTTATAGTATTCACTGTGTCTCATGATTTAGTGTTTCAGTATATATTATTTCTTGATCATTCTTAATTTAGTTTGTCTCAACAGCACATTGAAATTTCCTAAGGACATGGATAGCATATCTCATTCTTTTTTTCCCCATGTCTAGTACGGAGCTAAATCCATAGTAGATACTTATAAAAACTACCAACTGGCAAATATAATTAGAAACAAATATTTTAAAGACCCCCATTTTATAGAAAGCATTTTTCCAGTATTCAGAATGCTGTATGTGGTATTTGAGTTTAAGATATTACAAACTAACGACATGTTAAATTGTTGCAAAATATTGATGAAGATACTAACCTTAATTAAAGTAGATTTTTAAAAAATTACACAAGTTATTTTCAGGTAATTCTTTTAAACTGTGACTTTTATTCATTTAGCATACACTTCTGAGGCCCAGCTGTATTGTGGCATTATTCTGTGTGCTATGAATACTGTTCAATAAAGCAATGCCCCTGTCATCCTGCTTATAATCTAGTGAGAGAGACAAGTTATAAACAAATACTAGAATTTCAGATGAAAAGAGGAGAAATAAAACAGTACAGGTTTTCAGCAACTGAGGCTGGCCAGTTGACTGTTATATTGATTCTAAGACCAGTAAGAAACAAAAACTTTGGGCCTAAGAATTTTTAACTTACTAGTTTTAAGGTTTCAGGTAGTTCATTATTTTTGCAAACTGTATCAGATTGTTAGAGACCATAGTAATACAGGTCTTCATTACTATATTGTTTTTGTGTATTTCTTAAGTATGATTTTGTAAATCTTCAAGACATTGAAGTTAAATTGAACTTGAAAGTAGTTTTGTGTATTTCTGCTTTTTACTAATCCTTTAGTGATTTTACAGAACTGAATCACAGAAATGGTAGTATAAATTAGGAAGATAAAAACTTGTTTCTTGATCTTAAAATAAGCTAGAATTAGAAATGACCATTATTAAGGATATCTTTGGTTCTATAAGGACTGCATTTTCCTAGGATTAGTGAGGCTAATTGTAGTGTGCATTATCCCTAGGGTTTCTGCTTCTAAATTTTGTAGTTTGTGCATGGAACAGTTGTCAGAAGAAGTTCCCAGTGATCAGAAGTGAGTCCAGTTAACTTTAAAATGCTTGACCAGAAAGTTTAGATTCTTCCACCAGAGGTGGACAAAACATGTTAGGGAGACTCCCCAAGGACCCATAATGGTTGTTTTCTGTGAATAAAGAATTTTACCTAGATTTAAACTGTGGAGGCCTATAACCTGTGTAATTTAGAGGGAGGGGGAAGGGATTAAAAATGTTGATTGCATTGAATTATTTTTTATTAAAATACTTTTTGCGGAATCTGCGTATTAAATACATTGAATTACTTTAGTTCTCATTTTTCTAATGCCCTTAATTTTTCGGTTCCTTGCTCCATTTAGGTTTGTGAAATGAAAAACTGCAACAAATGTATTTATTTTGAAGCTAAAAAGAAACAAGATCTCTATATGTGGTAAGAAAATGTATAAAAAATAAGGTCTTACTATTTTCAGTGGATTTGTTATTTGTTCTTAGACCTCTTTTCATTCTTTTATGTTTAAAAAGGGGGGGCAGGGAAGGAGTAAACTCATTTGGCTTAAAAAAATTTGAAACCTTTAAAGAAAACTAAATACATGAATATTATGAAAACCTGGTGCTGTCTTTTAATTTTGAGTAGGTCATGAGCATTTATTGCACTCTAAATGCTAGTTAGTTGAAAAAGCTTCCTTCATATTTTTTTAGGCTTTCAAATTCACCTCATGGGCCATCTGCTAAATTCCTTGTTCAAAATAGTAAGTTGACTCAATTTAAAATACTTTATGAAAAAAATTGAAAAACTTTTGGGGAAATTGTATCAAAATTATAACTTAATTTCATTGTAATTTTTCTAGTTCATACACTAGCTGAGCTGAAGATGACTGGAAACTGTTTAAAAGGTTCTCGACCCCTTCTGTCTTTTGACCCCGTAAGTGTCTTTCATTTAATGTAATTTAATTTCTTTTTCTGACTCTGCATGTTTGTTTTTTACTGGCTATAGTTATGTAATTCAATTTACTAAACATAAAAGTTTTAAACAAAGTATATTGTTGTCAAATAATATGTGTACTTTATTTTATAGACATTTGATGAATTACCACATTATGCATTGTTAAAAGAACTCTTAATTCAGGTAAATATCTTTTGTAGAAAGAACTTTTAGTAATACAAATGAATATCATCTTTTGGGCTTTTTCATAAGTTAGCTGTCTAACGCCTACATGATATATAACATAACTTTTTTTTTTTTAAACTAGATATTTAGCACCCCACGGTATCATCCCAAAAGCCAACCATTTGTGGATCATGTGTTTACATTCACAATTTTGGATAACAGGATATGGTTTCGGAACTTTCAGGTTAGCTTTAAATTTTTTTTTTTTCCCCTAACATGTAGAAGAACTGGGATATAAGCCAGAGGTGCAAGGGGTGAGAGGATTCACCAGAGATGGAGTGGGAAGCAGAACAGGCAGATTTACGTGTAAAGGGAACAGCGGGGAAAGACAGTAGAGGTCTGCTGCCCCATAAGTGGGTTAGCTCCCTGGCCAGTGATCAAACTCAGGCATTAATGGTGATAGCACTGAGACTTAACTCCTAGGCCACCAGGGTGGCCCCGAGCTTTAATTAATTTTTTAATTATGCTTTGATATAAATTGGGATGCATAGCATTTGGGACACAGAAAATGCATATTGAATCCTTGTATTTTAAATAGCTTTCTTTTCCACACAGAAACTTGGAGCAAATGGCACTATATTATACCTTAAATGATTTCTCTCTACTTCTTTTCATATTTATCAGTTGGTATAAAGATTTATCAGTATGGTATAAAGATTTCCTAAGAAATGAATTCACTATATGTTCAGTAAATACAAGTTTCTGCCCCAAGGGGATAGACTCTACCTGGGAGGAGAGAAGGGAGTAAAGATTTAGGAAAAAATGACCCGTATAAAATGTGTTTGATGGGACTATTAGATGAATCATACAGTGACTCATTTAGGAAGAGAGGTGTCTGGAAATCTTGAAGTAGGAGTTTGGCAGGATAAGAAGTCTGCCAAAGATGGAGAGGTGGAAGAAGAGAACAGCAAAACAAAATAAAAATTATCCCTTCTTAACCTCTAAGGGCAGACAAACCTGAACCAACAACGTTAATATTTGCAGGTCAAAAGTGGCCTCAATATGTAGTATTGAAAAATGACCATGTCTCCTTTTATATGTCTTTTAATCTAATTTGAATTAGTTACAAAAACAACTCAGTAACTGATTTAACTTTTAATAAGGTTCCAAATAAGATACTTTAATATATTTTGTTATGGTGGTCCTGGTATTAAAAATATTTTTATCAGTTGTTTAAGAATATTCTTGTTGTAAGAAGCAATATAACAATGAAATTCACATTATAGGATTTTAAAAGAACATACTGACAAAACATTTTCCCATGACAACTGCCTGTAACTAGGAATATACTTCTGAAAATATTGATTTGACCACTTGCTAAGTTTTACCTCTATGTTTATGTGATCTTTTAGGCACATTTGTAATGAAGTTACAGCTAATGCATCTTTTAGTAATAGTATGTATATCTAACCCCAAATGAAATCTTTTTATTAAAGATCATAGAAGAAGATGCTGCTCTTGTAGAAATAGGACCTCGTTTTGTCTTAAATCTCATAAAGATTTTCCGGGGAAGTTTTGGAGGACCAACTTTATATGAAAATCCTCATTACCAGTCACCAAACATGGTAAGTTGTTTTGTTTATTATCTTTGTTGTCCCAGAACTGTTTAGCCAAAGTAATTCAGGCAAGTAATTACTATTCTGTCAACTAGACTGAACTTGGGTTTGCTGCTGCATACAGTCTTGCAAATCACTTTTTTTTTTAAAATGACACATTAAGTGTTAAGGCAAATAGGGTTCATAAGTGAATATTGTTGCCATTAGAAAATGTTTATTTCAAGAACACCTAATGTTTTTGTTTCTAGCATCGGCGTATTATAAGATCCATCACAGCCGCAAAATACAAAGAGAAACAGCAAGTGAAAGATGTGCAGAAACTAAGAAAGAAAGAACCAAAGACTGTTCTTCCACATGATCCCACTGAAGATGTTTTTGTTACACCAGCTGAGGAAAAACCAGTAGAAATACAGTGGGTAAAACCAGAGCCAAAAGTTGACTTAACAACAAGAAAGAAAAGAATTTACAAAAGGCAAAGAAAAATGAAGCAGAAGATGAACAGTAGGAATACAAAATGAGTCAATGGAGAATTGATTTTTCAGTTATTTTATATTTATTTTGTATTCATTGTGTAATACTTTTATTCAGGACTATCTTAATAGCTAATTATTGTAGCATTTAAAAAGAAAGAAAAGTTACAATTTTGTGGCTTCAGTGATGGCTATGTTTTTCTAAATAAAGTATCACCAGAACTCATCAATTAATTTCTTTTTCATTTGAAAGCTCATTTGGTATTAAAATACTTAGCACACTAAGGTTTAAGCCTGTTTTCTTGGATTAGCAAAGCTGAAATTCAAACGAATATGTGCGTCATCATCACTTGTAAGACAAATCTTTAGGCACTTTGAGAGCATAACTTTGGATAGTAAAATGGGGATAGACTGGGAGAAAGGAAAGCATCTTACTGAGACATTTTGAGTCCCTGAGTCACCTGTTACAGAGGCCTTGTAAAAGTTAACCTTTGATCTTTTCTTAACTTCCAAGAACTACAATGAAATTCTTAGATTTTGAGAATCAACATTTGAAATTACTATTACTAATAATGTGAAGAATTGATAGTCAAAAGAGAAAAGATTAGGAGGCACCAGAATATTTAAATTTTTCCCTCATGAAAGAACTTATTTGAAGTGAAAAGCTCTGGGCTTACTGTTCTGGAAGAGAGAGATAATGGAAAGACAAGATAAGGTGCTGATAGATGCATATATATACATATATGTATATAACTAATCAAGTTGGATCATGCATGTGTGATGGTGTCACCCACTTATTTTTATTTCACATTAAACATTTGAACATGTCCTATAATACAATTAGTAATTGCACAGTATTCCACTCTATGTAATACCTGTATACTCAATCCTTTTTTTATTTTTTTTAAGAATCTTTTTTTTTTTTTTAGGTTTATTTATTTATTTATACAAGCACTGGGTACAGTCACAAGCACGAGAGGGTGAGAGAATTCACCAGAGTCAGAGCGGAGAGTAGAACAGGCAGAGTGATGAAGTATACTGCTAAGGGGTGCAGCAAATAGCAGGAGAGGTCTGCGCGCCATGTGGGACCCTCGCCCGGTGGCCGGGGATCGGCCACCAGTGCTGCAGAGGCTACAAGCAGCTTCGCAGTCCAGCACTCAACTGCTGTGCCACCCGGGAGGCCCTCAATCCCTTTTTTAGATGCTTGAGTATTTCAGTTTTCTTTCTCTGGCATAGGTGCTTGCAGCAAACATTTCTATGAATTATTTTGTGCAAGTACAATTTGGGTCAAAGGTTATGAACATTAAGACATTTTGATTGTACCCCCCTAAATATACTTTCAGAGGTTAGGGTTCATTTCCTTTTACCCTTGACAATGGTGAAACGATCTTTGTCAATTTGACAGGTGAAAAAATGAATACTTTTCTTGGTATTAGATATTTTGTGACTAAATTTGCTTTGTGTGGTAGTTACTTTGCTGATTTGTAAGCTCATTTTTATAGTACATTCTAGACATCTTAGTGATTGACACCCGCACTTCAATTTTATGCCTTTATTTTCATCTTAATTTCTGCAAAGAAATTAAGGCCCGAGTCTATAATTAGTTTAAAATAATATAAATTAGGCTACTTGAGATCTAAATTATGCTGGTCAGAGGTTCACTTAAAATACTTATATATGACTAGTGAAGCTCAAATCTGATTAAGTGCAAAAAGGGCCATTATCAAGGCAATTAAATGTAGACTTGGATGAAAATAAGCCATCTTGGTATTCAGGATTTACTTCTAAATACCCGTAACTCAAGAAATTAATTATAGGTTATAAAATAAACTGGATCAACAAGTAAATTTCGAATGAAGAGCCAATACTTTTTAGATGTATATTGCAAGAGCTTTATTTCCAATTTAACAATTTTGATTATCATTTTCAACAGAGTGATATTTTTCTGGTCCACAATACTTCCCTTTGAGTCATTTAAAAGTGCCTCATTTTAGTGAGAATTTCTCGTCTCCATCCATATTCTTTTAGAAGTCTCCCTGTTTAATAAAAAACCTGCCTTCCGACTGAAATTTATATCCAGTGTAATTGTCTTTAAATTTTGGTAGGTTATAGGCAAGAATAAATCTTTCCTCTGGAGGAAAAAGAGGCAAGTGACTGAGGTAAGAAAAGCCAAACTAGTTAGAGGATGAAAAAGTACTGTCACTTTTTGTCCACATCCCTGCCCCCATTCCACTGTCAGATGAGGAGAAACCTCATTTTTCCCTTCAAAGACTCCACAATCCTCTGTTACCACTTTACAAACTAAGACCAAATGGTATCTTCTTTCTTTGGAAAAGAGGCATATGCGTGAATTTTGAGTAGTGAATTCTTTGGGCAGTGGTGTATAGAGCCATGAGTGGGTTTGTTTTGATTGTGGAGGTACAGGATATTTGGGAAGGGACAACCTTCCTAAACTTTGGGTACCCCAATCCTGTACAACAGATGTTTGTTAGCAACAGATGTTATTTATAACCATGGTTGGCAAATGTAAGCAACACCTAGCAAGTAAATGTTCCAGGAACAATGAAATGTATTGGTGTGTTGATGTGTTTTAATAACAATTGCCACATCAAATTGTATAGATCAATTGCATAGATCTTCTGTCCTATAAAGTAGTGTATCAGATCAACCAAACTGCATTCTTAACCTAAATCAATTTTAGAAATGTAGGATTCTAGACCAGAAAAGTAAGGATTAAAGAGTGGTAGGTGGATGGGGTCAGCACAATTTCATTCAGTATTGGTGGTGCAGTTATTTAGTATGTTGTTTAAAATGTGCTGATGCTTCCTTCTTAAATTGTTCCAATTTAAGTCATCTTATTTACTGTGTTTGTTTTCATTCATATTGGTCAGGATAAGCACTATTAGAGGTCGCATAATATTGGCAGCTGAAAGGAACTGAAAAGGGTTTAAAAATCTGGTTTCTCTCCCATCGAATTCAGCCGTTAGACTTGAGCGAGCCAGTTCGGTTGCCTCATCTGTAAAAAGCAGGGCTCTTGACAAATTATCATCAGAACCACAGGCATTTTCCAGAAGCCTCTACGGGCGGAGTCCTCTCTGGACCCCTCTTTGACTCCCTCTGGACCGCCGCCCACCTGCTGCCCCTCACACCGTCCCGCATCTGTGCCCCTCACAATGACGCTCACGTGGCCCCTGCCCGCACCTGCCGCACCTGCCGCACCTGCCGGCTCGCCACCGCGGTCCCGCCTCCCCGCCCCGCCGCGGTCCCGCCTCTCCGCGGCCCCGCCTCCCGCCATCGAGGCCCCGCCTCCCGGCCCGCCTCGGCCCCGCCTCCTGCCGCCGACGCCCCGCCCACCGCGCGGCCGTTCCGGAAGGAGCCCGCCCCCCGCCCATGCGGAGCCGCGGCCGCCGGCGCCGCCCCTCCGCGCTCCCGCGTGCCGCAGGCCGCGCCGCCCGCCGCCGCCGCCGCGCGCCCCCGCCGCCCCGCGCCGCTGCCGCCGCCGAGCTCGCTGGCCGGCCCGGTGCGGGCGCCAGGCTCCGGGCGCCGAGGAGGACCGCGGGCCCTGCCGCCGCCGCTTCGGCCCGGGCCCGGGCCCCGGCCCCGTCCCGGGCCCCGGCCCCGGCCCCCCGCCCGGCCGGGCCATGAAGTGTCACTACGAGGCGCTGGGGGTGCGGCGCGACGCCAGCGAGGAGGAGCTCAAGAAGGCCTATCGCAAGCTGGCCCTGAGATGGCACCCGGGTAACTGCCCCGCGGCCTCGCCGGCGCCGCCTCGCGGCCCGCCCGGGCCCCGGCCCGACCCCCACCCCCGCCCGCCCGCCCGCCGGGACCTCGGGGCTCCGGCGGCCTCGCCCGCGGGCGCCCCGGCAGCCCCCCCGCCCCGCCCCTGACCCCTCACCCCTGACCCCTAGTGCCGCCGGGTGCCCAAGCCTCGTTCTGGCGGCCTCACCCGTTCCCGCACGCCCCTCAGACACCCCGGGAGCAGGCGGGGGGACCCCCCCGGGCTGGCTGCCGCCGCAGCACCGGCCCCCCGGCTCTCCCGGAGTTCCCCTGAGTGTCCTGCGGGGACGCCCCCCCCCCCCGAGGCAGGCGGCCGTGCGCGTGAAGGTCTGGGGGTGCACGCGCCCCCGCGCCCGCCGGGCTGACCTTGAAATTCACTCGGGATTCACCCGTGCCCTCCTGGCTTGTGCGTTTACTGAAAGTACCTTCCTGCACGCGTTTCATGTGCTCGTGGACCCGCCTTGCCCGACTTCTGTGAGATAATCCCATCGTCCGGGCTGGGAAACTGAGCCCGCAGCTGGGGTCAGCTGCGCGAGGTGCGGGGCCTCGGGGCGTGCGCCGCGCCCCTCGGCTGTGGAGACGCCGAGGCAGGACCCTCCCAGCCTTCTTGGGAGAAGACGCCTTGCTCTTAGGAAAAGTTAAATTGCAGGTGCAAACAGACTAGCACAGCGTGTGTAATTGCTACTTGGATCAACAGACCCGAAAGAAGGGCCCCGGGAGTCCTGAGGAGGGCGGGACTGAGGAAAGGCAGGCGCGAGGCTTCCCCTTGGCGGAGCCTGAACTGCCGTTGGCTGCTGGAGGAGTAGAATGGGGGAAAGTGAACTAACAGTGGGGAAAAGCATGGTAGTGGACAAAAATGATCCAAGGGACAGGTTGGCTGAAGGCAGTGTTTATTGGAAATATCCCTTGAACTAAGGGCTTGGAAATATGGGTTGGCACAAGAGCTGAAGGAAAGGGTGAAGACCTAGTGTCAGATGTACTGTCTGTAATTGATGTAATAAAAAAACATGGGTCTGTTACTTAAAGTTATGTTTGCTAGCCGAGGAACTGAAAAAATCGGATAGAAAGATTTTGGAAGGGAAGAGATAAATATTCCTCACAGGAGGAAATCAGCAGATCTATCCAAAATTAATAAATCCAGAGATAGTGCAGACATGTCCTCATAGAGTAATAGGGGCTACCAGTGGGCAAAAGTTAGGAAAGTTGAAGTAAGGAATTTATTGACTCCTGGGTGGGAAAGGATGAACCAGAGAATTCTTGTGACCAAGTGCATGCATAATTTGATGGCGATATTAAAGTGTTTTTGAGTGGTAGTTTGAGGTTAGGTCATAAAGGGCCTTGAATGTCAGATAAGGGCTATGAAATTTGTTTTTTCAGTAATGGAGAGTTTAGGCTTGTTTGTTAAGATGTCTTGGGAAGGTACTGAGTGAATTGACAGTTGGAGACAGAAGTCAGGTAGAGCCCACCATGGACAGGTAAGGGCCAAACCAGGCTGGGACGCAGTGTGTGCATTTGGGTGTGTGTTGGGGGCAAGGGTCAAAGAGATGTTACAAAGGAAAAATTGCCACATCTGGTGATTAATTGGAAGTCAATGCAAGGGAGAACAGTGCAAGTACTAGTAAAATATCAGTGAACTACTCTGAAACCAAATCCATTAGGAAGTAAATGCAAATATTTTCTCTAAATGTCATCATCATGCATAGCATCCTAAATATCTTTTAAAGATGCCTATATACTTAAGGAGTACATACTCTCCTAGGAGATGCATGATTTTGATGCTTTGTTTTGCTGGCCCATTAATTTGTTGTCTGTCCCTCAGCAAATGCTTCATTTCATTCTGTGTATCAGGTACTTTGTTAGTTTCAGGATTAGCGTATGGGCTGTGGTTCAAAAAAATATATATACCTCAAATAGTGACTCCTCAGTTTTCTTTGTTAAAAAATTACCTTTGTTTCATTTATTGAGGAACTGAGCATAATTTCCAGTAGAGTCAACACTAATCCCTGGTGAGATCACTCCTTGTAAAGGGCAGGCTTTCAGTAATTCGTCTGATGAATATTTTTTCCCCATCCTCTTTATCGTGTGAACAGATGATCACGTACCGTGTCACGTGAAGTCTGCTGGGAGACAGGGAAGAAAGCAGGCAGTTTTAGTCCTGGTGAGCAGAGGGTAGTATGAAGGCAAATACAAGATGCTTATTACCTGAGGTACCTGACCTGGGGCTGGGTTTAATGTGTAGTTGCTGTAGATATGTGTCCCTCAAGAAATAACATTGAGATCTAAGTGGGAATCTAAGTGGGGATTCAGGCAACACAGGTGGAGGAAGCTAAGAGATAGCAAGGCAGAGACTAGGAAGGGGAAAGAGGTAAGCATGGGCGGGCAGGCAAGCAAGGGTCATGTCTTGAAGATTGTGGTACATTGAATTAGATAGATTGGACTTTAACCTACGCCATGGAAGAGCTGGAAGCCTGAGGAATGATGGGTTTGTCTTTTACATGTATCTCTGACTGAACTGGGGAGAATGGATTGGTGTGGGCAAGGCTGGAGATAGGGAAACCGGGAGATCATTGTGTATTGAGGTCACCAAGGAGGATCATGGGACCTGAGCCAAACGCCAAAACTCTTAGTGAGTAATGATGAGTGGTTGTGAGAGGGAAGCAGGAAGGGAAGAAATTGGGCTGATGGCCAAATAGTCTCACTCCCCAAAGGATTCCAGTTTGTGCGCAGGGGTGACCAGACTCCAGCACCAGGGCTGGCTTCTGAGTGCTGTGGCTCAGAAGCTGCAAGCCCTGCAGGTGTCAGGCAAGTCTTAGAAGCTGTGATTCATGAGATTTTCCAAAGGCTTTGTTGAAAGGTTTGTGAGGGAGGGGAAGTGTGCACTAGTGGATTAAGCACAAAGAATAGTGTGAGAATGCCTCTTAAACTTTTAACTGCATTTTCAATACCTGTGACTTTTGCAAATAAATATGGACTTTTCATTTTTATTATTGCTTTTTAACTTACTGCACTCATGTGTTTGTAATTTAGTTTAGCTTGGAGTCAGCCAGTTCAGTACATTTAAGCAAAATAAAAAGCTTTACCACAGATCAAGCACATTATTTAAAAAGATGCTTCAATAAGAGATTTAGACTGTGTTTTCATATAACAAATTGATGGAAAGCTGTAGCTTTGTCCAAACTTCTGTGGGGAAGAAAGTGAAAAGAACAGGACAACAAGGCACAGTACTGATTCAGAGGTAAAGAAGAACAACCTGCCTACCTATCCCAAACAGTCACCTTTTTTGTTATTATGTGGCAAGATCTGTTTTCTGACTTTTATTTGAACTCTGCCTTTTTATTTCTCAGAAAAATTTTTAAAAATAATTTGGGAGGATATCAGGATTGTGTTCAGCTGCATGTGATAGGTAGCTCACAGCAGTGGCTAAACAAAGTGGACCTTTTATTTTTTTCTCACATAACAAGAATCCAGAGGTCATGCGATTAACCCAAGTTAATAGACATACTGCGTAAAGAGTGTTAAAGAATTTAATAATTAAATAAAGCTAAGACCTAACTGAGATGTAAAAACCTACAGTTAAAGTAAAAATAAACTACGAAAGTGGCTTTAACACACTTTTGGTACCTTCAGCTGTTTGATGAGGCCATCTAAGACCTGCTGCCTTTCTGACCGTGCAGCTTGAGTCCTTGCATCAGGTGTAAGCAGCTAAGCCACAAAGAAAGTTGCTGATTGCGCTCATGTGGCACATAAGAGGAGTCGGGAACCCAGCATAGCAGTTCCTCAGACTCAGAAGGGACCTCACTCACGATGGTCTAAGATGGCAATGGGTGATCCCAGGCAGCAGGATGGAGGCAAGATAAAGTGGGAACAGAGGGTGTTGATAGTTGCTTTTTAGGGATGACATTAAAAGCCATCACAAAATACTTTTGAGGATTTTATTGACATAAGGGAAACTGGGAAAAGGTGTCTTTGTTCTGGGGATCAGCTGCCTGCATAAAATCAGGACTCAGTTGTTACTGGAAGAAAGGATGGGCTACTGGTCTGTGCCGCGATCCTTATAATCTAATTGCAGACATTTTATTGTAATTTTGGGCAAGACATAGGAGCTGGGTTATGGGTGTAAGATGAGTGTCACCCAAGCCCCTCCCCTCCATCAGGAAAACACTGGCTCACCTAGGAAACTTCACTTTAGTAAACTTGTTTGACCTCTGATTGGCTAAAACTTTACTTCAAGAAAGGCTGAGGAAGTGAATTTTTTAAATTGGGTACATTGTATTGTGAACAAAATTCAGGTGTTTTCCACCTAGGGTTTATACCTGAGAGTATCACATGATGAATTGACATTAGCTTCTCCAAGCCCAGGAACTAAACAGATGAGGTACAGTTTAAAATCTGTTTCTGTTGCTTTCACAGCTGGCATTTTTTTAGGCCTTAACTTGAAGACATCAAAACAATTCTCTTCTATGTGGCCAGCACACAATTTATTCTATTGATGAGTGTTTTAGAGTTGTAATTTTATTTTTTTTAATACCAGTAAAGTGAAATGGAATCACATATCAGCTTTTCAACCCACCATGATTTCACTCCAGCTGAGGGCATGAATCTCCCCAAGTCAGGGTTTTGTTAGGAAAACAAGAATAGATAGTGGGTAGGCAACTAATAGTATCTGTCAAAGAGTGGTAATCAAGATCTAAAATAATTACAGCAGAGTACTGATGTCCTATATCACTTAGAACCCAATTGCAACAGGGCCACAACAAAGTGGAATATGGTGGTGGTAGCAGGCAAGAACAGAAACCTAACAATGGTTCAAATAACTTAAGAGTTTATTTTTCTTAATACGTGAAAGATTGGAAGTCCGTGCCTGTTGATACTGTTTTTAGCAGTTTAGTGATATCACTGAGAATCACTTGACTTTTCCTTCATGGTCTGAAGATGAACTGCTGAAGCTCCAGTCATCATGTCCACATACCACAGAATAGGAAGAAAGAGGAAGGAAAGAGAATATACTAACAGACTTCTACTTTCATCTCATTTATCAGAACTGTGTCCCGTATGCATTTCTAGCTGCAAGGGAGGCTGGAAAAGCTAAAATACCTGCTTGTATCTTAGCTTATCCAGCTTCCACAGTAAAGGCTGCAAGAGAAAATAGGGTGGTGGTAGTTAGAACACCATGAGCTTCTCCACAGAAGACACCTGGATGTCTTCATGCTGTGGCATCTGGCTATTCCCAGAGTGATTCAAGAGAACAAGAGTCCAAGATGGAAACTGCAGTCTTTATAATCTAATCTCAGAAATGACACACCATCATCACCTTTGCTGTTTGTCCCACAGACCAACCCTGGTGACATGGGAGGAGGGCATACTTGGTGGCCATCTTGGAAGCTGGCTGCCACCCTGAGGCAAAGATGCTTTCTAAGTTTCATGAATAACTAGTTTATGGGTATATAGATACACATTTAATTCTCGGTGTTTATTTTGGTATACATGGATAAGAAAGAAAAATTTGAAGACAGTGTAAGCACTAAACATAATCTGGCACTAAATAATTTCCTGTAACTGATTTGATTTATTTTGCTCCTTCTAAAATTAAATGTATACTACTTAGAATTTTCTATGAGGTTATCCAGATTGAGTACTTGGTGGTGCACTGACGTTTAGGGAAAAGCGTGAAATTTCTACTTAAATAGATTCTTAAAACAGATCCTAATTATCAGCTGTCACCCATTATCTCTGCTTTTCCCTGATTTTGTACACTCCTCATCTATTTATGGCATTTGTGATGGAAGACGTCCCTTTTAGAGTCTGTCCTCTATTGATGCCTAAATTTCTGTAATTTCATATTAACAGATAAAAATCTGGATAATGCCGCAGAAGCAGCTGAACAGTTTAAATTGATCCAAGCAGCATATGATGTGTTGAGTGACCCTCAAGAAAGAGCATGGTGAGCTTCACACTCTCCCTTTTATTGTAGTGTATTATGGGGGAAAAATTGTTAACAGAGGGCTTAAAAACTTAAAATGTTAAATGGCTTTGGGTGTATTTTGAAGTCACCTAATCATTATATGAAATTACATGAAGTGCTGTTCTGGGTAGGAAAGAAACTTAGGGAGGATTCCTCCAATTATATGATTTTATAGGTGAAAAAGTAGAAAACTTGGCAAAACTAGTCTTAGCTTGGACACTTACAAAGTGGGTTCTCATTAAATGGGGTCCATGTGGTAGATGATGAATTTGCTGATATCAGACAAGAACATTGGCTTGCCCTTAAAAAAACGGATAAAATATTAACTGTTTCCAAATAACTACTTTCTATGAAGAGATTGAATTAATGCTTCTACATTATGTAAAAGCTGTACGGAAAAACCCTATAAAGTTATCTTTTACATGAAAATCAGAGAACCCTGAATTTTTCCCTACTCCAGGAATTAGGCAGCATGGCCTTAGAAGAAAAAACCTCTTAGCTTTTTTCCCCTGTGCCAGGGTCTTTTTATTTAAAAGCTCCTGCCTGTTCACTCCTGTTCTCTGGAGGCAATACTGTATAGTGGCCAAGACCGTGGTCTTGTCAGTGCAGGAGACCTGGTTTTAAATTCCAGTTTGCTGCCTACTGGCTTTATGATTAATATATTGCTGAGTTTCAATTCTAGTTACATCAAACAGGATAATATCTACCTTCATAGTTTTTATGGGGGGGGGTGATTATGTTTGTGTGAAGCTCCTGTTTTTACATAAACATAGGAAGAGTTATTCTGGTACTTATTAAAAATATTGCCAGATAATAGTCTGTGAACCAGATTATGTTCAGTACTGCCGCCTTTAATAATGTTTCTTTTCTGTGAAAATGTAGCTGCCTTTCTGGGAGAGAGTCAGAACACTCCTCAACTTAATAAATTCCACTGTTTAAATAGGCTGTTACTGTACAGTGTGTTAGAGTGCTGTCTGCCTCTAGTATACTACTAGAAGTGCAGTCAAATTTTACTCAGCAGTTCTTTGAAAGATTAGTTTCTTCATGGGGATATTTTTATTAAAACTTTTTGGTTGTGGATTGGATAGATGAAAATATACAATAATGGTAGTTGGGCTGCTTCAGAGTAAGGAGTCTTTGAATTCTTATAATTTAGCTTTCACTGATACTAATTTTGTTTGTTTAGGTATGATAATCATAGAGAAGCTCTGCTTAAAGGTGGATTTGATGGAGAATATCAGGATGACAGTTTAGATTTGCTTCACTATTTCACTGTTACTTGTTACTCTGGTTATGGAGATGATGAAAAGGTAAGATAAGAACTCCTAATTTCTTGTCAAGTGCTTAATTAAGGCTCTTCAACACAAAGAGAATTCTTAATATTATAGAAAGTAAAACTGCTTGTTTTGAGAACTGGAAAAACGTTGCCTTCATGTTTAAACTGTCAGCATATAAAAACCTCCAGTTGAAACCTAAATGTGCTTGCATTGACAAGTCTCGAGTCTTAATTCTTCAGCATTAAAGTTCCACATTGTACATTTTAAAATCTTATTCTCTGGCTAGATTACAAAATTATTAAGTTTGTGTTTCTTTTACTGTTTTTAGGGCTTTTATACGGTTTATCGTAATGTTTTTGAAATGATTGTGAAGGAAGAACTAGAATCTGTGTTAGAAGAGGATGCTGAGGATTTCCCAACGTTTGGAGACTCCCAGAGTGACTATGATACGGTAAAAGAAAAACGCATTGTCTTTATCAATGTATCTTTCCCTGTTTCTTCATTTTAAAATTATGGATTCTGGTTTGGGTCCTGTGACTCTCCCTCGCTGAAGGAGCTCTCAGCTCCCTCTTAGTTTCCCCTTTACTTCTCTCTCTTATTGATGTGGTCCCATCCCATTTATTTCCTCATTAAATTTGTTATCAAGAGTGATTTATTCTGTAAGCCTTAAAAGGCCACTCTCTCCAATTGATTAATAGTAATGTTAAATACATAAAAAAAGGATTCTGCATCATTAATATTTATTGCCTTTAAAAAAATTTAAATAAAAAACTAGCATCTTACCTATTTTTTTTTTTTTGTCAACAGGTAGTTCATCCTTTCTATGCCTACTGGCAGAGTTTTTGCACTCAAAAGAACTTTGCTTGGAAAGAAGAATATGATACAAGACAGGCTTCCAACCGCTGGGAAAAACGAGCCATGGAAAAAGAAAACAAAAAGATTCGAGACAAAGCGAGAAAAGAGAAGAATGAGCTTGTCCGTCAGCTGGTGGCTTTCATTCGCAAAAGAGATAAAAGAGTGCAGGCTCACCGAAAACTTGTGGAAGAACAGAACGCAGAGAAGGCAAGGAAAGCCGAAGAAATGAGACGGCAGCAGAAGCTGAAGCAGGCAAAGTATGTGATGCGTGGCCGGATCCTTTTCTAAATATAGGTAGAGGGAGGTGTCAGAAGAAACCTCAGTAGGTTCCTTTTTTTAATCCTGGCTTTGGACAATTATTTTATCTACTATATGCAAATTTTTTTAATTGAATTTTTTCCTTTGGAATTCCTTTATACTTGAAATTTTTACAAATTCTTACAGAATTTAATAAAAGCAAATGTTAATTGAGTTCTTACACTCTACAAGGCCCTGATCTAAATGCTTTTCTTACAATGGTTCTGTGAAGAAAGTTCTGATTTGTATCCTTGTTCTTTTGAGGAAAGATGCAGGAGAACACATAGCTAGTAAATTGCAGAGTTGGGAATTGGACCCAGGATTCAGTCTGGTGCCCTTTAACCACCATGCCTTGCTGCCTCTTCTCAGTGCACACTTTGATATTTACATCATTTGGTGCCTTCAAGTTTGTTTGCTGTTTTGAATTTTTGATTGATAGCACTATGTCATTTTTTTTCAAAATTACTTGTTAAAAATTCTACCTGCCTGCCCCTCAGCTTTTGAAAATAGCACTTGGGCCTCCCTGGTGGTGCAAGAGGTTAAGCACCGCACTATGAAGCGATCTGCAGCCTCTGCAGCATGAGTTCGATTCCTGGCCAGCCAGCGAGCAACCCTCATGGCAAAACAGACCTCTCCTGCCTTGCCTGCTGCTCTTCTCAGCAGTGTGTTTCAGTCAGTTTGCCTGTTCTGTTCCCCACTGTCTCTGGTGGATCCTCTCATCCCCCGCATCTCCGGCCTGTGCCCCAGCTCTTGTGTGCATAAATGAATAAATCTTTAAAAAAAAAAAGAAAAGAAAATAGCACTTAATACTTAAGATTTAAATCATTTGAAGACTTTTGGTAAATGATTAAGAATTTTACACTTCAAACCCATTATTATAAAATCAACCAGATAAGAGATGTAAGTGACTTCTCCTGTTTTAACTCAGCATAGGTTTTCAGTTTTGGGAGAAGATGCTTGCTAGGGAGATGGATTTTCAGTCTAAAGAAGTGTATGTGCGCTTGTGCTGTGTGTGTAGGCTGGCAGAGCAGTACAAAGAACAGAGCTGGATGACGGTGGCCGATTTGGAGAAGGAGCTCAGGGAGATGGAGGCACGATATGAAAAGGAATTTGGAGATGGATCAGGAGAAGACGACACGGAGGAAGAGCAAGAGCCCAAGGATGGACAGGATGGTAACTTCTCTATTCCTTAGGGGACGTTAGAACACATGTGTTTTTGTGCCTAGGACTTGTGTCCTGTAGGTGCCGTTAAAGGGTTGTGGGGGATGATGAAAATCTATAGAACACCCGAGTTCCAGTCTATTACTGCTGTGTGTGTGTTTGAAGGGATGCTAGAAGCCTGAATTTTTACCTTCCTGTTTTACGTGTGGCAGGTGATTAAATTGAAAAACAGTATTGTATGGGCCAAACGAAGGTAGTCTATCATTAAAGTAGCCTAATTCCAGTAAATTGGTTAACAGACTTTTTCTCACCATGTTTTAAACAATTTGTGCTTCTAGCTGTGTAAGTATATTGACCAGTGTAATATTGACTGGTTATTAAAAATGCGTAGTTAAGCTCTAGGTCAAGTTTTAATGGAAGCTCTTCAGAAAAGCTGATACTGTACAGTAGTCTACATGGAATATATCAGTCCTTCCTCTCGTGTCTGACTTCGCGCAGGGGCTCTCGCTTGGTGTGCTAAGTCGTGTCCTTTGCTGCTCTCACGAGAGCATAGGCACGTGGGTACTTACCAAGCACTGAGAATATCTGTGCCTGCTTTTCCCCACTGCCTCTGTTTATGCTGTGAGGGATAAAATTGAGGGATCTAAGCATTGTTTATTAGTTTTCCTGATAAAATTGATAACATGTTTTTTCAGACTAATTGCTTAAATGCTAATATGACATACGTTTAAAATGTTTAGGAAATGAACTATTAATCAGAAGTAGTATGTATGATGGTGCTTTGTAATTATAAAGCATTCTACACGTGAGGTGGCATTGATTACCATAGTTTTAGAACCTATAAAATACTTTCACATGGAAGATCTCTCTTGATCTTTACATGGTACTCAAAAGTAGGTCTTGCTTATAGTTACCACCATTTAACTGTTGAGGAAACTAATATCTGAGAAGCTATGTCTTGAGCATGTTTGGATTCATATTTTACTTCAAATCTAACATCCTTTATTAACTACTGGATTAAGCAGAGTTTATTTCATGTATGTGATATTCAAAGTGTATACCTACTTGAGAAATAACATCATATAGTAAACATTAACACTAGATGGTATGTGTTTTGAATGATTGTGATTGCAATGAGAATGTCCATCAGGATCATATTAACATTACTTACTCTAAAGAACCAACTAACAGTCAATTTGCTTGTTTAGTTTTATAAAGATAGAAAGTGAAATGTGCAGAAACTTTTATTTGTTTATTCATTTATTTATTTATATTTTACATCATTGTTCAGTTTTAAATAAAGTTCCCCGCCCCCCAGGTGTAGTCCACATTGAACTTTTTAGTTAAGAGTATGTGGACTCTACTGCTAGTAATTATTGTTTCATAATAAAGCCTCAAGTTTATGAAAAATGAATTGGTAAAAACAGTGTTGGACTTTATGTGACATGTATACATTTGTGACCCATCAGTTTCACAGTGATGGAATTTGGTGAGCTAAGTTCACCAACATTTAAGAGTAGATCACAGTTGTAAATGTGTTGGAACCAAATCTTGCTTAGGGGTAGACTAAAAATCCCCTGTTGAAAATACTGCTTCATGGTAGAGCTATGATGGTGGTGCTTGATTTTCTGTACTTAACTCATACCCAGGACTTTGAGAATTTCAGGGATCGTCGAAGAAGACTTACGACAATTACTTAAAATATAAAGTGATTTGTTTGCAAGTATTCCCTCAATTCAGTGCTGCTTTTTAAAGACCAACTCAAATTCTGATAACATTTTTTGTAAGGACATAAAGAACTTTTAGTTTCTAATAAAGAGAGGTGATATGTTAACAGGTTTTCGTTTTGTGTGCATTGGGGTTCTGACTATAGGCTTCCCTCTCCTAGGTAAAGATAGTGATGAGGCTGAAGATGCTGAGCTTTATGATGACCTTTACTGCCCAGCGTGTGACAAATCTTTCAAGACGGAAAAGGCGTAAGTGTAATGTCTTTGAATTCTCCTTTTCTTTTGAGGGGAAGTGTTAACACTGCGAAAGGCCAAGGTCATGGTCACTGCCCCTTACATGTCATCTTAGAGAATTTGTCTCCAGCAGGGGAGGAAAAAGATTTTTGCCAGTAATTAAGACTGTTGTACTGATTTTCACTCATATCAATATTGCTATGTATTGGCTGATTTTTAAATATATATGTTATCCTGTATATATGTTGCTTATTTGGACAAGGAAGGCATAGTCACACAGGCAGGGAGGCTATATCAAAACTAGTCCCCTCTTCTGTTAGCGGCAGATTCATCTCCAGCCTTCACACTCCTGTGCAAGCCACTGCTGCAAGATTAGGAACTTTAACCATGTCCTGCCTACAGGATATTTGCTGATGTGGAAGGACTTTATTATATGGGAATAGTGATAAAGAAGTAATACTGAAAATAATACTGTTTTTAAAGAGGGGAGAGAATATGGATTCCTTCTGAAGGAGAATTTTAGTGGGAAGAAGAATAGTAGCCCAAACTAGAAAACCAAACTCTGAACAGATGAGATAAAGTTGATAGTGACACAGGTTTCCTACTTTCTACTCTAACTTTATAGCTTAAGTATTGTTAGAACTCTTTCGTGAAGTGTCAGGTAGTCCATAGATAAACTGAAATAAACATTGCTCATAGAATTTCAGACAGAAGGATAGAGAGGTGTCTAAACTCACATTGAGGGTGGTAAGGAGAAAAGAACCCCCCCCCATGAGAAAGTGAAAGAATCTGCTGAAAAAAAAAGCAAAAGGAGGTAAACTGCTCTTGAACTTCAAGCCCTTGTCACCATTTCTCGTGCCCAGGTGATCTGCCTTTTATAGTTAGACTGTAGTCCTGATCCCTCGAAACCCATTGCATAACCCTAAACTCAGGAGCACCTAGTACATGCTCGGTGATTAAGAGGGAACAACAGGGAAGACTTGAATTTTCAGAATTAATGAATTTCAAAAAATAAAAGAGAATCTGGAGAAGAATGCTGGGATATAGTAAAAAAGCACATAGTCACTTTGTTCTTTTAATGCCTAAGAATTCTGACAAGGTATTGTTTCTTGTTACAGCGTCACTGACATTTTGCTTACTAGTTAATGGGACAAGAGTAAATTTTAACTCGGTTGCGTTGATCTAGGAACTTATTTGGGCACATATGAATTAACTTTGTGGGAGTTACATAAGATTGTTCTTTCAGCATGAGAAACCATGAAAAATCAAAGAAGCATCGGGAAATGGTTGCCTTGTTAAAACAACAATTGGAGGAGGAGGAGGAACACTTTTCAGGACAGCAAGCTGATGAAAATTCATTGAATGATGATTCTGAAGAAGAAATCGAGGATGCACCAAAACAGAAGTACCTTTAAAATAAGTTACTTATTTTAAAATAAATAGACATATTTATCACATTTAGAGATTGTATTTAAATGCTGTTTTATGTCAAAAAGTTATTCTACATTTTGCCAGTTAAGGAAACTCATTATATAGTATTGCCGTGGTTAAAGACATGACATTAACTGTAATTTTTATAGAATATATTATGAGTGTACTTCTAAGCAGTTTTATACCTAGGCAATTGATAGGCTAATTACTGTCACTTGGGCCATTGTTTCAATTTGCTGACATGGTATGTGACTGTTTCCTTTTTCTTTTAATGCTTTATATTATTAAATGTTTTTACCATTTTACTTCCCTCTCTGTCACTGGTGTTTCAATATATTTTTTTCTTTTTACAAATTCGCGTATTGATATTTCGATTTTTTTTTTTTTTACTCCTAGACTTTCTAAGAAACAGAAGAAAAAGAAACAGAAACCAACACAGGTATGTTGAAAGTTTTAGTAACATTAAATATCAAATATAAAAGTTAGGGTACTCTTGTTCATTCATTATAATCTGTATTAAAGAGAGGTACTATCATTGTAATTTTATGTTGATTGTAAAACAGATTGAGTTGAAAAAAAATTTTTTCCAGTGTTTCCTTCCCCCTTGTATTTATATACCTAATTTATTCATTAATATTGTCATTGTGTTTAAATTTTTTTGCATGTGTAATTCCCCTATTGTGAATTTGCTGAATGACTTTGTTAAATAAAAAAAAATATGGATTTCACTCTTGTGGAATATGAAAAAAACAACACTAAGTAAAACAAAGATACACTTGAAACCAGAAGGGAAGGAAGAAAAGAATGACTGAATCAGTAAAAGGGACAATGGCAGGGTAAAGAATAAAATTACATAGTTTTGAATAATGCAATGAAATACAATGAATAATATGGCATGTACTGCATGAACCTGTAACTTAAGTAATGTTACAAAGTCATGTCAATAAAAGAAAAAATAAAATTTAGACCTAGGTGATAGAAATTTTAAGTGAAGACAGCAAAGGCAGAAGTATTTGAAAATTACTGATTTCATATGGGGTTGTTGATTATTGAAAGTCTGAATTTATTCTCCCAACAATAGACATAAATGTTTGCAAAAGGAACATTAGGTTAGAAACTTGTAATGTTTGTGATTTTTTTTTAAAAAATGTCTTCTTGTATTAGAAATTTAAGTAGTTAAATATTTCACAGCTGGGCTCCAAATTAAATCTTTCAAGTTATTTTAAATAAAAGAATTATGTTGTTTTACATGTAAGTAATAATCTTATGGATATCTTGGAACCCATGGTAACAAAGGATTTAGTAAGGATTCTAAAGGTAGTGGTGGTTCTAATGGAAATGGAATTGATTTCTGTGTCATTTTAATAAAACCTAGTTGTATTAGGTTAGATTAATCATTAAATGTTAAATATAGTTCTTTAAAAGACTAGAACTAATTTTAACAGAACTTAGGTAACACTAATAATTTCATAAAACAAAGATAAACTTTGGATTTGACATACTTATCCAACTGAATATATTTTTGTTTCATCTCCAAAAAATGATAAATGACATGAGTTAATTGCTGTTGAAATTGTGATGTTGGGACCTTTGGCTTCAGTTGTAAAGTCAGAAAGCATTGTCTGTGCCTTGGTAAAATGACTCATGCCAGCTTCTGCGCTAGACTCACAGCCATTGGTTTTGGACACTTTCTCCTCTGCATTATTAGAACACTAGAATAAGGACAAATCAGATGGAGAGGAATTTATGCTAACCCAAGTCTATCACTTCTCAAGTTATGAAAAATAGGTTGTGTGATTTGCAGTAATAAATACATGCATTTGAGTTTTCAACTGGAGCCTTTGCTTTAGTTGGCTACTTTGTCCTCTAAAGCTATAGTCCTTTATTTTTCTCTTTATATTTTCCTCTTGTTTGTGATTTTTGATTATGCCAGGGAGCAAAGCCTCAGTCAGACCTAGTTTTATGCAGCACTTTACTTGGTATTTTCTAAACTTTTTGAAGGGGAAGTAGGGAGGAGTCAGTTGCTGTTAGATTAAAGAATAGGAGGCAGCAAATACTGAGAATTGTGAAACTCTGAGTTTTCTGTAAGGTCAAAAAAATTGAATAGAACAAAAAAATTATAAAGGAAATCTCAAAAAGCTGGAATTCACTATAAACAAATGACCTGGATGACTGAGAGGAAGAATCAGTCTGTGTGACTTTTGAATGCCGTGCATGGAAAGAACACCTTCCATGGGATATAAGGTCAAAATTAACTGCGAAAGATAAAACCTTGAACTTTCTTAGATATCTTGATGGTATCATGTAGACTGTAGAGCAGAGCAAGTGAGTACATGTATTAGTATTGTTGGGAACCAGCTTCTCTTATGAGAGAGGGACAATACAAAGACCAAGCTTTGTCCAACACTAGATTGAGCAGTTCATCACTGTAGGGTTGGATTGTTACTGGAGGGAGATAGCGATGCGGGCTCATGATTTAAGAAAGTAAGTGTGTTGGCACTGGGTGCTGCCTCAGGCAGTGCTTTGAAGTTGTGACGCCCTAGTTGCAAGAAACATATCTGGTGCACATAATATGATTTCTAAATCCCCTTCCCCAGTTCAAGGAAAGAGGATTTGGTCCTTGAAGAAAGGACTGTTTCTGGGGCTGGGCCAGGGAAAGTAAAGTGAAATGGATCACTTTATGCATGAAGCTAAATAATTTAAAAATTGGTGGGGATACATCAGAAGTACCTAGAAGCCAGCTTAAGAGCCTGCGAAATTTGGGGAAAATTAAGTTATCAAAAAGAATAATGGTGATTTTTACACGTGCATTTTGTTTTTTAAAAATCATATCTATATGAGGGTAAAAAAGAGAAAATTCAAGAAAGGAGACGGATAGAAACATGTCATCCTAGAAGAGTTGAGTAGAAATGGAAAACTCACCTGCTCTGCATCTGTGTATAATAAATGGTTCCCACAAGAGTCATCAGTACATATCAGATCCATTGGGTGAAAGTTAATAGGGAACAGGATTGAATTAATCTCAAAGTAAAACTGCAAATTATTAATCAAAAATGGGAAAAGGTACTTTACTGTAGGAAAATCTGGCAGTTCTTCGACTTCATTAAAGGTAGAATTGAAAATTAAAAATTAATAAATCACTGAGAAATGGGACAGAGTGGCATTTTGCCTCTTGATGTATTGAGAAGGACACAGCATTATCTTTGTATTAAATTTCTTGCTAGGAATGTTGAGCCTAATTTTACATTGAGGAAACAATCAGACATAGCCCAAGTATGGGACATTCTACAAAACAGTCATCAAACCATTATCATGAAAAACAAAAATGTAGGAATGCTAGAAGAGATGAGTTCTAGAATAAAGAAGATTAAAGAGACAGGATATCCAAATGCAACATGTGATCCTTGATTATATCCTCTACCCAGAGGTTACCAAAGAAAAGGATTATTGGATTGTGAATGTGGATAAATCAGTGTTAAATTCTTGAATATGAGGAGCTTTTGAGGATACAGAGGGGATGTCTTAGGTATATGCGGTGTCATGCTGTCTACCTGCAGCTTACTTTAATATTTAGCTCAGGATCAGGAATTTTTGTGTGGAGAGAGAGCAAGACAAAAGAAGGAAGGAAGAGAAAAGGCAAATTTGGCAAATTGTTACCCAAAACAAACTCAAAAGTAGTTGTACTTGGTGAAGGCATGTTTGCCAGGCAGCTTTCTTTTACAATCCTGATGGTTTGTTGTTGTTGGTTTTTTTTTTTTTTTTTTTTAACAATAAAGTAATGGTTGCTCATTATAGATCATTTAGAAAATACAGAAATACATAAATACCATTCCTAATTCTGCTTGTAGATATTACTTAACATCGAATTGAATTCTAATCCGATTAGCATCTGTATGATTTTTCTTGCATTTTGGCTAATATGTCATACTTTTTTTACACTATTGAAGCAATGTTTGGAAGCATGGTAACAATATTTCTGTAAAAACATTCACATCTTGTATTACCGGCCTTCCCTTTTTATTTCTTGAAGATGTATTACTACCAGTGCTTACTGGACATTATCATTGTTTAGTATAACCATTTGGCCCCATAGTGTAAGAATCCAGTTCTATAGTATTTATTTTGAAATGGTATGCAATATTTTATTACCTAGACTTATGATGATAATTGCAATGAAAATGGAACTGGAGAAGGAGTAAAGGTTGATGCAGGAGACGCCAACTTAAATCAAGATAATGCCAAAGAATTGGAAGTTACTTCCCAAGAAAATGTCAGTGTCACAGATACTGTCGAACTGTGTGCTGAACCAAAAAGTGAAGCTAAAAGGTGAGCTAGAATTGCATGTTGTTTTCTAAGTGCTTGATACTGCTAGGACGGACAATTTTTCATATCGAGAAAATCTCTTGATTGATAAGTAAGTTAGGTATATCTGTGACTTACACATAGATCCAGACATCATGCTTGTGTATATAGAAGCATGTTGCAATGAGAATGATAGAGCATGACCCAAATCAGAAGGATTCAGATTGATACAGTTTTTGTTTACCTTATCCTGCTAAGGGTCTTCTTTTGTCCTGGATCAGTAATCCTTGACACTCACAGGTACACAAGGCCACTGGTGATGCCATGCCCCACTGGCCTGGCGCACCATTATCTGAACCTCGGTGCTCATGACTGTCTTCCTGTGCTCGCCCCACAGTGTGGGACATCAGGATAGATGTCTACAGCTTGGGACCTTCCTACTGGAAGGAGCGCAGAATCCTGGTGCCGCCCCAGGCGATGGTGGTTGGCTTGGGACAGTCTCAGTCAGGGGAGGTAGCCATACTTTTTCCTCTCCTTGTCTGATGTCCTCATTCTCCTCTGTTCATCTGGAACAGAATAGTTTCTTACTCCTTGAGGAATGATCTTAGCAGTAAGTAGCCTTAGGTCCCTGTTGTTAAAGGACCACAATGAATAAGGGTTCTGGCGACAAGTCAGGTGGGCGCCTGAGTTGAGAATGCTTGACGGTGGCGCAGCAGTGCAGGTGCAGAGTGAGCTCCGACCTCAGGGAGCTGAAGTGGCATCAGTGTGGGAAACACGTCATCCACACCTGGAATAGGGCCATCCTGTACGAAAAGATAGGGGACTCCACAAGCGGGTCTTGTGGGAGCCTAGAAGCAGATGTTAACACAAGGTGTGATGCTAGGTGTTTATTCCCAATTTATGAATGAGGAAACTGAGTCTTGAGACTGGCTTAGGTTCAAAAAGCTGTGTTTTGGAGGAACTGCACTGTCAGATTATGTGTGAGTGCTGCTGGTTGACTGAAGATGCTTTGCTTCAATGAATGGATTATTAAGCACTTTGCTTTTTTTACAAAAGCACTGAAAATTAAGAGATATTTTAGGGTTCTTGTTTTGGCTTGTGTTTCGACTATTTTAAGTTAATTTCTTAATTTTTGTGCCAAATTTATAGCTATTCATTTAAGATGTTCTTTGGAGTTTTCTTGGGAATGAGATGACAGCTGGAAGGGGTATGTTATTGGATTGTACCGAATTCTTTCGTTTATTTTTCAGCATTCCTAAACCCAAAGGAAAGAAAGCCAAAGAGATGAAAAAATCTGTCAAAGTACCTGCTGAACCACAAACAATGGTAGGTCTGAAGCACATTTGCATCACTTCTGTAGGCCTTGTGTAAGCCTGTAATCTAGACTGAGCCTCAGAAAGTGAGTGCGTCTCTGGTGAGCCTCTCTGCACCTGCTGCAAAGGCGCGAATCCATCAGTGGTTTTGCTTTGACAAAACCAGAATTTATATCTGTGCTGCGGTCACTTTTTTCCTTTAAAGTAAAGGAAGTCCATTTGAAATGTCAGACTGTACCAGAACAATTACTGGTTTCTTTGGCATTACTTTGAAATTTAAAACTTGGTCTAGTTTATGTGTACATGCCAGTGAATAGCTTAGGATTCTTCAAGTTGATGGCGTTAGTTAATGGGGCTTGTCTCCCAGGAGTAGCTCTCTGTTGAGCCTGTCTTGGTTGGTGTCCGTTTTGTTAAAAGATCTTCATTTTGTTTGTTTGATGTTTAGTTCCTACAGGAAAACATAAAATGTTCTTCTCAGTTGTAACACTTGCCTTTGTTTCTTATCCCCCCCCCCCCCCAGGGCGATGTTCTCATCAGCTGTACAACTTGCCATTGTGAATTTCCATCCCGGAATAAACTTTTTGACCATCTAAAGGCCACAGGTCATGCAAGAGCACCTTCCTCCTCATCCTTAAACAGCGTGGCAAGTAGTCGAAACAAGAAAGAGAAACGTAAAAACAGATAGAAATCCTGCCAACACTTTTGCTTTTTCATTGTTGCTAGATTTTGAAACCAAAAACTGAACTGAAACCACCTAAAGAGTTAAAATTTCAGTGATCTGCAATTAATTGCATTGTGGAAGATTATTTTTTATCTTGTAAAAAAACATTTTTTTGTTTAATATATATTTTTTAAACATTTCATTAGTGATTGAATTCTACTTTTGCCATCTGAATTGACTTGAATGTCTCAAACAGGTAAATATTGTAAAGTATACATTCTTGATTTCTGTTGGCTTATGTGGACAGAAATGTATAGGGAAAATTAAATTATTTTTAACACAAATGCCCCTTTCTATTTTGTGAATTTCACATTAACTATTTTTATATGATTCAGTGCTTTGTATTTTATGATGCTTCATGTTCTGTCAAAGACACAGCATTTTAAAGTTACCATCCATATTTTTTCCACCCAAAAACATGACTCCAGGTCAGGTTTTAAAAGTATTTCTAAGTGACCTTCGTTGAGTGCTATATGTTTTTTCCCCACAAGGCCAGTCATAGTTAAAAACTAATTTAAGATTTATGGTTGTTCTTCAAGAATAAGATCTCTTTGAGATACAACTGTTGATTTAATTTGAGATTTCATTGTTAACTATCAACAGGATCTATCTTTTCAGTTTCCTCCTCTGATTTGAATTGTGGAGGTGGAAGCAAATTAATTTACATGGCACTTCCTCCTCAGCACGGTGGCAGCCCTAAAGAATGATGGTGCATGGCGGCAGATGGTTCAGAATTTATACTGACTTCCACAGTGCTGTGTTCTGCTTTGGATGTCCCCACCACCACCACCACTGTTTTCAGAAGTTTTTTACTTTGTTTCTTTCCATCTGATGTAGAAAAGCTTTTTAAGAAAAATTTTATAAAAGGATTGATGCTTATGCAGCTGTTCTATAGCAAAGTTGAATATTGTTTAAAAGTGGAGGAAATCATTGTAAGTGAATGTAGCCAAATTGTCTGGCTCTCAGTAAGTGATGAGTCAGTTTTCAGATGGATTAAATAAGGAATTCTAATGGTTCTTGTAAGAAACTTTGAACTCACTGACTTGAACTGTATATGCTTCCTGTTCAAAGTCGTTTCTCCTGCATCCTTGAGTCTCCAGTGCTGTGCGCTCCAGGCCTAGAGTCCATGCCTCGAGGCCTCTGCGAGCCGCCTGCAGAGCAGTGATGGTGTGGACCAGTCCCTGTGACTGGCTCAGAACTTCATATTTGAATCTTAAAAGTTTTTCTTTTCCATGTAGAGATAGAGAGAAAATGTAAAAGGTATTTTCTTCACCTTCTTCCCTTTCTAACTCCTACCTCTAGTTCCTCCTTAATTGTATTTCCTCTCCCTTTCTTGATCCCTTCAGGGGAAATACAAGTCAATTTTGTATCTTCTGATCTCTTCCTCCCAGGCTTCATTTGAGCCCTATCTACCTTCCTTCAATTTGAACTCGATGAAATGGCTGTAATTATAAATAGGAAATTAATGACAAGAGAACATAGTCATGTGTTAATAGTATACAGTAGAAAGCATGACGTCATCTTGAAAGGCAGGTAGTGTCCTGCAGATGCACCTCAGACCTTGTCTTTGTCTTGTACTGACCATGCAGGTACTTAATTGGCTTCTGCTTTACGTGGGGATTGATTGGGGTTAATTCTCTTTTTTATTCTGATTGACAAAAAAATCACCCATAATTTTCAAGAGATCTTCATCAGCTGTGATTGGAAATCATACCTCATTTCTAATCCTGTATGTGGATGAATGTTGATGAATCATCTACCTTCCTGCACTTCATTTTTCTTAGCTGTAACACAGTTCTTAGCATAATAATACTGTCTCCATTTATTATACAAGATTATTATGAAGGTCAAATAAAATAGTTATATGAAAGTGGTTTTTAAATACAAGAACTATACAAAATGTTTAAATTGCAGGCTTTCGGTTAAGATGTTTGCAGATGAGAGTATATGTTGGATTGGATGTGTTATGTTTTATAGGAATTTGTTTCTTAATGTACAAAAGAGGGAAACTAACATACATGTGTTCTGCCACCAGTGAAATGATAGTTTATGAATCGCAAACATTCAGTTTTGCTTGTATGAGACAAAACAGAATATAAAATAATGAGCCACGTATTTTACATTCATCTGGTTAAAGGTTGATGGTAACTGCCTGCCTTGGTTGAAATTAGTGTAGATGTGGAAAATGCATAGAATGAGGGATCTGGGAGAAGAGGATTAGGGAAAATCTGTTTTCTTTTCATAATTCATTCAGTGATGCCAAAACTGGAATTTCCTATAAAAGCCTAGTAAGACTTTTCCTCTTTCAAAATAGGAACGTTGTATCTTTAGCAAAGCACAGAATTGGAAAATAGAAATCATTAAAATGAAAACATCTGTGGAACAAAAGGCGTCATAAGAAAAAGAATCTCAGACCAGGAGAGGATGTTTACAGCACATATAACTGACAAGGGATTAGTACCCACAATACATTAAAAAACAAAAGAACCATCTACAGATCAACAAAAAGTGACAGCTGTGCAGCTGTACTGCAGTTCTCAAACTTTTTGGTTCATGGCCGCTACACTCTTAAAAACTGAGAACCCCAAACAGTTTTTGTGTAAGTGGGTTAGATCTATTGATCTCTTCGTTTAGAAATTAAAATTGATGTAACTTAAAAATTACATTAATTTAGGGGCCTCCCCTGGTGGCGCAGCGGTTGGGCACTGGGCTGCGAAGCTGCCTGCAGCCTCTGCGGCGCCGGTTTGATCCCCGGCCCCCAGGCGAGGGTCCCACATGGTGTGCAGACCTCTCCTGCCGCCCGCTGCTCCCCTCAGCAGTGTATTTCGTCAGTCTGCTTGTTCTGTTCCCCGCTCTGGCTCTGGTGAATTCTCTCACCCTCCCGTGCTTCTGACTGTACCCAGTGCTTGTATAAAATAAATCTTTTAAAAAAAATTTATTAAAAATAATGTTAAATAACAATGATGGAAAATAACTTTTTCAAACAGAAAGTTTAATGTGGAGAGGCATTGTTTGACATTTTTGCAACTCTAATGTTTTGCTACATAGAAAAGCTGGGTTCTCATTCCTGCCTCTATAATCAGTCTGTTGCTCTCTGTCTTGGTTAAATGAAGGAAACTGAGGTTTACATGGATAGGTAGTTCAAAAAGTAAAGACCTTGTGGACCCCTACTAGGTCCCCCACACTCAGAACTGCTGCGTTAAAAAAAATGGGAAAAATATGTGTGTAGAGGCAGGAAGGGGTACTGAGCAGGATTTCTATGATCCCATGCAGACCGGGGTAAAGGAGGAAAGAGTCCCGGAGCCCTCAGTGGCTTTTTTGCAGGCTTTTGTTTGGATTTGCCAGGTACACGGCAGGCAGGGGTGCTGGGGGGCCGGGAGGCTGGCAGTCCTCCCAGCCCCCAGCAAGTCTTCACTCTTTCTGGGCTCTCTGGCGTTCTCTCTGCTTCTTTGCTCTCCTGCTTTTCCGCTTCTCGGCTTCTGCTGGCGTCCCCGTGACGCCGCCCTTAAAAGCCCAGACTTAGCCCAGGTGAATCCCATCTACCTAGGCCCACACCCTATTCCAGGTGCCCGCCATCAGGCATGCATTCAGGACAAGGATCCATCATCTATTCTGATGGCGGGAGGGCAGAAAAGCCTGATACTTTTTACCTTACCCTACAATGTGAAAACAAAAAACTTGAATAGTCAGTGTGGAAAGATTATTGTCACTGATAATCAGGAAAATATGACTTTTAACTTGTTTCATGCCTTCACATTGGCAAAAGGTGAAAAGTTGTACAAGTTAAAGTGTTGATGAGGATGGAGATGTGGGAACTCATTCATTTCTTCTGGAGTAATTGGTTCAATTTCTGATGTCTTAGGAAAGTTGAACATATGTATGCCCTATGACCCCCAAATCCAGATAGACAGAGAGTCTCCAGAGCAGCAGCCTGGGCTCCACAGGCCCACCCCACTCCTGCTGAATGAGAATCTGCCGTTGATAAGAGCGCTGATGTGATTCATCTACTCCTTAAAGGGGTCCTTGAGGGGCAGTACTCTGGGAACCGTGCACAGCTACAGGGAGACTTACCAGGGTGTACAGCTGAATTGTTTGTATCTAGGAACAGCTGGATGCCCTGAATATCCGTGAACATGAATATGAATAAGCACATTTGGGCCTATTTGTAAATTGGCAATCAACCTGATAAATGAGCATCTGTAATGTCAATGTGGAATAGCCCTTGAGAAAACACTGAATGAGAATAAGCTTTCAGATAATGAAATGTATGCCACTGATACAGTTCTAAGAAATACCACTTTGATTTTTTTGTAGAGAAAATACTGAAACATCAATAGTAAAGACGTCATCAGAAAAGTAATAGCCTCTGGAAAGGAAGGGAGAGGAGTTGCATTGGGGCGGTGTGGCAGCAAAAGGAACCTCAACTGAGTCCATTTTTGAAAAACCCGAAGGAAAATGCTAGCATTTGTTAATTCTTTTTTTTTTAAAGATTTATTTATTGATTGATTTATTGATTTATACATACAAGCACTGGGTACAGTCAGAAGCGTGGGAGGGTGAGAGAATTCACCAGAGCCAGAGCGGGGAGCAGAGCAGGCAGACTGACGAAATACACTGCTGAGGGGAGCAGCGGGCACAGCAGGAGAGGTCTGCGCGCCATGCAGGACCCTCCTCCGGTGGCCGGGGAGCAGCCGGGGATCGAACCGGCACTGCAGAGGCTGCGGGCAGCTTCACAACCCAGCGCTCAACCGCTGCGCCACCGGGGAGGCCCACATTTGTTAATTCTTAATGGTGGGTTCGAGGGATGTTTCTGATTTTCATGAAATAGTTCAGACACTAACGCAAACTAATGTTCCCCTTCACATTAGCGTAATATGCACCCACACAAAAGGCAAGATGAAGAGATTTAAAATTTTTTATTCCTGGCGTGTTCCCTACGCACACTATGGCAGAGGCTGTTACTTGGCTATTGATACTCACTCTCCCTTTCTCTCTTGGAGCTCCAATTTCTAGCTGAGCACAAAACCACCTAGAATATAAAGATGACCTCAGCCTCTTGTACTGATAATCATCTGGCCAGTGATCTGAGCCACTCTTGAGACATTCCCTTAAAGATGTGGGGTATCCTTATTCACCCCCGTCTTACGTAAAGAGGTAATGGCTCGAGTTCAGTCCCCAACAGGGCTTGGGAATCCTCACAGGGTAGAGCAGCAAAAGCACAAGTGCTCCAGTCACGACGAGCTCCAGTCACGACGAGCCCCAGCCTGCAGTCCTGTGCTCTCAGAAGCAGTAAACACCTACGTCACGTCAGGGAGGCCACTGTTAGGCACTTTCTCTCACAGGGAACTGGCCTGGGTTGGTTCACATTTCAACTTGTGTGCAGTTAACTGAAAAAGGAGAGAGTAAGGAGTGGCAAGGACATGCATGGGTTCTTAACTGACAGATCCTAGATCAAATTCCAGCACCAACACTATGACCTTGGGCAATACATTTAAAGTCTTTAAGCCTTTTTTTTTTTTAAATCTGTGAAATGGGCATGAGACCAACGTTGCAGATGTGTAAAAGATTAAGGCTTTTCAGTGTGAGTACCATGCTTGACACTCAGGCGTTCATTAACTGTTAGCTTGTACTTAACTGTTAGCTTGTTCATTAACTGTTAGCTTGTACTTATTTTCAACAATCTGCTTATAATTTTCTTGCTTATTTAATGGCTTCAGTTTCTGAAATAATCTAAACAATGAGGTGGTAATTTGGAAAGAAATCTGAGATTATGTTGATCCTATAGTATATATATTTTCAAAAATACTATTGTGTATATTGAAATTCTGTATAAAAATTTTAACAGCTAAAACTGAATGTACGTTATTTTAGTGTGGTTTGTGTGACACCAATGGAAACGGTCTTGAAGATCAATGGCCCTTCATTATGTTAGGAAGCCTCAGTGTATTTGTTCAGGTAATTACTTTGCCATTAAAACCAGTCAGGGTCCCCAAGATCACTGACGAGCTTTCAGATGCCACATGCCTTCTAAAGGGTTCAAATTATCCTTTGCTCTAAAATTCATTTGAATGTCACTTAGAAAAAATTTTAACAATTTTTAAATATGAAAAGGTCATGCTATCTTAGCATTTTGATAAAATGGCATGTAGTTTGTATCTTTCAGGGATGTCTTATTTTTAGTGGCAGTAAACTCACACTATAGTTCTGAAGGTAACAGTGGTTTCAGCAGATTCTGAAGCAGACTTTTTCAGCAGTGCCGTCTAACAATGGAATCGCTCTCTCGGGGAACAGTGAGCTCTGTGTTCCTGCGTGTGGACAGTCAGTACCCTCTGTCAGAAATGCTGAGATGTTGAGTGACAGCAGGATCCTGGGCTGAGTTCCACTTGCTGTTCCAGAGAAGCCTGCCAGTCTGGTGAGGGGGCCCTCTGCATGCCACCTCCCACTCCCACAGTCCAGGCCCATGGGCTCACTTTGATGCCCTATTTTATAGGCAACCTGGATCCTAGGACACATCTGTTTGCACTGATTTTATTCATAATTCTCAGTGATACTTTTGTGCTAATCTGCATAATCGACTAGTTGGGAAGTACTTTCTAAGTGTTTTAGAAGGCAGGGTCTTGTGTTGCTGGCAAGACTGTCAGGTGATTTATCATATTTCTATTTTGGAGTTTAATCTTAATTTTCCAGAAAGGAATAGCAGTTTTTCAAAAACTGATTTCATCTTTGCTTGGAAATTGTGTTGCTAATGGGATTATAAAATACTCTTTGAAAAGCATTAAGAATAATAAAAGACAAAAATCACCTGGAATCCCACCTATAAACAGATATCTGCCAAGACTGTTTCTAATCAGCTACATTTTTTAGAAAACTTGAACCCCCCCCATGCTGTTTTATAACTTGCTTTTCCACTCAATATTCACGAGTTCCATTTCAACCATGTTAATATCACTTTAAAGGCTACATGATAGGGGCCTCCCTGGTGGTGCAAGGGGTTAAGATACAACCTATGAAGCAATCTGTGGCCACCGCAGCACAAGTTTGATCCCCAGACCGGCCAGGGAGCAACCCACATGGTGCAGCAGACCTCTCCTGACTTGCCCGCTGCTCCCCTCAGCAGTGTATTTCTGCTCCCCACTCTCTCTGGTGAATCCTCTCACCATCCATATCTCTGGCCTGTAGTGCCAGTTCTTGTATGCATAAATAAAAAAAATATTTTAAAAAAATAAAGACTGCATGATACATGATTTATATGTGGTTGATATAATTGATGATCACTTAGGTTTTCCAGTTTTTCACCATTATACTTGATGTATATGGTACTTAACTTTATGCTCCTTGTATTTTTTCCCTCACCGTAGGCTAAATTCCTACAGGGAGAAGTGTTTGGGTCAAAGCTCATCTTTGAAAAGTTGGTCTGCATTACTAGGTTTGCCTGTGCTCAGGGCATGAGAGGTGTCTTCAATATGGTGCAGCCAAACCATAAAAAAATTTTTTTTAAAGATTGATTTATGCATACAAGAACAGGGTACAGGCCAGAGGTGTGGAGGGTGAGAAGATTCACCAGAGACAGAGTGGAGAGCAGAACAGGCAGGCTGACTGAAATACACTGCTGAGGAGAGCAGCGGGCAAATCAGGAGAGGTCTGCTGCACTATGTGGGTTTCTCCCTGGCCGGGGATCGAACTC